ATCGAGGAAACTCCATAAAATATTCCGTCTATCGTTTTTTTTTTTCTGTTTTAGTTTCAAACACCGCCGAAAGGCGTTTGATGTGTGGCATGTTTTTAACGGAAAATTATACCAAACGGTACTAGTTTCGTTGGTATTATTGCATTTGGGGATATTTAGGTGCAGTTGGTAATACATTTTAGTGATTTATTGATGTACTGTTCAAGCGAGTTTGGAAAATTATTAAATCTTGTTCAATTTATGGATTTATTGCATTCTGAACTTATGGTAATTAATTTTTTGGAAATTGGCAACACAATTTTGAAACTTTCAATAAAATAAACCCAACATTCAAGCTTTATTAATTAAAATAACGAGATAATTTAGAGCGATGGATCAACTGCACTACTAGGAAATAAAATTAATCTTATTTAGCGAAAAAAGAAAATCCCAAAATGATGGTCTTTTCGTTTGATTTAACTAGCGCATATTCTCGAGTTTAAATTGCCCATCGAAGACATCAATCTCGAGAAAATTAATCGCTTTATCCTGCCAAATTAACGCCTTTGAAACGCGCGAATTTAGATCTACTCGAAAGTAAAATTCCCCAAATCGCGGGACTCGTAAATTTCGACAAAAATCGAACAATTTGGCTTTCATCGGGCAATAGAACTACTAAAAATAGGACCGAGAAATGTATTCGAAACGACAAGAAAATCGTTCGAGAAGTTAAGAATCCGAAAGTGGAACGGGGATCGTTTGTTTACATTAGAAATAATGCTATCGAATTCGGAAAATCCCGCTCACATTTTCCCAATTTCTCGCTAGAAATACCTCAAACCTCTTAGAGGACACATCGATTATTTACCCGAGTCGTTTCCTACGTGTAGTTTTTCGCAGAAAAATCGAGAACAGATGGTGGAAAGTTTTAAAATAAAACGAAACTACCTGCACCGAAATGTCGGAATCGAACAAACAATGAGACTCCCACAATTTCGTGTCTCATGCGATGGGACAAACACAATAAAAATATTTTTAAAAATCTTCTCCCGGACAAAATTGTGCAAGTTCGTACGAGTCGATTGTCTCGTCACGAAATTTCGTTGCAATTACATTGACGAGCAAAAAAATATAGCAAAATTGCGGTTTTCTCAGTGTACAAATTAAATAGTTATTCATCTGAGTATACAATTTTTTGCGCTGGTAGATTCCTTTTAAAACCGATTTCCAGGCGCTTTAAATGAACCGAAAAAGATGCAAACAGTATTTATAGAGTTATTTATTTAAAACACCGGACATTTCTATCATATTAAAAACTCGAAGAAACATTCTTAAATCTCGCGGTTTATTAGATATTTTACTTCGTATTCGAACTTTAACCTCGGTCTAATTAATCGCAATTTATCCGGCGAATTGCAATTTAACGCTGTCTACGGGTGGACTTCGAATTGTTTAGAAACTTTCCCCGGCATCTTTGAAACTGTAGAAGTTTGGAAATTTCGTATAGCAACGAATAGAACGCGCGTTTTATAAATATTTGTCGTGCAAAATGAGTTAATTTGCAATAATTTCCTGGCAACTTTCGGTTCCTTCCTGGTATATACCTACACAATTCAGTGATCTTAGCCTTGATAAACTCGTTAATTTTTATATTTAGTAATTGAGTCATTCCAAATGTTTGTTTTATTGCATACATACATAGAGGTGAAACGCATGTGCCGATTTTTTTTCTCTTTAGTTTTATTAATACAATAAATTTGTGTTAGATTTTTTACAATTAATCGACGATTTGGCTAAATTCAGGAAATAATAAATGTTATCTAATGTCGCTTTACATCATAATTTTTTTTACGACAATCCCACAACGACATTCGATCGATAAATAATGCATGAGACATGAATCATTTCGCGTGTGTTTTTCTCGCAATTGCTAAAAGTGGATTAGCACGAATTATGCAAATTATTTATCCCTAACTTGTAATACAATTGTTGCAGTGCCTGTGCTGCGATATTTTATTCAATTAACGACGAAATTATGTTTTTCTTTTCGCTTTTTTTATCAATCTTACATTTTGAAAACTTTTTCAAAATTGGAAAACCCCGCTTTACGTTTCAACTAACAAATATACACACAAAAAACATGATTCATATAATATGGTTTTATCGCTACTTGTTATATTACTATAATTCGTTTTTATATGGAAATAATGCGAAATTTTACCAATCGAATCATACACATTCAATCCTATTAGGTATAAACCCCGTTATTTGTTTTATATGTTGTATATAAAAACGTGTACTCGACATTCTAAAATCTCCTAATAAGGAAAACTGGATAATTAAACTCTCCTATTTCCAATAACTAATATACTTTTAGCACTCGTCCGCTCGACTCGCCCAGCAAACTCACCTCTCGTGACATAATACTTCTATACACAAGCTCGCTTGATTAATTACGCTAAATTTAATTTCCCGATAAAATTGCGAGTGTATTTTTATAAAATTTCGATAACGGTTCGAGAGTTTTTAATTGTTCACTATATCTGACGATTCCAGATAAGCGGAACGTTCGTTTTTATTATAGGGGTATGGGAAACGGTGAGGGAGAATTGGTTTATCGCTTTTACCAAATAACCCTCATCGAGTTTTTCATGTTTAATTATGGCTGATTGGATAATACAAAAGTTGGTTAATCAATGGGTGGATAAAGGGGAATAATAATTAATCATTTGCATTCTAAAATTAGTAGAATCAGATGTTAAAAATGATAAACATCTACTATACATTTTTGTGGAATCTACACAACGAGCAGAAATTTAAATAAAAAGCGAAATAAATTAAAATTTTTACGACTCTCAAACGGAGGCTCGGCTATAATAAACCTGATGCTGCAAATGTATCTAACTAAATCACTATTTAAAAAAAAAACAGAGTCAAGGGAATCACATTTTGTATAAAACTTTACATTTAAATAGGAATTTACGAAATAAATTACAGTTATACACCTCGCAATACAACAATAGAAGAAGTAAAAAAAACCACCCCTCGTGGAAATCAAAACCCCCTACCTGTTGTTAGAAGTTACACACTCGAATTCCCACCCCACGTCTTTGTCACGCAATGCATGCGTAACGCAACAGGTAGTCCCAACATAACAAAAAAAAAATCCCCCAGGTCGATTTCCGCGGTCGCAGGTTCATCTTACTAAACAGGTTCACCTTACAGGTAGGATACACTGTGCTTCATTCTGTTATATAGGCTATAGGTGCGATAAAGACAGCTTCCATTGGACACTTACAAAGGAAAAAGAAAGAGTGACATTTATGTCACTTCTGACAGCTGTCATTTTAATAATCTTACTTTGTTTAACTCATGGAAACCACCATGTTGTACGATCTGAATTGAAGCAATGTGTATAATAAATTCCATTTGTTCGAGATTACCGATAAGTCATTTCGATATCGCACCAATCCACTTTTGAATTCGAATCGAAATGTATCAAATACACCGAAAAAGATTAGATAATAATTGTGATCGATTAGATATTCGGAAATTGATTGGTTAGATGCAATTTAGAAGGCGGATCGAGCACAATTCGGAAGTGAATTTCACTAAATAAAAGTTACCGTAAACTCCCTAGACTTGTAGATTGTAGTTTATACAGCGCCCACGTTCATTTAAATAAATTTGGAAAGGCCATTGGCATTAGATTCAGGCATTTTTTTTCAACTTTAATACACAATCTTTTAACGTGTAAAGTTACGAAATAACCCAAGAAACATAGATATAGAATAGAGTTTAGAGGGTTATCCATAACATACAGGTTGCTCCATTTTTAATTGCAACATAGGCTATGGGTGCAACAAAGACAACTTCAATTAGACACTTATAAAGTGAAAAGAAAGAGTGATATTATGTCATTGCAACTTTTCACTCTAACAACTGTTATTTTATCAATCTTTCTTTGTTCAACACATGGAAGAACGGTGTATAGGCCATGGGTGCGATAAAGACAACTTCAACATTAGACACTTGCAAAGGAAAAAGAAAGAGTGACATTATGTCATTGCAACTTTTCACTCTGACAACTGTCAATCTGTCATTTTAATAACCTCTCTTTGTTCCACTCATAGAAACGACCATATTGCAATCGGAAATGGAGCAAGATGTAGATATCTACTTGTTGATCTTGGTATAATTAGAAAAAAAGTTGTATTTACAATTTCGCTTGTAACTTTGTAGCAGTCACGATTTGCCTTTCGGACGTTCTCCCTACTTTCGTTATTAACTCGATTCGTATGAGATTCAATGTAGAAGCAAAAACAAGTAATACAGAAGAAATTTACAACGTAATAGTTCCTTGTAATACACAAATAAGTAAAATTTTAGTAGGGGATTTCTACCTGCTGGTATTGTTGCTGTAGGGGACGTCAATTAACAGTAGGAAGACATAAAATCGAAGAAGCAATTAAAACTAAACATAAACAAGAATAGTATAAATCGAACAAATAGAATTAGAAGAAAAGAATGACATCACACGACCAGTTTCCGTGGAAGTTCCAAATGTCGTCCAACGACAAAAACGCGTAATAAACTGCATAAATCGCAAAAAATAAATAAATTCGATTTATTTATTTATTTGATACGCCCGAAATCGTCTCGACTAGCGCGAGAATATCCGACTTACCTACATTACAAATACCGATGTTGAACGTTCAACCGTGAAACCACGCCTTCCATCATACCAGAGGAATTCGCGACGAAAATAACGTAAAAACCCGATACTTTAAACTTCTAACGCGCGATTTATCCGCTTTAAAACACCCCTGTATATACAATTTCATCGAACGGGAGGAAAAAAATCAAGCAACCCAATTCCCGTAAACAAATACATCAATACGTCACTGCACCATCACATGTTTACAGAATCGCCTGTAACTCGATAACGGTCGAGGATCGCTCGGATTTCGATATATCGACATGCAAAAGGGGCCCTTAACGGCCCGAAATCATCGACTTACCTTCGTCCAGCAGCCTCTCTACGTGGATGAAAACATTGGGAAATGCGGCTAGTTGTTTCCTGTCTTTCAGCAGCTGAGCCAGATAGTCTGCGATGCTCTGCGTGGACGCGCTATTTTGGTCGCACATGATTCGATGGTGTCGCTTCGAATGGCATGCAAAATGGTTGGTTTTTTTGTTGTTTGTTTCGTTCGCTTCGATACGGTACGTGCGCGGTCGGTTTAACGGCGGATTTCGACTGAACGTACGGGCGACATCGTCAGGAGGACTGCGAAGAAACGCGGAGTCGATGTCGGGTGGTGCGGCGCATGCGCCGTGACAAGCCGCCTATGCGCACTCGAGGTTTACCTAAAAAGGGTCGGCGGCGAGTAGGCGTTGCCGGCGTTGTTCGGATTTCTTTGCTCGTCGGGATATTCTTTATTTCGTTTATACTTGCTAATTAATTGATCTCACGGGGAAATGGCGCTTTAACCGAATTAATACGCCCAACATTTGCGAGGCGTTATTTTTCCAATGACTACTTGACCCAAGTGCTAATGTCACATCTGTCAAAACCAAAAATTGCAGTTATCCATCGATAACCTACTACGATTTATAGACTAGTACAAATTTTATATTTAATTCTAAAATAATTGCAGGAATATTTTCTGTAGCAATAATTTAATTGTGTTTATAATAAGGCAACTCATATTACAGAAACGTCACTGGTGGAAATGTACCGTTGTGTGTAACCCTTACTAGTAAAAGGCCACTTACAAATTTTTTCCACGGCGGGAAATTCAAACGGTATTAATTCACGACTCGTTTTATTTACGTTGTTTCTAAGCGAGTGTGTAATTTTCCGTTTTCGATGCACCGAGAGGCTCGTTATGTGCAAAGGCTGCGCTCTCGGTATTTACCTTGAAATCTCGAATCGTTTTACGTGCGGTAAAAAAAACATGGCGAACGAGAGTCGAAAAACGAACGTTAATTATAAAAGTAATCCGAGCATTTCGAGCCTACATCTTTCGCATTTGAATACACCTTTGCGGATTTCGAAAAAGTCGCTTTTGCTCGAATAGGAATCGGCCCACGCGACCCCTTAACATTCTCTCGTTTGTTTGTCGTGTCACATGTCACAAAAGACATATACCTACTTGATTAGAATTAAATTATAGAAATTATGACGATTTTTTTTTAATTATGGCGAAAAAAAAACCTTTAATAAACCCTTTACGAGGCATTAAGTAATCGTTAAAAGATTAAACAGATGTAAATTGTATACGCAATAACTAGTTTCACATAGTCCTTTTCTGAACAGCAAACAGTACATTTATTATATTATTTCATTATGCAATAAACAAATAAGATAATAAAAAAAAAGCGATTCATGTCAATGTTCAGTTGGCTGTTTTTAGAAAATTAACACATCTGCCGTGAAATCGCGGGCCAGTTTAAATATTAAATTGTTTTCGCAGGCCGGACGGTTTTGGTTTAATAACTGCGTCGGACATTTCGCAATGCCGACACGCCGGTGAGATGAGATTTAAAGCTGTAGGTAAAACGAGAAACGGTCTGTATGGCGCCGATAATATAACGAAAATAGACTTGCATTTTCGTAATATCGCCTTATGTTTCGCCCGGCCTTTTTTCTATAAGGTGGAAAATTCGTTAAAGAGCCGCACCATTCCGTCGAATCTAGGAAGCTGGTGACGACTAGCTTGTTTAATATGACAGTTTTACATTGGTTGTTATGGAGTAACTAAGGGCTTTGCTTAATTTGACAGTTTTACGTTGGTTGTTATGGAGTAACTAAGGAGATTGTTTATGGCCCAAGAAACGATTGATTAGCGTTAAAAACGAGGTTAATATTTAACGAAAAGACAACACAAATGTCTTCTGGACAAACCATTTGATATTCATCGAAATCTTCCTCGTGAAAACACCATCGTTCGGTCTAAAATAAGCGACACTCGTGGAATTACCTGAAGGTATAGAAAAGGCTTCGGAAAACAACAACCAGAGCCCCGTGGGTTGAAAAATAAGCGCCGACGTCACCGGGAGAGGCGGTGGGCGACGCGGTTACCAAAAGACCGGCCCACGCGGGGCCCAGAAATAAGGCCCATATCGAGCGATATGCGAGAGCCCGTGGGCGGCAGAAAATCAAGAGAGCGACCTTCGAGTTTTTGTCTTGGTCTTGATTACCCATTTACCTTTTACTTATTATATATATTGTTGCATTATTTATTACGCTTAGATATGTTTGGGCGTTCGATTCTGTTTGTACTTTCTCTCGAGAAAGAAGCCGTGCTGAAGATTAGAAAAATGTACTAGAGGAAGATAGATTGAATTTTTGGTCGGTTGGGGAAGATGTGGAAAGCTATAAGTACATGGAGGCTTTATAGTAGAACAAAAATACATTAGATAGCTAGAAATTTGTCTAGTACTTGCACTAATACCTAGCGAAAACAAACAAGTATCCTTACAACTCCATCTTTAAACTACATTTTACCCATTTTCTCGTTTGTATACTTATGGAAGATTTTCACAGCTTCTTTCTAATCTCCCATACACTTACGTAAGTTAACGCGTAAAATGAATGAATAAAATCTAATGCTAATAGACGGCCCACGCGCATTGCGACTTTGATTCGAAAACGCCAAGTATAGCTCACGATAAGTATTAATAATAACAATAATAACGCTTCGAGTTTGCAGCAAAAGTACGATAATTGCGCAATGACTAAGTGTATCATTAAATAAGCGACCAGATCAAACGAAAAGTCGCCGCTACATTTGTAAAATGCACCTCTTTACTGAGGAAATAGACATTCAAGGAGAACAGAAACAAGTACACATCTATCATCAATAGTTTATTTATAAAATAAAAAACAATCAACAGAATCATCTACTAAACTGCCTTTTACCGTCCCCCCCTTTACCCTTATAATTAGGCTTCGGTTGCCTATACACAGTATTCTTCTTATAATCCCTCGATCCCATACTGTTCATATTCTTGTAGAAACCGAACCCTCCTCCGCCCTTCCGGTTCTTCTCCGGCCTCTCCGCTTTCTTCGCAGACACCTTCAAATCCACAGCCGGAGGCACTTTAAAACCGAACGACAGCGCCACCTTCGCCAAATCCAACGTACTAACATCGAATATCGTCTTCAGATGATGCGAATCGTACGCTCTCACGTAAGCCTTGAAAGCTTCCTTCGCCGATGTATTCAAAAAGTAATTTTTACCGATCAGATTCTCCAACTGAAACGAATTTACTATATAAATCGTTCGATAGCAGGTTAATTTTTTCGGTACCTGCGGTTGTATATCGGATATCTTGCTCCAACTGAACTCGAACTCGTTCAACGGCACTTTCGCCTGTTTCAGATACCTCAAGAATCCCAATTCTTCGGGTCTCAGAATGAGTAAAGCGTGTCCCGAACTCCCCTCGCCTCGAGCCGTACGACCCACCCTACGAAACAACGAATCAGTAACCGAATAACTCGGTAAGTAAAAGCCTTATAAACCTGTGAATATATTCCTTCGGATCGTCCGGTGGATCGAATTGCACGATCCAATCAACCGCCGGTATATCCAATCCTCTTGCTGCTACATCGGTACACAACAACGTACCGGTTTCTGCGTTGCAAAATTGAAAGAAAGTCGTCGTTCGCTTGGTTTGTTTCTGTTTACCCTGCAACCCAAAACGGTTTACACCCTCTCGAGGATCTACGTTAAATACACTTACGTGAATACACATGACGGGTAAATCGATGTAATTGAACAACTCGTGGTGGTATTTAACGGACATGCACGAACTGAAGAACACCATCACCTTCTTCTTCCTGTTCTTTTTGAGGAAAGTGAAAAGAACCAAGAGTCGTTTATCGGAAGGGCACACCACGTAACCTTGCTCCAAACCGGACACGGTGGCCTCGTCTTTGGCGTCATCCACGCCCACGTAAACGGGCTCTTTTTTCAAAGCGAGCGAAGTCAAAGCGTCCGTTTTCTTATTCTGAGTAGCACTGAACAACATCGTTTGCCTTCGTTCTAAAAACACAAACAATGTATTTGAATCTCCGAACTATTCGATCGTTACTCACTCGGTAAAATGTTGATAATCTGCTTCATCTCCTCTTCGAAACCCACTTCCAATATACGATCGGCTTCGTCGATGACCAAGCACTGTAGATTTTTGTACAAAAAGTCCGGGGTGTTTTGGAGGTGATCGAGCAACCTGCCGGGCGTCGCCACCAAAATATTAATGCCTTTAGAGAGTTTCTGGGCCTCCGTTTGTCGGGCTGTGCCGCCCATGACGAGGCCGTACGTATGATGGTGATATTTCATCAGCTCTTTGAGAACGCCGAACGTTTGCATGGACAGTTCCCGAGTGGGTGATATGATGATGATTCCCGTACCGTTCCTCGGCATGAATTTCAGTTTGTAGATGAGCTCGACGGAGGGAACGAGGAACGCCAGGGTTTTGCCGGAACCCGTTTTGGCGGCTCCCACGAGATCTCTGCCTTCGAGTAGGGGCGGTATCGAGCGAGCTTGGATCTCCGTCATGCTCGTAAAACCCATATCGGCTATGGCTTTTAGGGTGTTTTCGCATACTGTGTCTTTTAGGGACTCGAACGAGCTGTTACTGAGGATTTCCAATGTTGTACTCGATCCCGGTACTGAAACGATACAAACGGTGGTAAGTATACAATGTATAGAAATATCTATTAATTCGTAGATAATAGAATTAATCAGTGTTAATGAATGTGTACTCATTATTCTCGACTCGCTCGTTTCGAGGAATCAACATCGACTCGAGAGTGTTTTCGAGGAGTATCTTCGACTCGATTAGCAAGGAAAGTTTGTATTCGCCTTTAAGTCATCATGAGTTTTAAATGGTGTGGATTCTTAATAGATTATGAAATGGGAATTACATTTATTTCCTAAATCTGTCGCATCTTCTACTTCATCGATATCCGAAGGAACATCCGGTTCTTCTTCTTCCTCTTCGTTATCGAGATCTTCGTCTAGTTTCGACGGTTTTTTCTTCTTCGGATTCTTTTTCTTTTCTGAAACGAAACGTTCGTTATTATTGAGTAAAGGTAACAGTTTCGTGTATTACTCTTAGCCGGCCCGTTTTCGTTATCTAGCACTCTTTTAACTCCTTTGGTTGGCTCGACGTCGAGGTTTTCATCTTCTACAACAAATAAATTACAACTTTTGCGAAACAATAATATTTAGAGGTTAATTACCTTGTACTTCCAACTCCTTTTTCTGCACTAGTTTGAGTTTTTGCTTCTCTCGCTTTTTTATTTTGCGCATTAAAACTTTGTCTTGAATAGACATTTTAAATAAATCTAATAAAATTTACAAACGCACGTGTCGAACTTGAACATTCGCGTTCGTCGTTGATTTGACATGACATGACACACGTCAAATGTCAGCAACTCTTCTTTTTAATTTCTGCCTCTAACTAATCGGTGTCCAGCCACATAGTAGATTACGCAGCCAACGATTTCGGCGTCAAATTCGAATCGCCCAAATTTCAAATCGCGCCTTTCGAACTTCGATTATGTTAAAATGGGATGCAGGAGTTCCAAAAAGAAGCAAATAGTGATCTATCTCAGCAGATTGAAATTGCTGGAATACAGGGAAATGTTCGACATGTTCGACGAGGACGGAGACGGAAAAATCACCTTAGAGGAAATAATGAAAGTCCTGCAAAGTTTAAACGTGCACGTCAGCGAAGCCGAGGCTCAGATGATGATGAGCGACGTCGATCTGGACGTCAGCGGTACCATCGATTTCGGGGAATTCCTGCTGATGATCTACACGCATTTGCAGCAGAAGAGGCGAAAACAGGACATTATCGAGATGTTTAACTACCTAGATGTTCGACATACAGGTGCTAAATCTTATACAGTGTAAATCTATTAGAATTTGCGCCGCTTTTCAGGCGAAATTAACTTCGAAGACTTGAAAATCGCGATGCTCAGCATCGGCGAGGACTTCACCGACGAGGAAATCGCCGAAATGATGGAGGAAGCCGATCAAAACGGCGACGGAGTGATCGATTTTCAAGAGTTCAGCGATCTTTGTAAGCGGTTGTATTTATAAAACGCTAACATTTACTTATAAAATATATTTATCACCAAAATTAGATGCGTTTTTCATTACAAAAATAGTGACGAAACTTGTGTTGTATCCGAAAAAATTGTGATGCTTAATAATATCGCAACAAACTGTTAGTGATTTTCGAAATATTTCTTCTTCTCGATGGGATTCGGAATAATCTGTAATACATACAAATAAGTATTTATTACTCATCATATTTAATACACTTACAGTATCCTGTCCGGGTTTCCATCCTGCAGGACACACCTCCCCTTTTTCATCTGTATATTGAAAAGCTTGCACTAATCGAAGAGTCTCATCCACACTCCTACCAACGGGTAAATCGTTCATCGTAATCTGTCTTACAACGCCTTTAGTATCGATTATAAACAATCCTCTGGAATTTGGATTAAAACGAAGCATTAAAACCATCACATTTTTATGGCTACCCTACCTGAGGGTGTGCCCCAAATCGTCCAAATACACTCCGTAGTCTTTCGATATGCTGTGGGTCAGATCGGAGAGTAGAGGGAAATTGACTTTACCCAATCCGCCCTCCTTTCGGGGGGTGTTCATCCATGCTAAGTGAGTGTAATGCGAGTCCACCGAACAAGCCACCACTTCCGTGTTGATCGCTTTGAATTCCTCTATCCTATCGCTGAAGGCTAATATTTCCGTGGGACATACGAATGTACTAAACAAATTTGTTAATAACTCGAATAGATTTGGAATTGTCGTACTTACAAATCTAATGGGTAGAAGAAAAACACTAGGTACTTCCCCAAGTAATCGCTCGATTTCAAAGTGATGAATTCCCCGTTTTTTACGGCCGTGCTCTCCCAAAACGGCGCCGGTTTGGATACTTAAAGAATCGTTATCAATAAGCTGTCGCATGAATAATCGAGATTAGACAACTTACTAACGGCTTTCGAAACTTGCAAATTATGTTCACGGCCCTTATCCGAGTGAGGGTAGACACTCCCACCGAGGAACGTTTGACATGACTCGTCTCCGGTTGCACTTTTGAACAATAAAAGTGCGCTCACGCTAATTAAAAGCAGTTTACATAACATTGTTTTTATTTATGCCGAACGGTATGCTAAATATGCTAAGATAATCGTATTACACGTTGCTCTGCGTTGTAAACAACCGGCACTTATACTTATCGAAATGAGCTGTCACTCAACTGTCAAAAAAAATTTCAAGAAAAAGAAGACTGTCACGTGTCATTTTAATCACAAAACATATTCGTGGACTTTTACTAGTCGGATTATTGGCTATTCAAATTTTCAAAAATTGAGCCAAATTTGAAAATTTTGAAAACTACTAATCATATACGAAATAAAAGACATCTTTCTTTCTCTACGCAACTTATACAGGGAAGCCTAGATGATTTAAAGGAAGTTGTACAAAATAAAAACGTATTATTTATAAAAAAAACAAAAAAATACATGAACAAAAACACTTTCGATTAATAAAACATTAAACAAATATTCCTGTAAAAACCGTTAAGCACCGACATTCTTCTTATTAGCCGGAATATACGATCTCTTAGTGATCTCAGCCAGAGCCTCCAGCGTGCCTTCCATCACGTAAGGCATCGGCCCCCGGATCCCATCCGGAGTCATGTACACCGAAGGCGGCATCCCCACGGAGGTAACCACCAAACAAAACACCTTTTCCAACACCTCCAAAGGCTCCGGCGTGATCAAAACGAGCCTCCTATTTTGCATATCGACGCCCCGAACCAAACCGTACCCCAACACCCGAACGAGCCCCAATTTCTCGGACACCACCTCGCCCAGAGCCACCAAATTCGCGTTCGCAGCCGCCTCGGGCAGTCTTCTACCTTCGGAGTCTCGAATTTGGATACTCTCGAAGCCGATCCTGAAATAATTCACGATTTTTAAGCTACAATCGGCGGTAGATTTAACGCTTAGTACTTACTCGTACATGGGCAATTTGTAGTTAGTCAACGATTGTATTTCATTGCACATCATTCGAGCGAAGTAAGCCAACACGCACAGTTCCCTGGCTTGTCTGGATTCCAAAAACCAGCCGGTATTGTCGTCTGTTAACGCCACGATTTTCCTCAAAGCGAAATTAACGTAGCTCGGATCGCCCCCGAAGGCTTTCAAGTTTGATTTAACCGTTTCCGGAGTCAAATCGCATTTGAAATTCTTCTTGGAATGTTTGCTGTTTATTTGCAGCACGTCCGTTGGTTCGATGTATGTAATAACCGATGAGATTATATTCAATCCGATGCCTTTCACGAAACCCATGTAATTCACCAAAACCGGCACGTTTTCATCGGAATCCATTTGGATAAGATGCTTGATTGTTAACAAATACTTCTTCGGATTGTGTCCGATGTTGATGTTCGACAAGTACGATCTGGAAGAGTTTACGTGTAGAATTTAATAAGCTTCGATTAGTAGTAATTACCTGTCTGTGTTAAGTAGATGCGTGTAATTCGGTCCGAAAACAGGTTCTTTTATAGTCAACACCGATAGACATCCGGGTATCGAAAACTCGGATTGTCCGGGATCCAAATCGATCACTCGAATCGCCTCGAATCTGCCCAAAAGCCTGTTAATGGCGTATCGCAGGAAATTAGTTTTCCCCACGCCTTTACCTCCTGCTACAAGCAGTCTCGTAGAGGGCCCCACGCGTTGCAATATATCGTCCCATTCGGGGTGAACGGAGCACAAGTTAAATCTATCTTTCGGGTTGAAGATTATTTGCGGTTCGTTCCTCGCGGGGACTTTGGGAACCAACTGATGGGCCGCGTGTTTTTCGATGAACGAGAATTTGTGGGCGTCGATCGGGGAGCACGTGAAGATAGCCACGGTTTTCTTCAAACGCAAGTCCTTCAAGCAATCGTACTCTTCTAGAATCTCGTCGAAATTGTCTTCTTCACTAGCTGTCGTGAGATTGTCTATCACCAACAACGAAGAGCCTCTCGGGGAGTACAGTTTGACTTCTTTCGAGCGTTTCGTTAGAGTGTAGCCGAAAATGTGCACTTTTCCGTAGAGCAGTTTCATCGAACATAGTCCGAATATCGGTACACACGATTTTTGTTTGAGTACTACTAGTTTTCGATTACCCAAATCGAAACATTTGTGATTTTGGTTCATGAAACAAGTCGGTTTGGACTGTTTCTTCTGGTTCTTCTGTTCCACTAAGGGAGTCGAGGAACGGGGCGTTTCTTCTTCTATATCTAATAAACGAGACTTTAGAATGTAAATTAATACAAAAACATAAACTCACGTATCGTAGAAGGCTGATAATCATCCATTTCATCGGATTCGATAAGTGTAGGACTCCCGGAAGTGCACTGAACATTCGATACTTTCGTGCTTCGCTCGTGGAAAGTTTTATGAGTTATTTTTTTATCGATAGTAATTTGAATATTATCGAGTTGGGTGTTCAATAAATCGTAGTCATCGTCGTCGGAAATCGTGACGTTAATATCGGAAGTGTTCATATTAAAGAAGCTACTTAGGCTGGAATACCGATTAGTAGTGGTCTTCGTGTTTTCAGTTTTCGAGCTACAAATTTGGTTTTTGTGTTTCTCGCCTGTGTTAGAACAGCCCGACGTCGATGGAAGTATTTTTAATGTATCTTTTTTCGCAGTTTTCATGCTTTTATTACCCTTGTGGAACTTTTCGTCGTGTTTAGGACTGTCTACGAATACGTCGTCACTGAACGATCTTTTCCTTTTATCCATCTTCCGAGCTTCTCCATTTTGAGATAGTTTAGTTATTTGAGCTATTTTAAAACCATTCTTATCACCCTTTCCTTCTGTTATCAGCTTGGGCTTGTTCTTTTTATTTATCTGCGCTTGGATGCCGGCGGATTCCTTGCTCTTTTTGCCGCTGGAAAGCTGCTTTTTCTGTAAGTTTTGAACGGAAATGTAATCTTTATCTTCGACCATTTTAAATATTTTGATCTCCTAAGCACATTTTTTTAAAAATAAAAATATTATTGTTATTCTAACCCTATATATTCTTCATTTTTTGTAGTTTTAATATTCATATTAGTGTTCTGTGAGAGTGACAGATACGAGTCTCACATGTCAACGTAAACATTTGGTAAAAATTTGAGTTGGCAACTAAGGTATTTGTGGAATTTGAATTTTCGTAAATCTTATTCAATCATTTGATTATTTTGGTATTTTTCTATGACGTTTTTAAAGTTGCACAAGTACATAACTTGGTTCTTCTTCTTCTGTTAATTGGCCTCTTGCATTTAGACGAATCCGGCCAGCTTAGCTTACAAAGATGGAGGTTCTTACAATTTTGAGAGACAACAAAAATAAAACACGACAAACTTTTCCCTAATTTATTTTAATCTCTCGCACACATTAATCCACCTACCATTTCTCATCGAGTCTTCTTAACCGGTTCTAGAACGGGGTAGGAAGCGCGCAGAGCCACTCCGCACATATTGGCGTCCTTCAGCAATCTAAAGTAGCCCTTTTCGCCCCATTTCCTGCCGAACGAGCCCCTCAACAGCCAGTATTTGGTGCCGTTCTCAACGCCGTAACCCACCAACAACGCGCTGAGGTCCAAATACTGCACCAAATTGACGCAACTGCCGGTGTAAATCCCTCCGGCGTAGTCCAAAACCCAATCGCCGTAGATCGACACCGATATCGGGCCGATTTCCGCTACAGAAAGAGACCACGCGTGAATTAATTTGACGTTTGACAGTTCGATTGAATCGGCGCGTCTGGCCTTTTGCTGATCAATCAACCAGCAATTTGGTTATACAGCGCAATATTTTTCGACTCACCGAGGGCGTTTCTGAGCTGCTCCTCCGTAGCTCCAACGGTCGCGGTGTACTTCATGGCGGCGTATTTCTTCGATACGACCCTGCAATCGCCCGGGTGCTTCCTGAACGGGTAGTCGTCGAAGCTGTTCAGGCCTCCGGCTTGCATGATGTAGTTGTAGGAGTTGCTCTGGTTGCCCCCCTGGCAATTGGCGTTGTTGTGATCGCAGTCGACCAGCTGCTGGTCGCTCAGCTTCACGCTGATGTTGTTGACCAGGTAGTTTTGGCCCTCGAGGGCTCCGGTCTGCAAGAGATCTTGAGCTAATTTGCTCTAGTGTAATCGAGTTTGAGGGTATAATTACCACGCTGAAGGCGTAACTTGCGCCGCAATTGCCTTCGTCTGACGCGGGGAACACGGCGGCCTTCTCTCTCCAATCCACTTGGTCCGGAACGTTGGCTGGAGTCTCGAAGGTTTTAGGCACCCAGTTGGTGGTGTCGTCGTGGATTTTCTTGAAGAAGCCTTGGGTTTCCTCTTTGGTTAAGTCGGAGAATCGGGTGATTCCTTTGTAGTAGGTCTCCAGGCCGGCGGTGTATCGGGCGTTGTGCTCTTCGATTTCCTGGAATTTGTCCTGGAAAATCCGGAAGCGGCGAGTTTCCTCGGCGATGTTTTGGTATTTTTTGTCGAAATCGGTCTGGAAAATGAATAAAAACAATACTTTTGTCGAATTGATTAGCTGGAGAATGTTTGTATACCTTGAATTTTTCCCAATGGTCTTTTACCGTGAGGGATTCAGCGGTTACAACAACAGCGAATAACAATGCAAAGAGTTTCATTTTTGTGTGTAATAGTACTCTGGAATAGACAGGTTTTTTTTATGGATGTATTTAAATTATTGAATATCTCACCTCTACTAACAATAATGTATGATTCGTACTTAATTGTTATAAGTATATTTATAAAGAAATCGGTCGTTATCGATTAAATACTTAAAAAAAATAAGTGCATTGGATTTTCTAGTGATTCTTTATCTTTGTATCAGACTTGAATGCTATTGAAAAGATATGCAAAAGTATTGATATCCAAAATCATGTTCGATTAAATTATTAATATTGTTGTAAATAGTTGTCAAGCTAATGATAATTTATCTAGTCACTATTACAACGGATTTTTTTAATATTTATCACCTTGGGTAAATTGAGACAAGAGAACCTCTTAACAATTGATCGATTAATCTACGTTATATAATAGGTTTGTTCCTACAAAAAGTCACTGATTTGTTACCAATAAGTTTCTGACTCTTCTATTTCGCATGCGCGGTTTATGATTGAATGGTGTAATCAAATTTCCGATTTCTTGATGGAACAGTCTTTACATTTATTACATATTCACCAAGTATCAAACAAAAACAACAAACAACATAACCTAATAATTAACCTATATTCAGAAATACAAATTAAACCCGAATTGAAAATGCGCTTGCGCCGGATTCTAAATCTCTGTACTATCAGCAAATTTTTCTGACTATCACAAAACCAGTCCCTTGAACTGTTGGAACAATAAATTGTTAACCAAATCAGAATCAGAGATGTCTGTGGAGTTTGTTGGAACGCCTAAATTATGACTGCGCAGACTCCTGACGACCACCGGCTATTTCTGACTGTTGTAGGAACAAACCTAATAACTTTTTATTAATTTGCATAAATTTTACATTAGTTTAGAACGATATAAGGTAGGGTAAATCACAGGCAAGTGAAGAGTAAATTTAATTTAATTAATTAAACTATTACAAATTATTTACAAAGTCGAGTCTTTCGAAAAAAACGATCCTAAAAGTATCAGAGAAACGTTACTCGGTTGAATGATGATGTCTTCTAAGCAATCCAAAAACGTGGCGTTTCCTAAAAAAATACATTTTTAATTACCTCAATTCATAAATAATCAGTTAAAAAATAATACTTTTTTTCGGTATACTCCACTCCGCGAACAAATCCTCTTCCACTTTATCGTAAACAAACAACTCGACGCAACCCAACTCTTCCAAAACCTAAAACCCACCACATAAAATACCATCACAATCCATTCCATCCACCCTACCTGTACAATATAAAACAAATCCACCGGTTTGATAAAAAAGTACTTCCCGCAAATCGTACCGAACGAAACGTTCGGATAATTCAAAACATACGACATAATATTAGACAACCAACTTTTCAAAATCGCCTTATCCAACACCCCGTCGACTCTCACCCAAGGCCTCAGCTTCATTCTAACCGATCTCGCTCTGAAACCAACACAACTAATTCCTCGAAATACTCAAATTTTTGGTATTTACTGCTTGGTGATTTCCTCGCCAGTACCCGACGGTACGCATTCCTTTTCAACCACCCAAGCCTGGTGAAACTTGTAATGCACAAACGCCAAATTCACCACGCCCGTTTGATACAACACCCCGACTTCTATCAGCACCTTCACCAATCGCACCAACGAGCTGTGAATCACCCGCTGCGAAAACGCCTCCTGGAAACACAAAATTACATACAGGACGTCCCGATATAGGCGTTACTCACCTGTAATTCGCGAGCCGTAGCGCCTATACTCTCTTTACCAGCAGCGAATTCGATTATATTAGTAGCCAATTCAACATCTTCATCACCACCACCCGATCCTCTTACAGATTCTTCGTAACACTTCTCCGCGATGAACCCATCGACGATAACATCTCTAGAATAAATCGAGCATAAGTCAGTAGTTTCTATCGATTTCTTCGCGGAGTTACCTTTCGATTTTGCTCCACAACGATCGGTTCCTGTCGGGGCACTCGACCCGTCGCACGATCTCGTTGGTTTGCAGCCCATCGTAATCGTCGACGATGATTTTCTCTAAACTAACAAACTCGTTGATGAAGTGACCTTTGAGGCGCACCAATCGCTCCGCGTCCATCTTCGAATCGGCGATGTTCTTCGACAGCAAATCGCTCAGCTCCGTGATGTGCGGTATACTCCTGTTCTCATCGTCTATATTCGCCTTTAACATGCCTACAAAAGTTATCCTACATATATATAGATGTAACCCTTGACAGGGGATATAGACTGATCGGCGAGAGAAATAAAAAAAAGTTTCTGGGGCATTGGGAGGTAGATAAAAAAAATCGCTGATTACGAAAATCTACCCTCTTTTCTCCAGCTAAATTCGTTTTTTTTTTCGTAATTCGATTTTGGAAGTAAAAAAAGTGAAATTTTTGACACATTTCCAAATAAATTACTCGATGGACGTTGCCCGTTCGTTTGGTTTGAACGGAACTACACCGAAATAAGAGACTTTTTGTTATTTAGACAATTTCGTCGTTTTTAATGGACGAGAATAAAAGAAAATGCAATAATACGCAAAAATGTACGTTTCTTGGTCATTTGTACTTACCAAAAACGGAGAAACGATCGAATTACTTTTAAAAAAAACTACACTAATGACAGCGGCGATGAACAAATTTCAAACTGTCAAAGTTGTCATTTCCGTTACTACGGGATACATTGACATTTAATTTGATGTACAGGGTGTTTTTTCATTAAGGTAATCGGAAAAATTGATATACGGAGCGTTTTTAACATTAAATGAAAAATTATTTTTAATAGAATTGAAATATAGTACAGGGTGACTCGTATTTAAGAAAATGTTAATTATACATTAACCGAGCTCGCGAAGCGAGCGAGGATTAGGCTAGCAAACTGTCGCGTTTAGCGAGTATATTTAATACTTGAAGAAAGAAAACGTTGAAGAAAGGTCGTACCTTCTTTGATTTCCTCGATCGTAGGTATCCTCGCCCAAGGTTTGTGCACAGCGCCATCTATCGCTTTGGCCACTTCTTTGGTTTCTAAGAAATCGGGAGAAGAGTTTCGAGCCGGAAATTCCGGACTGGGGCTCCTCCGTTCGCTCTTCGCCACGATGCAATCCGACACCCAAGTCTTCAAACGATCAATCGTCTCCGAATTCCCACCATCAACCACACTTTCGCCTTTAACCAAACACTCCGACACCTCCCTATCATCACCATCATCCACTCTAACACCATCGCTATCTAAATCGAAATCCTCCTGCAACGCCGCCAGCTTCGATCGATAGCGTCGCGCCAACTCCTGCACCAGCTCCTCGCGATCCTCCATCTCAGGATTCAAAGCTACGGTGCTGGGAGGGACGTAAAACACCAGCTTCGTTCGAGCTTCGATCGTGAAGAACTCGTTGAGGCCCAACAGCTGGCCGTAGCGCTTCTTCTGCACGGCCAGCTGCGACGATTCGACGCGCTGTTCGCGCCTGCGCGCTACATCGGCGAATGCGCGATAGGCTTCGGAGGCGGTGGTGGCGTTGAAGGTGCCGAATTGGAAGTAGGCGTAGTACTGGGATATGGAGAAGGGCACGTCCCAGATCTTGCCCACCTTCAGCTTCGATCTGAAGCAGAGGAGATTGAGCTCGCGTAATTCATTGACCGCCTCGCGGATTAGAGCGTCCGGATAGTTTTTGTAGATTTTGAACAGGTGCTTGGAGTGGTCGATGGTTTCTTTCGATGATAGCGAGCTGTGTATGATCGATTTCACGATTTCCTTCTTCACGTCGTACTCGCTGTTCGGGTCCGAGTACTTTTTGGTTTTGGGATCGATCGCAACGGATTCTCGTTCGGTGCGGTGCAAATTCTCGTCGGATAGATGATCGTGGTTGAACAAGTTACCTTCCAAAGCGTCGAAGATTCTTCGTTTGTTTCGTACGATGTATGACATTAATATCACGTAGGCGGCGGCGGTTTGTTCGTCGGTGAGTCTGAATGATTGTTTGTTGCCTATAGGCGAACCGATTTTCTCCAATAGAGGCGTGAAAGTATCGGAAATCGGTTTCAATTTGAACAAATTGACGACTTTGTTCTCGAGTCCGAGGTAGAACCGCTTCCTGGCCCTCCAGTAACGCTGTATGGCTCTGCAAAACGAACCGTTTACGCGACTAGTAAAAGACCGATTCACCTGATGTAGTACCTGGACGTTTTGTATTTGCTCGAAGGACAGGTCCTGTGCAGGACGTCGCGCACGGTGGTGTACGGTACGATTTGCTTCGAATATTTCCTGCGACCGTTCATGATGATATCGCCGATTTTGCAGAGCATCGCCGGCTCCTCTTCGGGTTTCGTCCATCGCACCCGCCGCGATTCCATCTTCTTCAAAATCACCTTGTCCAATTCGTCGTTGTACTCTCGCTTGGCCTTCTTCGACGTCTTTTTGGGCACTATCACCCTCGTGTAGGACTTGGGGCGGCGTTTCGGCCGCTTCTTCTCCACCGGCGGGGCGGTTTTTCGTCGAGAGGCCTTCGGTTTGGGCGGTATGAAGAATTTAGCGCCGGTGTTGGTGCTCGAATCGTCGAAAGACATGGACTTCGGTCGTACCTACGAAGACTCGAGGTTAGAAAGTGGGCTGTATAAGTGATGAGTAACCGACCTGTTTGAAGACTTCGTTTTTGAGGCCGATGTTGAAGTTTGTGGTGGATGTTGGGCAGCGATTGCGCGCGCGCCAGAACCAATTTTTGATCAAATGCGACCATAATGATGAATCTAAACCTCCTGCTCCTTTACCATCGCCTGGTATCACGCCGGTGTCGAGTCTACAAACGTTAATAGTATATATTTAATACATTGTTTTCGGTTTATAACGATTACTTGAGCGCTTCCTCTGCTGTTCTCGGTGCTGTGCTTTCGATTATTTCGGTTTTTGTGTTCAAATAGGACAACGTGACGACGTTACCCGGTTTCCTGAGGTTCAATTTAGTGTTCAAACCTACAAAAAGAACCAATTTAACACCTCATTAACAACTATATACAAACCTACATACATATGTAATGCAACGTCTGCCAGTACTGCTCCAAATCGGCGGATTTATTGAAATAAAACGGCACAGTAGGATACTCTTTGCATTCGATTTGATTGTAACCCGGAGCGCTACCCTTCGTGTCCTTTATCGAAGCCCTCCGGTTCAAATAGAAGAACGTCTGCTCCTTCTCCTTGTACTTGTGGGGCCCGAATTGCGCCAGCCCGCAGAACACCAGGTGGCTCAAAACCTCGTACATCCAACACGAGTACTTCCTCTTATAAAACAGCACCCTTCGTTGGGCTTCGGGGAGATCTTTCACCAAATAGAACCGTTTGACGGGATGATTCAGCAGCCCGAGCAGCTCGTCGTCTTCGAAGCTGCAGTTGTACAATTTGAGGAAGACCGATAGGGGGAATCGGGGGATTATGTCGCAGAGGAGCGCCCAACCGGTGGGCCAACCGGTGTGCTTCGGTAGAGGCGGTACGAACATTTTCCAGCCGATTTCATCGCTGTAAATCGGCGGTAGGTCGCTCAAATCTTTGTTCGTCAGCTCAATGTGGTGGCTCTCGAACAAACGATTCACATCGTCGAGCGCTAGAGGATTTTGAGTACCGGTGTAGTCGTATATTAGATAGAAGAGGAACTCGTGCATGATTCTTATCCTAAAATAACAACGATATTTAGCATGATAGAGTTGTTGGTAGTGGAGTAGTACCTGGTAAACTTCTGTTTAAACCCGTAGGTGAGTCCTATGTTTTTGTTGATTTTCTTATTCAAATCTTTCGCTATCGTTTTGTTCAAACTGTTCATTTCTTTGATGCTGTTCAGTACATCCGCTTGGGAAAACGGGGATTTCCCCATCATCTTCTGCAAGTTCTTCTGCACGGCTGGTACGTGGGGCTTCGTGGACTTCTCCGCGCAACTGGTGAAACATTTCCATTGGATTTTCTGGCAAGCGTTCGATATTCTCTCGTCTCTATGATCGACCTTAGGATGGCAAATAAACACCGTGGTTTTGTTGATGCTCTCGTTGTACAAGGAAATTTTGAACACTTTTATGTAACCTTCGTCCACCAGCCGCTTCATCAACCTGTACATCGATTTCCTGTCGATTCTCTTATCGTAACCTGCAAGCATCGTTACGATGGTTTCCATGCTATCGATCAAACGAATGACGTTTGTATCGAGAAAATTCGTCGGAAATAATGGTGAACGATAAATGCGAACAAGGCGGTAAGACTAAAAGCGAATGGGACGCCGAGAGCCTCATAGAAAGATGCTGGAGGCCTCAAAAGGAGACCGACAGCAGGCCCTATTTGATACGGGACGCCTCCTACAGGAGCCTCCTGGAACCCGATCCGAAGTGCTCGATAACGAGGAGCTCCTACGCCGAACCGGTCTACGACGATCGACCCACGTTGGGGATCAGAAAGTCGCAAATGCTGAAGCAATTCCAAGCCGAAGCCGAGTGAGTAATCCACTCATAAGTTAGGTAATTTCTAGTACAAATTAACTATCGTTTTAGGGCTGAAATAGCGAAAGAAAGAACGCCCGAGAAACCAACGGGAACCTACGTGACTAATTACGATTGTTACCATCGCATCCCGGGGTTCCATCCGGACGATAAGTTCTATATGAAAGAGAACGAATTGTACGGGAAGTACCCGTTGTACTCGACGCGTCCGCCAATCACCACGGTGACTTCGTTCAAATTGAAGCGAAACGCCGACGATCTGTCGCCGGGAATCACCCGAGTGTTCGACAAGAACAATCCGTTCCGGAAGTGCTCGGGGTTCTCGAAACCGGTGCACGAGAAACTCGACGGTAGTTGGTAAAACGGGGGGGTTTTTTTGTATTTCTGAGGTCTGGAAACTGCGGTTACTAGTTCCTAAAACGGCCGGTAGGAGACGATTTTTTGCGTACGAATTATATGGAATTGGCATTAAAAAAATATTCAAATTAAAAATATACCTTAATAAGCGATGATTTTGTTGCTAACGTCGTTTTTTCGTATCTTCGGTTAATGTATTCCTCCATTTTCTCATCGAAATGTCAACAAATAATTTTTGACACTTTTGACAGCTCGAACTGTCATTTCACACAACCGCGATTTAAATGTAGCGCGACGCTGATTGGTCGAGATAAATTGATCATCCGATCGTCCGAGCTCAAAAAGTCCTTAAATAACGGGACGCATTTTCTAATGCAAAATCATAAGTTGTTTCCAGTCCTTAGAAATATAGAACCGTATTTAGTACTGTTTTTTTTTTCGCTAATCCGGTAGCGACACCACGCGGCGATAATCGAAATCGACAACTGTCAGCTGTCATTGTGAAAAAATTTAAAAACTTTTAAATTTAAACAGTACAAATACAAAGATTTGTTGCTTCTAACGCAATCGGGTTAGTATACGCACTATTTTTTACAACAATCTACTAAATTATAAACATTTTTTTGATAAATAAACAGACTCACCCTCCTCAGTTTCGGCGTCGAAAATGAGCTTGTTCAACTTCGAAGCCTCTTCGATCACCTCCATTTCGTTGACGAGATTAAGGATAATTTGAATCCGATGAAGGACTCTCTCCGTAAGGGTGTTATCAATTCGCTCGTACACCTTATTATACCTGTACTGTAATGGCTTCGTCGACGATACGATTTCTTTGGTTATGTTCTCCTGTCGTTCGCGCGACTCCACCACGGGGCGCTCCCCCATGTAGTCGAGCTTCGCTTTGTTGGCTCGAGTGGCGTGAGGTTCGAGCGGTTGCCGCAGGTCCGGTAGAGGCGCTTCGATCGGATCGGATTCGGTCTCCGTTAGGCCTTCCGTTATTCGGATCTCGTCGAGATGAGCCCTCAATAACAGCGCGATGGTTTTCATCGATTTTTTCGATTGATTCGTAACGTAGTGGTCTCCGATGTTGCTGGTCACCGGATACTTTTTAGCGGCTGCGTTGATGTTGTTTATAATAGTATTGATGTCGAACGATGGGTTGGTTAAAGCGAAGAATGTTAGGTTTAGAGCGGGTCGCTTGGTTAGAATTAGTTCCGAGTTTATCGATGGGTTAATCGCTTCGGTTTTGATTGTAGTTTCGAAATTAGTAACTAGAAATTTACAAGATGAAATTGAAGGTGTATCAGTTCGTAAGATATTCGCTTGTACGATTGGTTCGATTTGTTCCTCACGAGGTCTTTTACTAGCTTTAACCAAAGCCATTCTTTGTTTCTCTAGTATTTTTTCTTTAGCCGTTGTTTTTGGAGTTGTATCGTTGAACGATTCATCGGGTTTTACTGCACACGAAGTTGTGTACCTTAAATACAAAAAATTAAATTCGAAACACTCTGTATAGCGTGTGAGAAGCATTACCTGTATCTTCGCACTGTACCGGTATCGAATTTAACGAGTTTCACGATTCCTTTTTCGTTCAATTTCCTCAAATTCAATCTCACAGTATTATCATCGAATCCCGTCGAATTTCTCACGTCTTTCGCTATACATCCCTTATCTCCACTCAAATATATCTGATAGTAGCAGTTCCTCAAGCTGTCCATGTTGTAAATCATCTGTCCGGATAGCTCTTCGTCTGGAAATTACAAACAAATAAGCACCGAACGCTGTCGATTACAACACGATGTGCACCTTCTTTATCATCATCATCATCGGAATGCTCTTTATCTTTGTCGTCGTTCCTGCAAAACGCCGCCACGTTGATGTAGGGATCGATCAATTGGAAACAGGACACGAATCTCTCGCTTTTCCCTTTGGTCAAACATTCGCCGAGCGAAGCCTCCGGATGCAACAATTTATACGGGTACACCTTCACCGTAACGCACTTTCTGAAATCCGCGTGCTTCATGATCTTCCCGAAGTTCGCGTACATCTCCGAGTACATCTCTCTCACTACATGACTCTCGATGCGAAACCCCGGCTGTTTCTTCAAGAAGTTTATAATTTCGCCCACCAGGTAGCTCTGGTAGGTCTGCACGTTGACGTAGAAGCGCTGCAGGTGCAGCAGCGAGCCGGCTTTGTTTTGATCGTAGACGGGCGATTTGATGTAGAAGTTTTGGTGGGAGACGAGCCGGCGGGCGGTTAGCTGTTTCTTGTAGTGGAAGACCGTTTTGGCGTCCATGTCGAAGGCCGAACCGATGGAAGTGTGGCCTTGGGTGAGCTCGCCCAGTTTCCTGCTGCGTCCGACTCGCTCCAGCAGGCAGAACTCCGCGTTGAGGAAGGAGATTAGAGGATCGATTTGGTCCCCGCATAGGGCTAACGTGCGAAGGTTCTGGTCGGCTACGATGGCTAGTTTAAGACCGTATCTACAATGTAATATTCGAACAGTTCGTATTATACAATTCTAGTATATTGTACCTGTTTTCCGCATCGGTGAGAGTCGATTTTGTCACTTTATTGGTTATATCGATCCTTTCGTCGAACGTAGAACAAGATCCCAACACGACCGGGTTACTTACTAACTTCACGGGGTATATATCGGGTAGTTTATAAGCCTGTGAAATTATCTCGTTAAACGTTAATACAGAAATAATTTGAATTATTATACCAATTCCAAAACTACTCCTATGTCTGTGTTAATATAATCGAAACGATTGTATATTTCCAATTTACTTCTCGGTTCGGGTAGCTCGTAGATTTGTAAGTGACTGTTACAGGTTATTATATGTTGCCATATGAAGTTTTTGATGTTATGGTTTATGATTAGATTTCCTTCTAAGGCAATCGATAGTCGTTTCCAAAATGCTACGATTGAATATATTAATCGAACGAAATGTAATAGAGTGAATAAATTACCTTCTATTGTGATGCCGTCTAAACCCTCTAAGCTAATTTCGTCTAAAATATGATAGTAAAAGTCTGTAGATATAAATTTCAAGTAACTGTTTTTCAGTTCGTCGCTGAATAATAAATCGTTCGTAAGATCATCTTCTAAGCTCAATAGGGCGTCTGTGGAATTTTGTAGTTTGCGTACTAATACATTGCCTGTTTTGCAACTGTATTCAGGTGGCTCCGCGCGTTTGTTTATGAACTGTTTCTCCTTGGGTTCCTCCAAAATTGTGGAAGATTTCCGTTTTATCGCAGACGCTCTCTCCTCCGGTTTGGTTTTATCTTTCTTGGGCCGCTTTATTATGCGCTGGTTAATGTCGGAAAATTGAGGTTGCAATCTTTTACCCATTTTTCGCACTTGAAATCAACCAAAATTGAGAAAACTCGAAAATTTACAAGTTATTTGTTGAGGTTAAGTGAATTGTATGTTTTGACAGTTTTGACACTGTTGACATTTAAGTGGACTTTTACATCGCGATTATTCAATAATATTAATAAAATTTGTTTGAATAAGAAAAATGTTGTTTTTTAGTATTGGGATTTAAAGTATAGTTGCTATTGTAAAATCATAAATCAATTTAAAAACTTGAATTAAGTATTATGGTATACATTTTATCACTAACGTGAAGTTAATACTGAATGATATTTATAAAAAAGAAGAAACAGTTTTCAATTTGAAAACCTGAATATGGGCGAGTTTAAAAAAGTGTCGTGCTGTAAAATTCGTGAACCATAGACGAAAATTTATGCAGAATAAGGTAAAACTAAACTAATTTTTTAATATCACCTCTATATGACAAAGTTTACAATGTACAAAGCCGGTAAATTAGGTTTTAAAAAAATGCACACCAAAAAATCATAAATTTCAGAAATATTTATTGAATAAACAGAATCATATTGTAGAAAGCAAAATTTACCGTCCATAGAAACGTTTGAACGCCATTATCAGTGAATTGACATTACCATTGTCTATTCTGGCCAATTCTCTACCATTTAAATCGAATGTAATAGTGGGCAAACGTCTTACATTATGAGCCACAGCTTTCTCTGGATCCTGATCTACATCAATCTAAAATTAAAAAAAAAAAAACATATTTACAATATCATACGATCTATAAGTGCAACAAAAACAACTTCCAATAGTTTCACACAAAAGAAAAAGAAAGAGTGATGATTGTGGGTTGATAGCAACTTTTTCACTCTAACCACTGTTATATCAATAATCTTTCTCTGTCATCAACTTTTTGGATACCCTGTATATTATAATTTTCTTACCATATTTAAACGAGCATTGGGATAAGACTCCATCAAATAAGACAAGACAGGTTTGATTTCTCTGCAGGCCCCACACCAATTTGCTGTGTAAAACATGACAAAAACGTGTTGCTTATTTTCGATTATAGTTTCCTCGCTTTCGGAAAAGGATTCCTCGGAAGAGGACTCCTCAGAGTCCGAGTACTGCAAATAATTATTAATTAGAAATACTGAACAGTTCAGAACATTCACAAGTTCCTATAAGACCTCGAAGAGTACAGCAATTGTACAGAAATGTGCTGGAATAAATGTAATTATTTAAATATCAGAGTATATTTACTTCATTGTAGCCTTTACAGCCCGGGCAATTTACACAATTCTCGCAATACCGAAGCTTTTCGAGGCCCCGCAGGCGGTCTTCTCCTGCTGATAAATGAATTGCCAGAACTGAAACAACAAGTACAAATAATTTCATCTTCGACGGTGTTTCTTGCATCAAAACCCTCGAAGAAAATTGCGAAAGTTTTGGACCAGACAACGCATTTATAAACGAGCTTTTATCGCGCACACTAAACAAAAAAAACCCATAAAGTTTTAATGCGGAGATGCATAAAAACTTTAACAGTTTTTTCGTGCTCCAACCCACCAACAGTAAAATCTAATCGCCATTATATATACATCACGATTCCCTCACCTTCGCATCCATCAAAAGTTCTGCGATCTCTTGCGCTTGGTGTCCATAGCGTCGAGCATCGGCTGCCTCTTCACCTGGTACCGCTTCCGCAGCTCGTCGATCTCCCGCTCCATGAACGAATCCAGCGTGTTCATGCGCTGCTGCAGCTCCTCCAAGCTGAGGTACTTCAAGAACTCGAAGTCCCCGTAGGTGAGTATCTGTTGGTTATCCAACGGTTGGACGTTCACCGGCTCTGCCAGTATGAATTGCACGTTGTCGAAGGTACTACTCTGATCGTTAGAGGAAGAGGATGCCATCGGGGAGTTGTCGTTTTTGATTTTTTGATCGTCGTTGGTGTCGAAATGATCGAGGAAAGTCGGTCGGTATTTACCAGCTCGGGATACGGTGGAGTTGTATTTCATGGTGTGATCCTCCACGTCGTTGTTGATCACCATGGTGCCCAATTGGGATTCGAGTTCCACTAAAGTGCCGCTGGGCGATTGGGGTACCAAAGTACCGCCTTTGCTCACCAACGTGCCGCCGTCGTTGACGAACGACACGATGGTTTTGTTGTCGTCGATGAACTCGTCGTTTTTCAAGCCCTGCACGCTCCTGCTGTTTTTGATTTTGTTCTCGCGTATTTCGTGCGCCTCTTGGATCATGGCGTTGAGTATGCTGGGCGGCTTGGCGTTCTTGATGAACTCGTGCTTGAGGAGATTGCCGGCGGAGGCGCGTTCTTCGGGGTTTTTCACCAAACATCCGCTGACGAAGTCGATGAATTCGGTCGTCCATTTGTCGGGTTCTCTGAATGAGGGTGGAGGTTTGGTGGGTATCATGAAAATGGCCCTCATGGGGTGTATATCGCCGTAGGGGGGTTTACCTTCGGCCATTTCCAAAGCGGTTATGCCGAGGCTCCAGATATCGGCGACGCAATCGTAGCCTATTTCTTGGATCACCTCCGGAGCCATCCAAAACGGGGTGCCTATCAGAGTGTTTCGTTTAGCTATGGTGTCTGTTAATTGCCCGGCCACGCCGAAATCGGCCAGTTTGGCGTGACCTTCGGAGTTCAACAGAATGTTGCCGGCTTTGATGTCTCGATGGATCTTCCTCCGTAAGTGCAGGTACTCCAAACCTTTGAGCGTATCGGAGAGAATGGTGGCGATTTCGTCCTCGCAGAGCGTCTTCTTTCTCAATCGCATGATGTCGGAGACGGAGCCGGCCCCGCAATATTCCATCACGATCCACAGATCGGTGTTTTTGAAGTAGCTGCCGTAGTATTTGACCACGTAGGTGCTGTCGCACTGTTGCATGATGGAGATTTCCTTGATGATCTCCTGGAGATCGGTGTCGACGGGGACCTGTTTGATGGCTAAAACTTGGCCGGATTCCTTGTGGAACGCCTTGTAGACGCTGCCGTAGGAGCCTTCGCCCAGTTTGCAGATGATGTCGAAGACTTCTTCGGGTTGTCGCGCTAGACTCTCCTCCGACAGCTTCGTCAGTTCGCTTTTGGAGGACATTGTGGTGGCGATTTCCTGCGATAGAAAAATGATCGGTTTTGCATCGAAGTAAAATTTGTACAGAGTGTTTAAGAGAGTTGCGAAAGTTTTGTGATGAATCGGGCAAACGTTTTTATAAGGCCGATCCTGTACGTTGGTAATGAGTAAGATAACCTCACAAAAATAAATCGATGATAGTATTAATATTAATAGTACAATGGAATCTTACTTACCTTACTGTAATTAATCAGTATGATTTAATCACCGCTGATACAACAAACACAATTATCTAATACGATATTAAACACTTCTCAATTTCATTGTAAGTTTAGAAATTTATGAAATTAATTCAGCTGGAGCTGGAACAAGCCGACTGTAGAATGCCTAGTACAGTTATTAACGTCGGTGAAAAATCACAAAATACAAAAATAGATCGGCGACGAGAAGAATATTTTTAGGACGATGGAATGCGCCTGACCTGCTGATGATGAACAGGCGATTTCTCGAAATGCAATTCTCACCATACCTACCTAAATACTAGGCAAAACAGGTTACAAGTTTACAAGCCGGTTGTTAGTCCTCTTTTCAAGGCCGAACGCAAGCCATCTATTTTTCCAACAAAGCAATCGAACCGTTCGCATAGCAGAAACCCAGTTAAAACGATGGCACAGTTAAAAATAAAACTCGCAGATTAGATTTAAAATTATTATGTACTAAACATGTTTCAACCGATCGCCATTTTTCTGCACCACTTTCATCTTAATAGGAATGCGATACTTCTCGTAATCGTACAAACTACTCCCTTCGGTCACCCCCTCAGTCACCATCGTTCTCTCCTCCACGTGGTACCCATAGGGAGTGGTGGGTTTGAGGTCTTCCTCCTCCGATTCATCGACTCTATCTTGAGCTTTCTTCGATAAAATTACAGCGCTTTGTTTGGCTTGAATGTTGGCCTGCATCACCACGGTGGGTGCCGGCGTGGTGGACATTTCCACCTGATCGTGCAGGCACTGTTGCAGGATGTGCAGGAAGAAGAGGAACGCCAGCAACGTCAGGGCCGTCAGGGCGATGCTGCGGCTTTGTTTCTTGCCGTAGTGGTGTCTGTGGAAAATTGATATGAAGGATCTTGTTTCTACTAACTTATAGGCTCTACTATACACTATTTACTTTGTAGGTATCTAGTCTCTAATGTGTTTTGTCTGCGCTCCACTTCCTGCTCTCTGTTTTGTGGTCTCACTGCTCCCTATTCTTCCTACTCCCTGCTCTCTATTCCATCTACTTCTTGCTCTTTCTTCTATCTACTTGCTGCTCTCTATTCCATCTACTGCCTGCTCTCTATTCCATCTACTTCTTGCTCTTTCTTCTATCTACTTGCTGCTCTCTATTCCATCTACTGCCTGCTCTCTATTCCATCTACTTCTTGCTCTTTCTTCTATCTACTTGCTGCTCTCTATTCCATCTACTGCCTGCTCTCTATTCTATCTACTCACTGCTCTCTATTCTATCTACTTCCTGCTCTTTCTTCTATCTACTTCCTGCTCTCTATTCTATCTACTTCCTGCTCTCTATTCTCTCTGCTCTTTACTTTCTATTCCCTACTCCCTACACTCTACTCTCTGTTGGAAAATTGATTCTCGAAGAGTACTTGGTTATTGGATGTGTTTGGGTGGTTTTGATTGAATAAATAAATTGATCTACTTACTCTTCGTGGTGTTCATGGTGTTCATGGTGATCATGGTATGGTTCGTGGCTGGTGTAGTGTTTCCTAATAATTTTCGGAGCCGGTGTAAATGGCAAAGTTTGCTTGAAAACGTTAACGTTGCTCGCCAACATGGAGTTAATGGAGGCCGGCGATAGAGACATTATTAGATATGTTGTACACTTAAAAATTTTTTTTTTTTTTCGAAATGGCCTTTTGCTTGTTGTGTAGTTGGCGAGTTTGTCGGGCGTACTGGTTCGAATGATTCGTCGTCGTTTCCTTGTGCATAAACTGAGAAGAAGTAACTGCATTTAGAGTCTGAAAATTTTGCTGGAAATAATCGAGCAATTTTACGTTTCTGCTAATAATTTTATAATACGCTTTGTTACGGTACGAAACTGCTAATTAAAATAATGGTTTTGTGATCAATCTCGATGTACTCGATGTATTTGATTTCCTACTTAAGCTGCTAAAGTTTGTGCAATTTAATTTCTCTATTATTAATTAGAAAACAATCGGGATGAGTTTGGTTTGTAAATTTTACTTCAGTCCTTGACATTTTATTGTCTATTTCGCCGGTTATAAAATCTATTTCGGGCCTTTGCAAACGGCGACCTTTTATCCTTTTATCTCTCCTGTCCTTTTGGGAAAATGGGGAAACGGGTGAAATGTTATATTTCCCCGATTGCGGTCGAACATAATACCAAGGCTGAATGAATGCATCGAATTAAGGTGACCCATTTACTATAAAAAGGGGAAAGAGTGCATTAGGGAGAAAAATAAATCGTTTTCTCCGTTATAAAACACACCCTGTATAATAGTTTAATGGAGAATTATTTTTTTCTTGCACCAATTCTCTTTGATTAGTGCTAAAGGAATCTTATCTTTGGACTGTCAATTAATTTCCATTCTCGTATATTTTGAATTATTTATGTCATTTGAATAATAAAAAATCCCTATATATTAATTGTCTGATGCCATGTGTGTCCCAAATATATTCGAGTTATTTTTAATTGCGACCTCTTTCTATTACTTTAAAATTATTATCGTCAACTGTATGAATAACGTATACAAATCGATTCGTATCGTGAATGTATTTTAATAATTAACCTAAAAAATAGTGATATGATTTTTCGAAAAACGAGTGAAAAAAGCTTCATCATGATGATGAACTTATAAGTTGATGAATGAGAAATTACCAGTTTTTCCTTTATTTTCCCTAATTTGACTGTGCTATCAATAAATCGACGGTAAAAAAAAGTAATAAAGATTTTATTATTATTAAGTTTTCTGCTATAAAAGTGTTCACAATAGCTTGTGGGAAAAATTTTTAATTAAATTCTAGCGCCATTTTGCAAATTCAATCGTAAGTAACTACAAACATATTTACTATACAGGCTTAATTAAGTTCATTTCTCCACGAATTTCACAATTTTTTAGAGCTATTTAAGGGCGCAAAACACCCCGTATACACAAGTTTCCTGTGTCGCAGAGAATTGAACTTATATTTCGATCATCACAGGAAAACAAACAGCAACACACCCTCTATTAGAAATAATAAATATTAGTTACAATGCAAACAAAAGTTAAGGGATCCTGATGATCGGTTTGACTGTTACAATTTTCTATCCTAATAGAATTTCTTCCTTTGTGACCTACTGGGACTTATCTCTAACACACCCTTTTCCTTTCTATTTAAACGCGAATCAGGGTTAAAGAGGAAATTATCTAGATTATGTGACATCTTTTTTTTTAAAAAATGTTCATTTCGCGTGATTGTTTCCTCTATTTTCGCTAAATTTTTAGGGTTAATTTGAAGCTAAATGTATGGCTAATTTGAGGGCTAATTTGTAATAACTTTCATTCAATGCAGAGAAAATCCAAGCCATTAATATCCAATTTCGTTTCGTTTTTAATGGCGAAATCGCCCATCTGGAGGAAGGAAGATGGTTCTAAACACTCCAAGAAAGGGGCTCCCCCATTTGGGTCAAAGTAATTTCGATTTAATGGCGAGTTTACACGCCCCAGAAAACGCTGTTAACGTGCATTTTATGATCAATTCCCCTGGAAGAGCATATCGAGTTAGTCGAGTGCATAGCAATTTTATTAGGAAAAAAAAAATCCGGAATTAGTAGATTAGGAATTTTTATGCTCCACCAGCAAATTACCTTTCGCTGGATTATTTCGTTAATATAAATCACGAGGGATTGTTGTTCGATGTTTTCGGTTCATAATTACCTTTTTTCATGTACATATTGGTTGGGTTTATCATTAACCATATCGCAGTTTTTTTTTTTAATTTGGAATATTGTGAAAATATTTAAACTATAGTCGAGTTATAAAAAATGCAAACAACGAGGTGGGTTATGAAATATTTATCTACTTTTCCACGGAATAATGATTCACAGAATTTTAAAATAACACGTTGCTCTTCGCGCTGAAATTGACAAAATAAATATTGACACAATTACTCACCAGTTTATTGTAAAAGTAAATCATTGCAAACACTGCCTATATGACATAACATCTATTATAAATAAATCCTTTACTAAGAAGAGGAAAGTTTTATAGCATTTAGTACATAAAATTTTCTCTTTCGAAGGCTGAAAGTCCCATTAAAATGCTTCGAGATTAATGCAGAAAACGGGGTAATAAAACCGAAAACAATATGTCTCTCCCAACAATGACATCATCGACCAATATTCGCTGTAAAATTAGAACGAAAATGTTATGAACAAGTGCCGCAAATACACCGCTTGTTGTCCTCGACAATTAACCGACTTCAGCTAATTTTTAATGTTTAATAAACCTGCAAACCTCTAAAAATAGACACTGAATCATCACAATTATCACTCCTTCTTTCTCCTTTCCATACGAGACTAATGGAAGTTGTCTTTGTTACACTTTGTTTGACAGGAATAACTGGAGATTTGAAGGTCACGCAGGCGGCGTCTCCGGCTATTCCTATCGATCTGTACATACTGTTTCTGCATTGCTAAAATGCGATTTTTATGCAACTTTGTAACGGGAAATTAGAACACCCACTGTGAGGTGAATATTATTTATCCAATGACGCTTCACTTGCAATTCGATATTCAACGACCCATCGATGATTTATCGGCTTTAATTTAATTGTCTCTTAAATGTTATCGGTGTTTTTAACGAGTATTTTGGACAATTTCTACGAGTACTGGACTATTTAATTGCGCCTCGATGATACTAGAACATCACGAATGGTATTTACACGAAGCTAAGCCCTTAATTCTTAAATTTTAACACCAACATAACCGATATAAATCATAATTATTATTACAGTCTACACGATAAAGAGGACCTTGACTAGCTCGGTGCAATAAAAAAATAATCTACCGTTATGTTAAAGCGATTCAAATGCGGGTTCAACACATCGTAATAGTTTTCAAATTTTCAATTAGATATAAATTTATACAGCCCGACGACAACGGACGCCCTTTGACCACCGATTTTATACAGGGCGGTTGGAATATTTCGACCCACATCATTTTAGAGCGTAAAGAACATTTTCTTCTGGTTTTGCAAAATAGTTGCGAAATAGTTGCAAAATGGTTGCAAAATAGTTGCAAAATAGTTGCGAAATAGTTGCAAAATAGTTGCGAAATAATTGCAAAATAGTTGCGAAATAGTTGCAAAATAGTTGCGAAATAGTTGCAAAATAATTGCAAAATAGTTGCAAAATAGTTGCAAAATAGTTGCAAAATAGTTGCGAAATAGTTGCAAACTAGTTGCGAAATAGTTGCAAAATAGTTGCACGTTCAACTGGTTTAGAATTTTTATTTCAAAACAGTCGCTGCGTGAGTAATGGGCTTAAGTTGTTTGTGCGCCGAACAATAGATAAGCAGAGTGCGCCTCGTATGGAAATTTAGGCGAATGAATTAACGAAGTTTCGAGTTAACGACAGGATATCGCACCACGTTTTATATTTTTCAATTCACACTCGCACAGAAAACAGAAGGTAGTAACTATTTAGTAGACGAGCGTGGGTGAACTGGCCTCGTACCGTTCGGCTATTCGGCTCGATTCTCGATCGAAATCGAAATCGAAAGCGGGATTTGGAATTTCGAAAGAAGGGTTTCGGATAGCATTTTGATTTGTTTACTTGTTGGTCAGTCGAAAAGGTGCTGGTGCTGGTTTGGTAGATCGAAGAAGCGATGATTTTGTTGAAGTTGATGAAGTTCTAGTCTCGATATATCGCTTGTGGAGTTCGGATGTTGAAGGGTTTGGAATCGAAAACCGACTGTGATTTTTTTTTAAGACTTTTTTAGTTTGTAGTTGTAGTGTTTTAGTGGGTGATTTAAGATGGTTGGAAAAGTGGATTATTCAAGTAAGCTGTTTGTTTTTTTATTATTAATTACCCGAGGAGACTAATTTTTGAGCTAAAATTGAATCAAAAACTATTGCTTAACTTCCAGAAATTTTAACATAAATGCTAATTATGAAGGATTGTATGATTACTGTAATAACAATTAAAATTTTATTGTTCCGTTTATTAAGTCACAAATGCTCTTTTTGACCTCAAAGTTTTTTTATTAAAAATTGTAACTACTTGGAAACATAATTACTAATTAAATCTGTATAAATAACAAAAATTAATCGAATTTATTTTTAATTTTCGCCCGGCTTAGCGAGCGTAATTAATCCCTCTTAATCGGAATTGAAAATCCAATTAAATTCGTGTCGCTTTTTTACCGGCTATAATTAGAGCATCAAATTTTACAATTAATATTATTCAATTAATAATAATTATTGCATTAGTCGACAAATCCTCCGACCATATTCGTAACCACGCTATAGAAAGTCGTTCAATCCTACACGTCGAATTTACGTGAATGAAATATCTAATATTTAATTCATGAATTAATTTTCCATGTTTAAAATTAGTTCCATTATTTAAATAAATTGCGAGTTTATTGCACTGTTGACGGATGTTTTTTGGGATTAATTCTTGCGATGCTTTTAGAAAAATATCCGAAAATAGTTTGTGGGGATTTAAATGTAATAAAAACGCCGGTTTTATAGCCCACTATTACCTGGGATTCTATTTAAAAAAAAAACACGAAACTACTGACCGATAAAAATAATTTTTACATCAATTTTCAAGGCGAAGAAAATTATTATTATGTGTATGAATGGAGGCAGATGTTGGCTTTTATGTAATCTACTCGATCGATACTTTGGAGATTTTTTTTTAATAAAAATAAATATGTCAAAGAGCAGAGTGTGTAGAATTAATTGTTTACTATTTCGACTATTTTTAAACGCCCTGTATTACACTCGCTTTAGTTTAATTGCTTCATTTCAAACGGCTTTAGCACATTTCCTGTGTATAAGAAACATATTAAAAAAATTGAAACACCCAGTCATCGAACCCGTATTGAAGTTTTCGGTTTATTTATTTTGAAATTTTACAGTTTGTTTATCCTGCATTTAAATTTGGAACAGTTCTCTAATAATTATTATTTCTTTCCACCGCATTTGCTTCGGAGATTCTTCCACATGTATTACAAAAAAAAAACTCTTTCTCTTGATCGCTCCGGCATGAGAAGAATAGAAAATGAAGAATATAAAAGTTTAAAGACCGGCTTAATTTACTTCTGCACGCCCAAGGTCAAGTTAAGGCATCTTCAGTTGAACTCCAATGACTTTACAGTCGTACTTGTAAATGTTCTTTCGAAAGATAAATCACTCCAATTACTTCACCTGCAGCGTTATTTTATACCCTTCGTTTTGCGCACAGTAAGTAGTTTTTTCTGTTTAAAGTAGGTTTAAAATTTCGATAAAAATCTATTTAATACCATCTCGTTTTAACCAGATATTTACCATTGCACAGGATTTACTCGGTTTTATTACTGTGCTAGAGATTCCTGCTATTCCTGCGGTTTTGTCATGTTCACCCACTTTATTACAGTTAATTTATTATGCCGGTATTGTTGAATTTTAGTCACTTTTTTTTAAAGGAAATGCAATAAAATCATTAGCGGGAAATGCAACGTTTATTTTTAGTGATCTGTGGTCATTTCAATCATGAGTGACTCACGTACATGTGTGGTTCAATTGAATTGTTCTATTTATATTATTATTCGCTATATAAAGACTAAACAGCATTATTAGATATTATTATTATGCTATTTTCGAGTTGCGGATAAAATCGTTGGAGCAAATTAATCAAGTATGAGTGACAAGAATATTAATATGGCCTAATAATAATATAAACCGAGCGTCAATATTGTTTCTGGTTTGATTATAAATTAACATCGATTTCGATCAATAAAATTTAATTAGTAGTACTTTAAGATGCGTTCGATGATACTTTAATGTTAAAATTGACATTAATGACATTTATGACAGCGGTTTAATAGAGGCGGGAATCGCTGTTTCGGTATAGAGGTGTAGTACAAAATAACCGTTATTTTTTCGAATACCGAAAAATCTAATACATATGGATCTTGGTAGTTTAAACAATTAATTTAAAGCGTAGTAAAAAATAAAGACTATAATTGAAGTAATGGTGTATTTTTAAATATTATTACGAACGTTTTAATCATCGTATAATTGAAAATTTATTTATAATATAATTCGTATGTACAGTAACAAGTACATACGTGCTTTTAGACTCGATTCAGCACATTATAACGATATTTTTTATGGCTGTTTTATGTCGGAATCGAAATACCGTGCATAATTTTATGCGTTTCTATTATACTATATTTCGGTTGGTGATATAACGAAATGAATTCATTTAAAATACAATCCGGATCCTGCAAATGCAGGTTTTCCAATTCGATTTGTATAGAAATTATGGGGTACTTCGCTTCCGAAATAACTGTAGAATAGTGGGATGATTTTTATTTTATTATTTTATTATTCGAAAGTTGCACAAACATTACCACGCCAACGCGTTGTATTCTTGACACAAAAAAAAAATATTTACACCCATAAATTATTTTTCGCTTTGATTAAAATTTTACGAACTTAAAATAAAAAATACTTCTTCTACTTTGAAAATACTTCAATTGAACGGGGCAATTTTTGGCGCCAAATGTACACAAATTGAACTATTTAATCAAACACAAATTCGCTAATTTTTTATCTATCTACAGTAGCGCAATTGACCTCAAATTTCGTATGACCATATAAATTCTAATCGCATGGAAATATTAAATATTGCATAAGGTCTTGTCACGGCTCATTACAAGATTTAATGGCGTTTTATTGCAGCATCGGTGGTACCCCCCTTATCGAATATTATTACTTTATAATGGTAAACAGAAACACATTGAATTTTTACAAGCTTTTATAATTAACTATAGCGAAATTCTAATTGCTTATAACACTAGCTAATTGCAATGATACTACATGTAAATGATATCATCGAGTCGGTGTCTTTGATGCCGGTTTTTAGCGAAGAAATTAATGCATTAATTTGCGAATGTACTCGAATATAAAAATTGTAGTTTGCCTAATTAAGGGCTGATTAACAATTAGTAAAAGCTCGATTATTCGATATAAAAGGGACTCCACTTTCAAGATTTCATTGCATATCGAAACCAATTAGTTTGAGAACTTTTCGATAAAAATTCAGTTTCTTAATTATCGATTTTACGTAACGAATGTTGTTATTTTAACAACGCTTTTATACCATCGTGGATTGATAAAAGTATTTTGAGTGAAATTAAAAAGAATTTTTCAATGACCTTAGGAGATTATTGTGCAATTACCGGCTCCATTGGCGTGCTGGTAGTAGAAAAACTCCGATAATTTTAACAGTTTGTTATTCTTTCCTCGAGGAAACCCAAACGATTCGTAATTATTTATTGTTGGTAGTTCTCGGATTTATTTTCATTCGACGATTCAACCGCATGATTAGTCTCGAATGGAAGGACGTGATTAAACTTTATAGGTAATTTCTTATCCAAACTTCCACCCGAAATTCTTACCGCAAGCGATTTTCTTCTATTTTTAAAGATTTTTTAACAACATCCTGCGAAAGATTCCTTATAAACAGACCCGCCATTGTTATCGTTCCAAATGTTATCCAAATACACATCGAAGAACTTCTGGTTACAGTTCAAAACATTCCGAAGTGCACCAGTCATAAGTTTTTCGTAGTTAAAATGCGCGATAAAAATTTTCCTCTGAAGAAAATCCCGAACGATGCGGAAACAGGTCAGATTTTTCTTTATAATTTACAACTAGAGAGAACCCATAATTACCCAGTCTCCCCCAATTTTCTACTATAGTTTAATGGATAGGGGATAAATGCATTAGATGGTGTATTAGATATAATTTTAAGGGCGAGTCTCGCCCAATCTAACAAACAAGATACAGGGTGTATCTCCGATGGGACACCCTGTAAGTTTGGTCGAATAAAACTTGCGCGATTAAACTCGGACGTCTCGGCGAAAATTCTTTTTCCGACGTCGGGACGCCGGACGTCGGTCGGGCAGTCGAGCGTCGCGCGTTCCGAAGATTAGGCGTCGATGTGCGTCGGGACGTCCGCGAAGCGGCTGCGACGAGGGGCAGTCGATATGTTTTGAAAAATTCGAAAATTTTGAAGGAAAAATTCGTGGGAATTAATCGATTCGAAAATGGTGGGGTATTATAATCAAGGTAGGTTGGGTTTTTTTAGTGTTTATAGGGTGGCACAAGTTGGGATTTTTTTCGGGTTATTTTTTGAGAAATTAATTTTTAATATAAAATACTTTTGAACAAAGTAAACTATTATTAGAATAATTTTTAAATAATTTTTGAACGATTTTTTAACAGTATTTAAATCATATTAATTAGATTAATTACTCCTAAACAGTATTAACATTTATACTCTTTATACTCTTTATAATTTATAATCTAAGTAATTAATTAATTATACTATAGTTTCAACGAATTAAAATTAATTTGGGTAAGTAAATTACAATTTAAGTACAATGTGTACATAGATATAAATATATTTAGAGCAAATTTCGAAATATCCGAGTATACAAGCAAAATCTATTAATACTTTTAAATCACTTATTCCATCAATTGTGCAATTTATACATCATTGATTCAATTATAAAATAAATTAATCACGAGTTGGAGAGGTGAAGCACTTTATCTTAATTAATATAGAATCGCTTTAAAACAACCGGAAAAAAATATTTTCTTTAACATTTTGAACTTATTCGCGTAATTTAACCTTTATGTTCCATTGAAATCCAACCTACTCATCGCATTAGGAATCCAATTTAGCATGCAAATTATTCAAATGTAGGCATGTAGAAATCACTTTTCTAAAATCTCCTCTATATTTGCCTACTTGTTAATGAGTTAATGAACTTTTTAACCGGCGATTCGATTACAGAAAAGTTACATAACCGTTCTCGAATCCAATCCATTCATAAATCTACAGTGTAGTAAATTTGAAAACTATGAATTACATCCGAACACAAACGAGTCTAATTAAAGTAGTTTTTAGGCAATGTTCACTTTTTATCAGAATTCTATTTTAATGGTAAATATTTTTACACCTCCTTTCGTTTTGTTATACAGACAACATTGGCATGTTGTTTTATGTTTGACCTTATTCTCATTTCATCTGTTGTTGCCGGTCACATAATTTATTGTATTTTTCGTATTTTTATATATCCACTTACAGTATTTTACGACACCTATTTTAATATACAGAGCGTTCAAAACGAGACATTTTTTTTAGCGTATTCACAACTAATCGTTCTAATAAAAGAACTATCGATGGAATTTCGTTCGTGTCAATTCTGTCCTAATAAAAAATCTACTTATACATAAAGCTTTGTGGAAGTGTACTCTTTAATTTTAAAGTCAATAAACATCAATTCGAACCCGATACATTCGACTAGACGGATTGTTTCTGTTCGATTTTATTTTTAGCGTATTTACATTAACTCCGGATTCTCGTTATAATCTTTTTAAACAGCAAATAAACCAATCAATTATATCCTAATAACGAGTAGCGTTTGTACGAGGAGTAATTCATTAATTTCCTTAGCAGGTGTACCGATTATACGAGGAGCAATTCATATATTTCCTTAGCAGGTGTACCGATTATACGAGGAGCAATTCATATATTTCCTTAGCAGGTGTACCGATTGTACGAGGAGCAATTCATATATTTCGCAATTTGCAGGTGTACCGACGACGGTCGATTTGGAGAACAATTCCAGTCAAAAGAAGTACACGGTGAACCAATCGAACAATAAAGGACTGGTGATATCGAAGCCTCTGTGCCTCCTGATGGGAATCGGCGCTTTGCTGTTGGCCATTTTGGTGGGCCTTGTGGTGTTTTTCCTGGTGCCTCAATATTGCAACGGGGAGAAGCCCCCCGAGGCTCTGACCCACGTCCAAACGTCGAGTGATAATGTTAAAGTGGAGAGTAAGGCTGATGATGATGATGATGATATCGACGAGAGGTTGCCGAGGAGCATAGAACCCAGGCATTATGAGTAAGTTGAATTTTATTTTATTTTTTTTATTTTATTTATTTTTTATTTGCCTATTGATCCTGCTATAGAAATATGTTTGAATGGTACAGGGGAAGAACGACAATAGTCCATCTAGAAGAATTAAAATATAAGTTTACCTGCTCGTTTGAAAGTGAAATTAAAGGCATCTTTTATTAACGATTTGATTATCTGATAGTAACTACGAAATGCTATGAAAATAAACTGTGATTTTAGTTTTGCAAAAAATGGACTATTTTCGTTTTTCCTTTAGCCTTCATTTCCTTTACAAGACAGAGTTAAATTTAGTATACAGTGATTTTATGTAGTTTCCAATCTAACAGTAGCTATAGTTTGAATAAAATGTTCCATTCGGATTTGCCTATTAACCCTGATATAGGAATACATTTCATTTTCAAGACAAAGTTAAATTTAGTATACAGTGATTTTATGTAGTTTCCAACAGATTCTACTGGCAAAAGAGTACCTATAATTTGAATAAATTGGGACATTTTTTTTTGGAAACGGATTGTTTTTTTAACATTTTTTAAAATGTTCCATTCATTTCAACTCGCCGAACAAGCGTTATTATGACACGGATTGTCATAATAGTCTAACGAAATTATTTTCGAAAAAAAATTCGAATCGATTTATTAATTCGGTCACGTGTATAAGTGGTTTTTTTTTGTATACATTAAAAAGTATTATTAACGTTTTGAATTGTATTATAAATAAATAATTTTCGCGTTTTCCTGCTCGCATAAATTTCGAAGGTATTAAAAGATTATTTGAAATAGTGCCAAAAATTTGTCGTATCGTTTAATAAAATTATCTAAATATTTAATCCTTTGATATATTCGATATATGCTACTTATATGTTGAATAAATACCGGTCGAGAATAGATTTAATAATTTATCGATTGTATTAGGTTTCTTTTTGTTCTACCTGGATGTTATATAATTGTAGATTTTTTATTAAGCGTTTGATTTATTTCTATATTATGCAAAAACGAATTTTTTTAAACACTCGCCTTTGTTCGGCTATTATTTACATCTTCTAATTGGGTTTATATTCAAAATTATTAATAACAATCATTAAACTTCCTTTAGGATTACCACATAATTATCAACTCCGAAAGCATAGATAAAGAATTTAATTTTAATTGCAAATTGGGTCAAAACAGGTGTGGCCTTCTACTGTTCATTCCTAGGTCAATTTAGTAATACACCCTCTAAAGGAAACTGGTATTAATAGCTTCGAAATAAGACCATTTTTGAATAGGAGTGAGCGGGGTAAATTTTTTATTGACACACCCTGTATGTACTAGTTTTATCGGCGAATTAAACATCCGAATATAAAAAAAAACGCATGAAATCAGATAGATAAACATTACAAATTATACACAACTACCTAACAGGATAAATTCACACCTAACTTTCGCCTCGAATAAAACTCTCTTACGATCGGTGTTATTTATAAACATTGCGAAAATTATGCCATCGATAAAACCAGCTTTGAAATTATTTAATTCACACCTACTCTCGTTTGAATACCTACCATTTGAATTGCATCCAAAACGCCTAATATTATCTTCCCCAAACAGGTTGCCAATATGACACACCTCCCGTTTTAACCCAATCAAAACAAACATGATTTATTAAACTCGCCTTGTATATATTCGAAAATATACTCGTTCCAAAAATATCTCTATTAACGTTTCCAACAACACCGTAACAGGATAAAAATCCTGCCAGATCTCCGCAACTTCACCACCGAAGGCTCCATCACGATGACTTTACAAGTCCTGCAAACCACCGACGAGATCCAATTCCACCTGCAAGGCATCGAAATCTCCCAGGAATCCGTCAGAATCACCTCCACCGGCGACACACCAGATAACATCGAAATCACCAACCAGGAGTACTTACCGGGCGATAAATATCGAATAAAATTGAACCAAAACTTAGCCTCCGATGGGATCTACGAATTGTACGCGGAGTATACCGGTAGACTCGGCGAACACCTGCAGGGATTCTACGGAATTCACTACAACGATGCGAATGGAAGAGAAAGGTAGGGAGAAAAAGAAAAATCTTACAGGCTTCAATAAGTGAACCATCTGGTGGTTTACAGGACAATGGCTAGCACACAATTCTCGCCGGTAGAAGCCAGAAAAGCCTTCCCGTGCTTCGACGAACCATCGTTCAAATCCACCTTCAAAATAATCCTAGCCAGACCCTCCGACATGTCCACTCTATCCAACATGCCTCTACTAACCTCCACTCCAATCGAACAACCCACCAACAAATCGAAGAAATCCATCGCCACTAACGATGGATGGTACTGGGACGAGTACCAGACCACCCCGAAGATGTCCACCTATCTGGTGGCCTTCATGGTGCACGATTTGAAGCCCTACGAGACCCCCGAGGGGCCGATGAAGTTCTGGTCGCGCGACCAGCTGGTCCCTTTCGCTGCCTATGCAGCCCGAATCGGTCCGAAGATCCTGCGCTACTTCGAAGGCTACTTTAACTCCAAGTTCCCGCTGGAGAAGATCGACGTGGTGGCCGTGCCTTCGTTCGGATTCAGCGCCATGGAGAATTGGGGTCTCATCACCTTCAGGTGAGCGTTTGCCCCGCTGAAATTGCTCCTTCGAGAGATTATTTATGGTCGATTACAGGGAGAGTAGCCTCCTCTACGATTCCAACTCGTCTACTGTGGAGGATATCAGTAATATAGCGAAAGTGTTTGCGCACGAATTGGCCCACCAGTGGTTCGGGAATTTGGTGACGCCGAGGTACTGGAACGATCTGTGGTTGAAGGAGGGCTTCGCTAACTACATGGCGTTTTTGGGCGTGAACGAGGTAAGTGTTTAGCTCGTTGTAGGAGGTTAATGGGGAGTTGATTGTTGTGGTGATTACAGGTCGAACCTAGCTGGAAGTTTCCCGAGGAATTCGTGCTGACTTACACTGAAGCGGCGCTGCAAAACGACGCCTTGGAGTCCTCCAGACCATTGTCGTTTGATGAGGCGAAGAACAGCCGGCAGATCCGCGAGTTATTCGACGGTATATCCTACAGCAAAGGTGTGTGAAACTGCTTCTATTTCGTACCATTTGGTGTTACTAGTCGATTGGTTGTTACAGGCGCTGCGATAGTACGAATGATGAACCACTTCCTGGGCGAATCGACGTTCCGCCAAGGCCTCGTCAACTACCTGAAGAAGTACCAATACAGCAACGCTGATCGAAGTGATCTATTTGCAAGTTTCACCGAAGAAGCGCACAAGAATGAGGTGTTGCAACCCGACGAGAACGTGGAAACCATCATGGAAACTTGGACCAAAACCGCCGGTCTACCAGTCATCAACGTCCAACCAGATTACGACCGAGGTGTACTACAATTAACCCAGGTACTACCAAATTACTTCGAGGAAACTATGTAGTTACCTTCGCGTGTTACAGAAACGGTTCTACTACAGCGGTAAAGCCGACGAAGACACCGCTTGGTGGGTACCAATCTCTTTCGCTACCAACGCATCGGGTGCTCCGGATTTCAACGATACTTCTCCGAAGTTCTGGATGAGAGGCGAGCGAGCGATCGCCGTAGAAGTCAACGTGACGAGGCACGATTGGTACTTGCTGAATTTGGAGCAAACCGGGTACTTTATAGTGAATTACGACGCGGATAATTGGAGGAAATTGGCGGGTGATATCATGAAAATGCCGCCGTTGGTGCGGGCGCAATTGATATCGGATTCGATGGATTTGGCGAGAGCTGGTTTGTTGGTGTATGATGTACCGTTGATGATGATCGCTAATATGGCGATACAAGATGATAATATCATGTATATACCTACTAAAGTGACGTTCGCGAAGCTGAAGTATCTGAGCGATATTTTATCGGACACGCCGGCTTTCGGTTTGTTCGAGGTAAGAAGTACAACGAGAAGTACAACGAGATGTACAGTTAGAAGTACAACGAGTTGTTTCTTTTAGCATTACCACAAGAATATATTCCAAGAAACCTACAAGAGAGTGACGTTGGACGATCGCGTGCACGAGCACCTGACGAGGAAAATTCGAATGACGGTCCTGGAATGGTCCTGCAGGAGTCCTGATAGCAGGTGTACGCATTTGGCCAAAACGTCCTTCAGGAATTGGATTGTTAGAGGAAAGAAGTATGTATTTCTGTTGGTGTCTTGTGTATCTATAAAGTAACGATAGATTCGCTTCGATGGTTCGGAAGGGGCTCCGTCCCTTAACCCCGTAGAGAATTCCGGAGCCGGTTTTTTTCGGAATAACTCCAACACAACATCTCTTACAGTTATATATCACATTTTCGATTTATAATATGTTTTTTTCCAGCGTGGAAAGCAACCTCAGGAGCATCGTGTACTGCACGGCCATCAGGGAAGGCGGCGAAATCGAATGGGACTTCGCCTACAAGAAATACTTGGAATCGACGTCGGCGTCGGAGAAGGACGCCATTTTGGACGCTTTGGGTTGCACCTCGCTCAAATGGCTGTTGTCCAGGTACCTGCAGAAATTCCAATAACATATCGAATAACCTGAACGCTTGCCATATTTATAATATATAAACCGATTTTGTACCGTTTTTAGTAGGAGATGTCCTGAATAATGAGCCTAAATTAACTATATATAGGACGGGCATCTCTCGACTCAGATCGGATGTACTACAAACTCTTCGCGTTTGGAGATTATTTGTGCATGCTTTAGGATGGTTTTATCAAAGTTATCAATTCAATAACACTGTTAAATCCAATCCAATTTAATTATTTACTTGTGCTGGGTTATTGGTAGTTCAAATGGCGACTCTTTATTTATACACGCTTGATGTTTTTCACCGCGTAAAATGTAGTAATTCTCTTATATGTTTTAGATGCACTGTACATAATATTTCATACTGACACTCACTCAAACCGGCTTGGTTTTTATGTAATGGTTCTTCAGTTTGCGCTGCGTCGTCGTGGCCTCTAACATCTCCTTTATTAGTCTACTAACAGACAGCCTTAAAAAATTGAAAGTTTTTGTTTACAGATACTTGGATAAACTTTTGTCCGATCGCAGCATAACCATCCAGGACGCCGATAGGCTCTTTAATTCGGTGGTGGAGAACAAAGTTGGCACGCAGATCGCCTTCGATTTCCTCAGGAAGAACTGGAACGCCATTATCAAACAGTAGGTGTGTCGATTAAAACGAAAATATAACTAATTCTAAACTATTTCAGCCACGGAAACGGATTCAACATCGTATCCAAAATGATACTGAAGCTGGGAGATCATTTGTCCACCGAATTCCAATTATCCGAGGTAACGAACAGTACAAGGCCACACTCTTCGGATCTTTAACGTGTTGTTTTGTAGCTTATTAGATTCAGAGATGGTACGAAGGATAAATTGACGACGGGATCGTTTGCGATCGCCATCGATAAAGTGAAGGCGAACGTGGAATGGATGAGGAAAAATTACCAGCCGGTGAAGGAGTGGCTGGAGAACAACAGGGATCTGAGGTCGACGGTGATCGAGAGATTGAAGTACGAGAGTTACTTGCAAAGTCAGGGGGCCGCGCGAGGGGCGTAGGTTACCGGATTCCAGTAAGTTTTTTTATGCAATAATATCACTTTTTGGGTTTTTTTTTTTCGAACTGCGAAAGATGTTTTTGTAAAAACGGAAGGCAACTACTAGAGCGATTTAGTGAAATTGTGTGTTAGAAATTGTAAAGAAACGTTTTATTTTTTTAGACTAAGCAGTATTTTTCGTTCTTTTAATATATTTATTTGAACCACTCGAGTTAAATAGTGTAGCCCTTGCTGTATATTTTGTATAATTATTTGAGAGCTGAATTTTGGTACTTATATTTTTTAATTATTAAGAAGCAGTACACCCGCTCGACTCCTTTCTATCCCACCTTATCAATTAATTTATTCCATTTTATCCTTCCTACTTCATCTCGTATCACCCAATGTTACCTAAATATCAGTAATTACACAGCATTAGGCTTATTCCGAAAGTAGTACAGAACTGTTCTGTACTTTTTTTTTTGTCCAGAACAGTTCAGTATTTATATTTATTAAGCTGTGTTAGGCACGTGTATATTCCTCCCTTAGACCGGGTCAGCTAATTAGAAAAGATTTGTATGATCTGTTTTAAGCTATTTATAAATATTTTTATTAAACAATATGAACTTATGTAAAAACTTTGATACCAAAATATTATGTTTAAATAAAATTGCCATAAATTATTTTAAATGTAGCTAGTTTTTTTCCTGCTAAACTCTCATGCAAAATCAATTTCAACCTAAATTAAATGTTGGGATAAGACAATTTACAATACAAAATTGAGACATTGTAAAGTATATTTGTTTTATATTTACAAATTTTCATTAGAGATGTTATTACAAGGTTTACAAGTAAAATTATAATAAATTATGCTGAATATTACTCAAAACCAGCTTATTCTCAACGTTGCGATTCGGAAACTCTCAAAAAATATATTTTGATTGAATACACTGGAAGTTTCTTATTGTCCTAATACGAATTTCTCGAGAGTTTCCATTTCTTTTAAATTAAACGACAGCAATTTTCGAGCAAACGATATGAGTAATGGAATTAATTTTTCGGATTATTACAGTTATTAAAAATCTTGATAATACTGCAAAGGAATAAAAAGTTTCCCGAAAAATTATTTGCTCAAAAAGTACTGTAATTGTTAATCAAGAATCGAGAAATAAAAAAAAATTAAAAACTTTTCTTAGAATAATTACACATGCTTGATAAAATTAACGTTTTATAAATTTCCTTAAAATTGATGTTTCTCTATTCTTGATTTATAAATCAAACAAATCGATTCAAGTGATGCATTTTTCGCCGTAATTTTAACAATATATCACAAAAATTGGCATCATCGTAACTATACATGCGATTAAATAAAAAAAATCGATATTGATCGAATCGATCGACATCAACAACGAACGTACACTAGCAAAAAAAAACCGTACGACTTTCGAACTCTTCGATTCTATCGATAATTTGCTTAAACCCTATATATACGTAATATACAATCTCAATAAATAATACTTTCTTTAACTACACACCGGCGATTTCGATCGAAATTATTTCCACAGGCAATTGATAACATCACCGCGGAGGAGAATATGCTAAACAACAAACGCCGGTTTACTAATTTTCGCATATAAAATATATGCTACACTCTCGCCCGATTTTATAGAAAACGATCAATTTTCCCTCAACCGGGCGCCTGTCTTACATTTACATCAACAATAATATCAACGCGGATTTTACACAAACAAACAAAAAAATACAAATTCAACGCATCCAAACATCGAAACAACAACGGTTAATTCGTTTTAAATAACGGAAGTGTGAGAAAAATAAAATAAAAAAAACGAGACGAATTTACATTGGCTACCTGTTGTCCATTACGACTTGCTTGAATACCTGCACTCCAGTAGACATTTGGGATTTCACCTCGTGATTACCAACCGCAGCCGTTCCGTCTTTTGCTATAAACAACTGTAGGCCTGAATCTAAAACAAATAAAATATAAACTAGTATGTAGTCGAACGAGCTCGCGAAGCGAGCGAGCCCGGCTCGAAGGAGCATTTTTCAACTATCTTTGAACTATTTCCTACCACAGTTTAGCATCAACTAGCTCCACTATAACGCATTTCCTACTTATACTGTGTTCTTTTGAACTATTTCATCCTAAAGCTTAGCCTCATCCCACCTCTATTGAAGCCTTTTGAACTATTCCCACCCCTTCAACTAACTCTCAGGAATATACCACTAGTTCCCTAACCTTTTCTATACAACACAGTCCCCAGAACAATTCCAGTTTTAGACTGTTTGTACTTACTTTCGGCGGAATCGTCCGTTTGTTCCAAATTGGTGTTCTTCAACAATTCAGCTATGAGGTCGTCGGGATTGACTCGGGTGATTTCGACGCGACCCTGCGGGGCTCCGTGACCATCGGAGTCCTGGTTTTGGTTCTTCTTGCGTCGCTCGTAGGCCGCTTTGGCTCTGTCCAACGAGCCGGTTTCGGACAGGACTAGGCTGCTCGAGCTGGGATTCCTGCGATAAACCACAACGAAATTTTATTTTGCCGGAGTTTTTTTTTGAGTTGTTCTACTGCTATGTTTGCGTTTAAAGGGTGATTCGATACGAAGCTAGACTATTGTTTATAAAGGGTTGATGTTATTGGTAGCATGCGAAAATTCTACTAACTACATTTTAGGAAAAACGGGCAATTTAAATTTTACGTCGTCGAATCATACTTACGTTAATGATAAAATTATTATCGCATAAAATTTCTCGACTAGTTCTACAGTTAGTTTTTCCGACTCTTTTACAGCCGATAATAAATTACAGAAGCAGTAAAAATGATCGGCTCTTAAAACTTCGAAATTCGAATTTTACAAGCAAACATTCGTTTGAAACGAACAAAAGGGATCGAATTTGGTTCATTATGAACATTCTCCGGAGTTATATATCCCCGATTGACGTTAAATTTAAATAGCCCAGAACCTCCACCAGCCGTCTAAAAGCAAGCCCAACAAACTGATAAGCGACGACGATAACAAAATAGAAGAAAAAAAAACTAAAAACCACGGTTCTATATTTCTAAAGTCTGGAAATATAGGTTCAAAAAGTGTCCCGTTATTTGAGGATAACTAAATAAATAACGGATAAGTATAAATAATGTATTCCTCCATTTTCTCATCGAAATGTCAACAAATAATTTTTGACACTTTTGACAGCTCGAACTGTCATTTCACACAACCGCGATTTAAATGTTGCGCGACGCTGATTGGTCGAGATAAATTGATCATCCGATCGTTCGCCACCTTGCGGCGCAAAAGCTCAAAAAATCCTCAAATAACGGGACACATTCTCTAATGCATAAGCATAGGGAGATGCCTAACCTTAGAAATATACGAACGTGCTAAAAACTAAAAAAAAACTAAAAAAAAAACATCGATAGACAAGGACACTAACGTAGTGACGCTCGGACGTCGCATCGCGGGCGTATTTTGGACATCCGGTGCGGACGTGACGTCATTCAATGCGATGACGTTCGCGTCCTGATCGTCAGGACTGATCGCCATCGGTCCCAGCTTACCTGACGACACACCATCGAGCAGCTTCCGGTGACACATACCCCTGCGAGCACACCCGATATTAGTAACAAACATATTACATTATTAATATACATGTATATACAGTACGAAGCAATGATAATGGCAACACCGCACGTGTGCAGGGTTAGTAGTTTTTTTTATTTCTAAATATCGTTGAGTAATCCCGAGGTATGTTTTATTTGGTGGCTGTTTGCACGTCTAGATGAAGTACGAAATAGTTTCGTTATTATTGCCGAAATATTAACTGGAATGCAAAACAATTAGGTTTTTCTTTATTATTTGTATACGAACATTTTACCGATTAAAAATCGAAAACACTAAGAGAGAGGGTATACACACAATTTTTAATCTCGAAGATAAAAACAAAATGTTTTATTAGAATTATATGGCGCATTAACAGAAACAATAAACAATAAAATTACGTGAAATACTTACAGAATATCACGACGCTATTATTGATCAGTAAACGAGTAAATAAAATAAATTTCAGTGTAAATTTGTTCGAAAAAAGTGTAGTTACCTACAAAACGGATTCGATTTTCTTTTTTTTTTTTCGAAAAAAAAAAGGATCGTTAACGCCTTGGTCTGGAAATTCGCGTTTGACGTCGACGAATCAAACGTAAAATAAATAGTAAAAGAAAGAAAAATAAACAAAAAAAACGGTGAAAAGAAAACGCTAAACTAAGAGGGAAAGAGGTTCAGGGTCAATTTCGGGGGTCCACCGATAATCCGTAATTTTAACGACCTTTTAATGAGGGTCTCTCGGCAGGAGGTAACCGATCTCACTATCGCAGTGCGGTGGCAAAAATTGCAAACGGGGAAAATATTCTTATAAAATAATTCAATTTAGTTTTTGCTTTATTTATTTTTCGTTGTGAGTCGTCGTGTATTTTAAGATCGTTAGTTACTCTGATAAATGTAAGCTATGTAATACAATTACCTAAAATTATTATTAGTCCCAAATTAATGATGTGAGATATTTCTTTAGACAATATTTGTAATATAAAGACACAATGTCGCATTTAGATTTAAATAACCTAGGATACCGGCACGATACAGTTAACCACTCCCAAAATTTTGTCGATCCCGACGATCCGCGGACACACACGCAAAATATCGAAGCGAAATGGTCTTTCATTAAACGAGACTTGAGAAGAAGATATGGAAAAATTTCCTCCCATGATGAGATCTTAATGGAGTATATGTGGCGATCCCAACATACGACACCCGAAGAAATGTTCCAATGTTTCGTTCGGGCACATCACCTTTTTTTCCCAATTTAAAAAATTTGATCATTTTCAAAAGGCCCTCTTCAGGGCCACAATATTATTGAACAAATAGAAACACTTATAATAATAAGCTATAATAAATGATAAAACGTATCTTTATATTACAAATATTGTCTAAAGAAATATCTCACATCATTAATTTGGGACTAATAATAATTTTAGGTAATTGTATTACATAGCTTACATTTATCAGAGTAACTAACGATCTTAAAATACACGACGACTCATAACGAAAAATAAATAAAGCAAAAACTAAATTAAATTATTTTATAAGAATATTTTCCCCGTTTGCAATTTTTGCCACCGCACTGCGATAGTGAGATCGGTTACCTCCTGCCGAGAGACCCTCATTAAAAGGTCGTTAAAATTACGGATTATCGGTGGACCCCCGAAATTGTACCTCAACCGGGAAAGAAGTTTGTCAAAAGGCTCTTCTTGTGTTCTATTGCAAAAAAAAATCCATCTAAATCATATTCAACTACTAAATGTTACTTTATTTGGTGTTATTGTCAATTCTACTAAACGAAATGCTACGATTAATAGTTCAAAAATAATCAGAAATCATTGAATTTAGCCCGTGCATTTTAAGGAAAAAAATGTCAGCGGAATAGACGCAGAGAAGTCCAACAAAAATAGCTAGAAACGCAGCCTGCGCGACCTTCAAACTATAAACAAACGTCATAGCGCATCATACGTCTTCAGCTATTCCAGTCGCTCTGTAGAATATACCAAAAACTCGCCCACTTTTTCCCCAATCACATCTGGCCAAATCCCAGCAAAAAAAAATTCGAAAAATACCAAATTCCAAATTCCCCTCCACCGATCGTTAAAACACTTCCACGTTCCAAAGCAAAAACCAAAACATCACACCAAACCGACATTGTGTGTGTGTGTGTGTGTGAGTACGCAATACAAAAAAGAAACAGTCCGAAGCGGGAAAGAAGAAGAAAAATAAAAACGAAAATAAACAAAACAAAAACAAAACAAAAAAAAATAAAGAAATCATACCTTTCAACAGGCCTAACAACAGTCGAATGACCAGACCGCAGCGAACCCGACGACGTCGTTCGGGCGTCGAACCCGCCATTTTTAACCGCCCCCCAACGATCCGTCGACCGCCCCTCATCCTCCTTTTGACCGCCCCTTTCACCAAAGCTCTTCCTTTTCGGCCTCGGCGTCAGAAACGACAGCAACGTTTCAGCGCTAAAAAACCTGCTAGAGCCCGATTTATCGGGCAATCGATTGACCGGCGCCCGAGGTATCTCGAACTCGCTCTTACACCTCAACACCTCCATCTTCTCGTCCTTGTTGTTGTTGTTCTTCCTCTCCAATTCCTCCAAACTATGCCTGATGGTGTTGTTGTTGTTGTTGTTGTTACTACTACAACTAACCAATCCTCTCCTGATGACGTGAGTTTCATCCGATTTCCGATGATCGATTTCGTTCACGCTCAACAAATTGGTTTTGAGCCGTTCGACGAAGCTGGTCGAAGAGGATTTTTGCAGCTGGTTGAAATTCCGCGAGAAAACGTCCATTACAGTGCCCTCGGGCGTTCTGTATTCGTCTGTGCTGGAATTCACGCTCGTTTGCGCGTTAAAAGAATCGGGCGTACCGTAGACGGAGTTTTGCCGGTCGTGATCCACGCCCGGTTTGACGGGCGTGGAGGATAACAAGCGTGGTTGGTCTACCGAAGAGAAAGAGGCCTCGATGGGCGACGATAGGATCGTGTTCGGTACGATTAATTTGCGCGGGTAGGTGTTGGGCCGGTATAATTGCGGTTTCGGTTTCGTGTGTGCCCTGACCGATCTGCTATGCAGCTCCCTAATGTAATAAACATAATATAATTCAGTGCTAGCGTGCGGTCGATTCGTTTCCATAAGAGTTTATTTTTTTATGATTGTAGTTGTATGGAGACTGTTGGTTTTATATATACAGTGTGTTTCGTTAGGGAGGAGTTGACTTGATGGGAAATGTTGTTGTTTAATGAGGGATATACTGTATATTACGATTGATTTTTGAAGCCCCTTAACCACTAATCATGTAGGATCACCGCGCGTAATCGAGTTAATATTTTAATGTTTGCACTTTTCTATACAGGACGTCCCCTCAGGGCGTTGTATAAAGAGGTGCAGTTTGCTGTGGAAATTATTGTATAAATTTAAAATGAGTAATGAGTAATAAGCGTGTGTGTGTACCGCAATTTAACGATAGGCAAATATACAGAAATAGATCGGTCACTTAAATTCGGTTAATAATAATAAAAAAAATATAAACGTAAACACGCTGTAATATGTACATACATGTAATGTATAGGATCAACAGCACACCCACCAACGTTGTCGATTCACCGTAATAATGAATTATTGCGGAAAAAATTGTTAGCGTTTAACGATAAAATATCGAAGGATAGAAACGAGAATGCAAATTAAAGACATTGCCCCGCATTCAGCGCCCCGCTTTTAATTTTAAAAACGGTTTTAAAGGGTCACTTTAGCTTAAACAAAGTCCCTAGTTACTCCATAACAACCATGCAAATCTGTCAAATGTGGAAGAGTGTCCTTAGTTACTCCATAACAACAATGTAAATCTGTCAATTTGAAATAATGCGTCCTTAGTTACTCCATAACAACAATGTAAAACTGTCAAGTTAGAGCTACTTTAAAGTCGTGTTTACGATTAAAATGGGGCGCTGAATACAGCCCTATATAACTGACCGTCTCCGAAACATGCAAAAATGTTAAAAAAATACCAAATTTCCAATAAATAAAGCTCTCTCCAATCGTCCCTTATTCGATTTTGCGCCACATTTCGCGTTTGAAATTCGGTTATTACAATCGGTTATATTGCGAAATAAATATTAATCACACGCTAAATATTTACAAAAAAAAAAATACCCATCGGCGATCGAGAAACGAACCGAAAAATCCAAAAATCCAAAAAAAAAAAAATCCTCACCTAATGTGACCGGAATCGCCGGAGCTGCTCTGCCTGCTGTGCGAATGCGAATGGATGCTGCTGTAACCCGAAGCCTTCGACAGCTGGCTGGTGTTCGACGAGTTCCTGGAATGTCCCGGTTCGCAGCACAACATCGCCTCCTGCGGCTCGTGCTGCAGCTGCTGCAGCTGCTGCTGTTGCTGCTGCTCGACTGGATGATTCGATTCGTTGGCGATATCGTTGGCTATCGTCACCGGAACGTTGTTTTCGGTCAGAGTTTGACCGATCACCAGTTCTGCGAAACGTGAAAAAATAACGGTTATTTTGTAACGGTCGTTCCTGCGCCTCTATACCGAAAAATCGATTCCCCCACCTCTATTAAACGTCCTTCATGCGAAACGTCAATTTTTGACACTAATGCGTCATAGAACGCGTAAACGACATCGGCCTTTTACGTCTCGGTAAACAAATCAATTGGTTTATATTTAGAAACCATCTTCGAAGAAATGACGCCAATTACACCGAGTTTTTCCGAATGTAAAACGCGCCGCCGACAGGTGAAAATTTTCCTCTACGTTAAGTAGGTTAAACATGCGGCGTTTATTTAAAGCCTATAAATTAATCTTTTATACGCTTCGAATAAATATTTACGCGCGGGTTAGGCGGTTACATTATTGCCTCACGGAAAAGACCATTTAACAGTTATCCAGGTAATATACCGGGCGTCCCAAATTAACCAGTTTTCTATTGCCTCGCGAAAGATACACTCGCTCCATTTCCGATTGCAATACGGTCATTTCTGTGAGTGAAACAAAGAAAGGTTATTAAAATGACAGCTGTCAGAGTGAAAAGTCGTATTGTATTGGACATTTGATGACCCAAAATTTAAAATTTTTCAAGTCTTTTCATTATCGAGATACTTCTAATGGACGCGGTTACCGTGAAAAGCCCTCTGTATAGCCTATATAGTGCAATCGAAAATGGAGCAAGCTGTATACAGAGTGTCCCGAATAATTCGCATTTTTGTTTTCTCAGGTAATTACCTAGAAAACTTACCGGAAGACAAAAGGGCAGGCCTCTTCTTGGGCAAACTGCCGAAGCCGGAGCTCCCACTAGCAATGGAACCGGCCAAGGAACCGCTGGAAAATTCATCGGACCGTTGCTCGTTACCCGGTTCTTCCACGTTCATTTGCTTGTGTTTCAACGACGGCGAAGGCCTGTGGAATTAATACAATTTATTTAAACGTTAATCGGCTTCGATAAGGAAACTTTAAACTGTACTTTAAATTTTTCATAAATCAACAAGAATTTACACAATCTGGCAACGATGCACAGTTTGTTGACACTGTCAGAACACAAAAATTGACGTCATCGGCGCATGCGCATCATCCCGCTCCGACTTTCTCCGAATTTCTTCCCTTTTTGTCGCAGCCTTCTGGATTTTTTTACGCAATTTTTCAGAGTAAATTTTTCGTCAGTTCGTACTTACGCTTTGAACAATATATCGCCCGATATCATGTTCAATTCGATCTTGAACATCAACATGCTGTTGTCCTGCCGATGGCGGGCGTCGTACCCTTCGAGCAAGGACTTCTTCCTGATGACGCCGGCGCCCGCGTACTCGGCCAGATTCAAATCGACGAAGCCCAATTTGTTGAAGGACCTGCCGCCCTTGCACTCCTTCCTGATGGATATCCTGAGGACGCAGCGCTCCATCACGCCCGTCGTGGCGTTCGCCATCATTTTGCAGGGGAACGCGAACGTCGCGCCCCAATGGACCTTGTGGTCTTGCACTTCTTGCCTGTCACAGAAAAAAATGATTTGAAATTATTTAAAATGGCCGTTTCGTGCGAAATAACGGCTTTAAACGACGCGTTCGGGGTTATAAACAAGTCCCTAGTTACTCCATAACAACAATGTGAAACTGTCATATCTGTCAAGTTGAAACAAATCTCCTTAGTTACTCCATAACAACCAATGTAAATCTGTCAAAACGATTGATTAACATTAAAAAAGATGGCGGAAATATATATTTTAAGAAAAGAAAATGAGTGAAAATTAAGGATTTTGAGAGCGAATTGAGTCCAATTTCGAACTGTTTGCGGTGAATAAATTGGATTATTTTCGATTAAAACCCAACAAGATGGATGCGGCTCGAGTCTAAAACCGCACCACACTGAACGAAGAAAATTAATTGGATTTGGTCGGTTAAATTCGACGAAAAACTAAATTTTCCGCTAGGTTAAACGATCCTCTAATTTAGCAGTCGGTTTATAAAGCGAATTCGGGCGAAATTAAACGGTTTAGACGTATTAACTCGTGCGAAATTTGAGGAATTCTTCTATGTATAGAAAATCTTTGCCAAGTGTCCATTCTATGAACAAATTAAACGCGCTAAATGTATGTAATTGAATACACCTAATAAACTATTCGAGGAAATCGGTTCAAACTGTAGCGATAAACAAATATGGCATTTCATTCTATTGTACTCGGGCAAATAAAAATAGCATTATATACAATTATTGCGCCAGGCAGACGTCTAGTCTTTAAACAAAAAAAAATAATAATAACGAAGATGATAAAATAGAAACAAAAACAAACAACGGTCTAGCATTCCAACGCCATCTTTTCCGAGATTAATAACCCAAGATATTCGTAATTAGAAATAGCATTATAAAATGAAGAGTCCTAAATACTCATTATCTTCAATTAATCATCGCTAATATTTCCTAAAACTAGACACCATTATTATACAAGTAATTGCATCATTGTTATTTTTTATAATGACGAAATCAATTGCCAATTAAAAACGTGATTGAATCGGTGGTGTATTTAATAATAGCATTTTCAGGTACTGATGTGTTCGAGTCAAATGTCAATTGAACACGTTTATTTATAAAAATTGACCCATCGACACTGATTGGGCAAAATCGGTCGATCCGATTGAATAATTACAGGGTGTCCCAATAACCAGCAGCCCCTTTAGTGAGTCATCTTCTTTTGTAGAATAACAATACGTTTTCGAAAAGTAGAAGAGTACATCTTTCTGTAAGAGTATTCATAATTTCTGTATCACTTTAACAAAACTTATTTGGGACAACCGCAAGTTTTTATGATTTAGGCGTTTACAAATTCTAAGCTCATTAAAGGGGCTACTTTTCATTGGGACACCCTGTATTACACGATTTTTTTTTAAATTCTATTCGAGAATAGGAAGTTGAACGAACCGCTCGCAGCACATAAAAATCTATTTATTTGCGAATTCGATATTTATTTTACACTATTCGCCTACGAAGCACGTTTAATTTATTTATTATTTAAAGATCTACCGGAAGCGAGCGGTAATAATAATACACCCTGTATGTACGAAAGAACAGCTGTTTGCATGCACTGTAAATTTGTTTACATAGCGCGAGAATGTATGAATGAAATTTTCTAAAATTACATTTTTTCCAAACCAAAATCGATAATGTTTAATAATAGAATTTTCTTTTTATTTCACCCTAGTTTTTAGAAAGGTTGTATGTAATGTATTAGCATCGAGCTATGTAAAATTAGCGAAGGATCTAAAATTAAATGTTTTATTGCATTTCTATGTGGTAATGTAATGTATAATAAAATTTTTCTGAGAAAACAGCTTCCGAATATAATTCGGGAATATTTCAAATTCTGTTTATTCTATTCGAAATATCGACGGATTCGTGCGAAAGAATTGTTAACAAAAATTTTTAATAATTACATTTCGATTCGTATCGAAGTTTGAAACAAAACTGGGCGTTTAAAATACAGGGTGTCCCCTTTAGTGAGCTAAAGAGCTACGTTTCATTGGGACACCCTGTAGTCGCGAAACTTGAAGTTAAATTGATCGACCCGAATGAAAGGTCGCCCGATCACCTTGACCCAATTCAGGCGAAGACACGGAAACATTTACACATTTACAACGATGGAAAATCTAACCGAAATTCGTGTAAAATTTACACTTAAATTTGCATAGCATTCGAATCGCTCTAATGCTACTTCTATAAGGTCGACTACATAATATGGTAATTGTTTCGTTAAAAATATATTGGGATGTAATTAATATTTATTCAACAACGTTTCATTTCGAAACGAATCGTTTACAACATCGTAATCGCATTGTGCATTTCGAATTTCGACGAGAAAAAAAATTATTAGAGCGTGAAGAGTGTAAACTTCGAAATGATCAATCTCGCTCGAAACGCCCGGCGTTTGTGAAAAATTGCTTTTCTTCGAAAATAATTTGTTCGAAAGTAATTTTTAATAATAATGTTTCTATCTCGTAGGAGTTACTATAGGCAGATTCTTTCAATTGACAGATTTACATTGTTGTTATGGAGTAACTAGGGAGATTGTTTAACTTGACAGATTTACATTGTTGTTATGGAGTAACTAAGGAGATTTTTTTAAATTGACAGATATGACAGTTTTACATTGTTGTTATGGAGTAACTAAGGAGATTATTTCAAATTGACAGATATGACAGTTTTACATTGTTGTTATGGAGTAACTAGGCGGATTAAAAAACGCAAAAAAATAAAATTTTAATGAGCACTAAAAGAAGAGGCCAATTTTAATACTATTTACCTATAAATTTAATATCATTAGCGCTAATTTAAAAATTTGTAGTTTATACTCGAGCGAATAAAAATCCAATTTATAAAAAACCCTTTAGAATAGTGTAGTTCGTGTGCCAAACGAAATTTGGGCAAGAATCCCATCATTTCAAATTTTCTCTACCGATATTGCAAGTTAAATAACCACTCCCGGTTATTAGATAATCTAAAAACAGCAGGAAAATTAGTAAAAATCATCTACCAGGAAGCGACCTATAAAACTCTAATATAACGTTCGCGTGCCAAACGATCATTAATCAAACCAAACCAAATAAAAAATAAAAAATCGACTATACATGAACACGTTCACTGCGGAGTTTAATTTCAAAAATAATCACTATACAGGGTGTCACTTAAATGATAACTTTAATTTCAAGGAGTGATTCCTTGTCATATTTTATAAAGAAAAGTTCAACGAGAAATCACTCCCTGAAATTAAAATTATCATTTAAGTGACACCCTGTAGATATCGATGTTATGTACAACAGGTTTCGCTTTATTATCATATGTATAGAAGAGGGAAAACAATCATGTTTTGTTAGAAAACCCCCGGTTTAACTAACTATAGCATTTTCCGATTTTCCATTATAGAATCATCGAGTTTAAATGAATCGAATGTGATATAAAAATGTTTATTCGCCACACATAAATTTATCTATTTACTCGTAAATTTTATGTTTACCTGCATGCATGTAATTATCGAAACTAATTATAGCATTAATTGTGGAATATAACAGTAGACAATTTTCTTATCAGTGTTAGTAATCAACTAATTATTTACCTGCAAATGCAATTATTGTAAATATTCAGTTGCACACAAACGGCGCATCTACCTTCAAATAATAATATTCTAAAGTGCAGGAATAAATTAAATTAGTAACAAGAATTATTAGCGACCCCATTATTTAATAATGGACGTTATTTAAAACAATACAACAGCTCGAATGATTCATCCCCAGTCATAAAAAAAAATACGAATTCGTGGCTGGAAATGCGCCACAGTAAGAGACCCGAGTCGATTTTTATGCAGAAAATCTAGGGTAAGACCAGAAAAATATCCATTGCAAACGAGTCGAGTTTGGAAACGAAGAGAAAATCGAATGGAATGGAATGGAATCCGATAAAGTTGATAAAAAAAAAAAAGAAGACAACCTTGCCTCTAGCGATCGACCTACACCGGTATAATATACACACAAACTCGTTTGACCGACTTATCGGATACAGGGTGGCACGAAAAAGACACTATAAAAATTTACATTCAAAAAATTACCAAGCAATCGTTCATGAAATTCGATACTACAGCTGATTGTTCGTTGCAAAATCTACGATGATTTATTGATCGATTAGTGTACGCTTTCGGTGCAGTTTTAGATAAAATTGGGACATCCTGTATACTCATTTAGAGATCGAATTTACTTAGAAATGCGCTAAAATTCGATATTACAGTTGATTGTTTATTGCAAAATCTACAATGATTTATTGATCGATAAGTGTACACTTTCGATGCAGTTTTAGATAAGATTGGGACATCCTGTATACTCATTTAGAGATCGAATTTACTTAGAAATGCGCTAAAATTCGATACTACAGCTGATTGTTTATTGCAAAATCTACAATGATTTATTGATCAATTAGTGTACACTTTCGATGCAGTTTTAGATAAGATTGGGACATCCTGTATACTCATTTAGAGATCGAATTTACTTAGAAATGCGCTAAAATTCGATACTACAGCTGATTGTTTATTGCAAAATCTACAATGATTTATTGATCGATTAGTTGGGACATCCTGTATACTCATTTAGAGATCGAATTTACTTAGAAATGCGCCATTGTGGATTTCGAATGGGATTTACCTAGAATTTATACGCTGGTGCATCGACGGTTCGGGTAATTAGGATCAGGTCGAATCCTGGTTAAATTAAAGGATTCCCGTTTAAATCCTGATTGTTAATTAACGTGAAGAAGACAAAAAAAAATAGGACGAATACTAAATAACTCCAATCTCTTCTGTTAATTATTCGAATGTGTATATCTACTTACAGAGCTATGCAAATAGCTGAAGACTTTATAGCTATTCCTGTGTATCTGTAGATGAAATAAAATCGCAATAAATGCATAAAACTGAATTCTTGGCGTATTTTAATGCATAATTCCGGTCGCGATTTGTTTATAACCTTCGATTGGGTTCGTTAAAATGCACAAAATAGTCGATTTTGTTTCGTGCACTTGACCTGAATGTATTCAAAGAAAGCGAACAGGATGCCCTCAACTATACTTTCCCAACAGTATATACTAAAGGGAACCAATACTTTATTATACTTTATAAGGCCCGAGTTGCAGTAAAAATCCATCGCAAACACGAAAACATTTCGACTTGCCAAAATTCAAATCGTTCTAAATAAGAAGATTCCTTAACTAATATTTGCAAAAAAAAATCAATTGATAGATTTTGGAGTATTGTGAATGAAATAATCGGTTAATAAATGTAAAATGTAGCGTGTGAATATCACTCCAAATTAAAATCTATATTTTTTTTTGTTTGATACACAACACACAATACTCTAAAACATTACCATATCAGTAATTAATGAATTATACATTAATTCTTTAAAAACGCGATAGTATAGACTACTTAATTTATTGATGACGCTTTTTTGACGAAAATAATACAATAAATTTAAATACATCGTGACTCATTTAGTATTTACGACGCTTCAAAATCACCTGGCCCGTCTAGCAAAAACCCAAATTACACCATTTCATTTCAATTCGATTTATACATTATGTACTTTTTCGGTGTCACTTGACCTCCCCTTTCCATAAGAAAAAAATATTCAAAATGGCGCCTAACTGTCATTTTCAAAGTTTCAACTGTCATTTTTACGTCAAAAATTAGTATTTTTACAAAAGTTAAAGGGGAGGCGACGGACTTTTGGTCCTCACTTCACTGGTTTAATTGCATTACCAAATGATATACATAGTAATAATAAAAAGTTTATAAAGAAAATTATCATCAAGATATTATTCGGTTATCCTGTTACCGACCACATGTTTTTCGAATCCGATCCGCCACATGGCTCAACATCAAATGGCATTCACACGTTTTTATAACCCATATTAAACCCGCTAATGGGTATTTTATGGTGAGGCATCCAGTTATTTTTTTTTAGTTTCTATGTACTGGTAAATTTTAGCAAACCGGTCGCCATAGAATAGAGTTGAATAGAGTTTAAAAGAGTTGAAAAGACTTGCAGAGGGTTGCAGAGAGTTGAAAAGAGTTGAAATGAGTTGAAGAAAGTATAATAAAAGACTGAGAGTAGAGCAGTGTAGTGTAGAAGAGAGCTAAAGAGAGTAGAGTAGATGAGAGTTGAAGAGAGTATAATCAAAGAGATTGAGAGTAGAGTAGAGTAGTGCAGTGTAGTGTAGAAGAGAGCTAAAGAGAGTAGAGTAGATGAGAGTTGAAGAGAGTATAATCAAAGAGATTGAGAGTAGAGTAGAGTAGTGCAGTGTAGTGTAGAAGAGAGCTAAAGAGAGTAGAGTAGATGAGAGTTGAAGAGAGTATAATCAAAGAGATTGAGAGTAGAGTAGAGTAGTGCAGTGTAGAGTAGAATAGAGCTAAAGAGAGTAGAGTAGATGAGAGTTGAAGAGAGTATAATCAAAGAGATTGAGAGTAGAGTAGAGTAGTGCAGTGTAGTGTAGAAGAGAGCTAAAGAGAGTAGAGTAGATGAGAGTTGAAGAGAGTATAATCAAAGAGATTGAGAGTAGAGTAGAGTAGTGCAGTGTAGTGTAGAAGAGAGCTAAAGAGAGTAGAGTAGATGAGAGTTGAAGAGAGTATAATCAAAGAGATTGAGAGTAGAGTAGAGTAGTGCAGTGTAGTGTAGAAGAGAGCTAAAGAGAGTAGAGTAGATGAGAGTAGATGAGAGTTGAAGAGAGTAGAGTAGTTGTGTCGTTAGTTGGGTCAAATAAGTGTGGAAAAATTCAAATTTTAAATCGAAAATCTTTCGCCCGGGTTTTCGCATTGACCATAACCTTGTTCCCGGTCGGTTATTCGGTCACCGGAAAAAATAAATATTAACACTAATCGAGTTCGTTGTAACCGGTGATTTTTTTTTTTTGTGTTGTTTATATCCGAATCGCCGCATCGCGTTTTGGTTTGGCAATTTTTTTTTTTTTTTTGGAAAACGTCCAATTTTTCTTTCTACGTCGGAAAATATTTACACAAAATTTTCTTTTATTGCAATTCTAAAATATTATTAAAATGAATCAACCTTGTCGGGTTATATTTACAACACTAAACAATGATTTTATTGAACAATATAAGAAACATTCTGTAAACTTCGACAAACTCCTCGAAATATTAATTTAATAAAGGAGTCTGGATGGCATTTGGTCTGTATAGAATATTAAACTTTCCTCTATAACTCCCCAAATGAAACTTCGAAATATGAAATTAGTACGGGAGCTTAGCGAACAAATAATAACCAATTGGTTAATTTAAAAAAAATAAATTTAATGCATCGAATCGGTCGGATAAAGCAACACAAAAACAAACTTTAATTAGAGGTTTATATTAACGCATAACGCGTATAGGCTTGCATAATGTATTAATGTATATGCATAGTCAGGAAATCGAGCATACAACAAAACGCATCGAATCAAAACCTGATTAGGAAGTTAAAATAAAACTTCCTGTATATACGCTCGTTATTCCCTAAATTAATTCCGTGAATAGCCAAACAACAAAATATTTAATTACACAATACCTATTAAATAGGAGGTAAAAATATGCTGGATTTAAATGAATTTCTTTTGCTAATTTGGGCCTTAGAATCTCTAAGAAATTATTCGAACATTTCCACAATGCAAATGCACCAACAGGAAAGAAATTAATTATCGCACTTTAGAATACTATACAGAAAAAAAATAGATAAGAAACAATAGTTTCCGGAAATTAGGTTTTCGAAAGGGAGATAGTCGAAACGGAAATTTCAATTGGTATTGAATTTATCATTTCTCTGCCTACGAGATTTTCAAATTTCTTCCCATTCAAGCGAAACATTTTTTCTTTAGTATATTTTTTCTTTACACAATGAGGGGTTAAAAGAGGAGAGAATTGTATGGGGTTTTTGAATGGGAAATTTTGTATTTTATAGTATGTTCGATTGGGTTTGATAGTGTGGAAATTTTATCCAATATTTGTGTTTTATAATCGAATAATATGAAAAATACTATGAGTATTATTGTGAAGAAAAAATTAAACAGTGCAATTTTTAGTTAGATATTTTAATCAAATATCGTCTTTCTTTTTTCATTTTTTTTCAAAAAAATTATCCAAACGCTTAAAAAAAATTCATCATCTTTTGACGAAGAAAAAAAAAATGTGGATTTTATCTAAACAATTTTAAATGCAATAGTTTCAAAATATTAATATCAATGCAAGAAACTTTTTATAAATTTGACTAGCGAATGTTGCGTGCGTTATATCTCAAAAACCACTAATTGAAGATATAAAAAATATATATGAAAATTGAAGCGTAGAATTTTTCCTACAAATTGAGCTGGAAACGAAATTTCTAGCTCAAGTAGTTTAGAAGTTATGACAGAAAATGTGAGACAACTCGTCGTTTTTTAATAAAAATGTTCTCCTTGAACTTGGTCCCCTGTTTCACGAGCCTCTAAGGCCGTGTGATTTACATTAAAATTAGACATTTAATTATACGCAGGTAAAGTACACGCTACTCTGTCATTCCCCCAAGGTTAAAACGCATTGTACGAATATTATTACATAGGAAATTCGAAATATGTATCGATCAAATTAAAAAAAAAAATCAAATTGAAAAATCAGCATGGTAAAATACCTGTTATGAATTTAACATCAGCGAAGAGAAAACGCACGTAGGTAAAATAAAATATTCCTTATTATTTGTTTAATCAAATCGAATTAATTTCCCCGAGCAATAAATCAAATCGGAAATAAACAACAAACGGAATTCAAAACACCCATACAAATCGCAATTATTAAATAAATTTTCGAGTTAGTGGGACTTTAAGATGCGTTCGATGATACAAATAACGTCAAAATTAGTGAAATCGACATTAATGACAGTTCGACGTCAAAAATAAACAAAACCGACATCAATGACAGTTCGAACTTGAATAGAGATGGAACAGGATTTACCTGTATATAGAGATGCGATAACGACCCGTTCCAAAATAACCGTTATTTTTCCGAACAAATTCCACCTACCTGCTGCTGTGATCCTGGAAATTCCCGCCGTCGAGCAACCGCAATTTGGCGAAGAGCACCGCCGAAACGAAGGGCACTTCGAGCAACTCCTCGAGGCAAATCTCCACTTGGAACTTGTACTTCTTCTTTTTGGTCATGAACGACGCCATGCCGGCGCCTCGTCCGTTAGTCATGCAGCCAGTCCCTGCGAACCTTCCAGATCTTCCTGCTTTATAATCGGATTTTATGGTTGTTGTTTTTTTTCTCTACATGATAATGGCGATTTCGCGGATTTCGCCCCGGCAGGATTATTAATGGAAGACTCCTTATTCTAGTTTAAATGGAGCGATTTCGTTGGGGTGTTGTTGTGATGCATTTAATGAAAATCAGGAGAATGTAATGAGTTGAATATTTCGAGTTTGGTCGTGTCCAAATCTGTAAATAGAAATAAATGCAAATATTATTTGAGTGGGTTTTTAAGTAGTAAAGGAAATTGTGTTGTATGTTGCATCATAAAGGAATTGGGAGTTTTACGAAAAAAGTTATGGTTACTGTAAAAGTAATCTGCACTTTCACTAAAACTATCGTTTTATTGGAAACCACCGCCTTCGATAATTATGTAATATTGCTACAATCATTGTCGGTTTACAACAAGTTTTATTGTAAAAAAAAACACACAAATTAAACGGATATTAAGCGATATATCTGAATGACCTAGTAAAACTAAATCCATTCTCAAACATTATTCAAATATAGGTGAATTAAACATCCAAAATTCCGCAAAAAAATCTATTTTCGTAGCGAAAACAAACAACAAAGGAAGCTTATTTTGCATTAACGCCGTAAACGTCAGATATTTAACATTCATATCCTTATCAAAGGCACAATGTTAATATTTATTGTATTAATAAACCGGGTATATTCAACCGTGAATCCCATTTCTGGATTACTGGAAACAATTTCCTCATTCGAAATAAATACGAAGCAAATCGCAAATTGATAGAATAATCCAGGAATACTCGAGATAAAGAGTATTGTTAAAAACAACAAATGATTCATAAATTTAGAGATTTCATTTGCAAATGCAGTCGAGGAAAATCAATTAGAATTGCATTTAAGTATTAATAACACAATTCTAGTATGTACTGGTATCAAAATAATATGTTTTATTTATAAATGTGAGACACCGGTCACAAAATGAAATTCGTTATCTAATAATAAATATCGTTTCGAGTATACCTACATATTTAAACTTTTAAAATGCATACACGAGTTTGATAACAATATTAAAAACCGAATTGTGTCAACATTAAAAAAGGAGGAATATTGTTACAAAAAAAAAATACAATTTAAATATACTAGACTTGCACCTTTGATAAGTTGCATGGAAAAGTTTAATCGTTTAAAATAAAAATAAGGTAATTACATATTATCGGTAATAAAATTTGCATCGCTGATAAAATAATTGTTGTTAATAAGTTTGCTTTTATTGTGCTTGGGAAATTTAATTTACTTTACTAACTAATGCGATTTTATTGCAAGGATTAACCAAAGTAGATTTATTTGTATCTCTCAACAGCTTTTCTATGTACATAAGCAAAAATATTAAGATTAATTTATTGTAAGTTTACTTAGGTAATTTTTAATCTTTAGTAAATTTAAGAAGCCAATCACATTAGTTGTCACTTAGGCTTATCTAGAAATTCCTATTAAACAAATATTTAACTACATAATTAATGATTTAAAAACCGTTATTTAATAGTGCTTTAACAATAAAATATCACTAGGACAATAACACTAAAATTAAGCTACAAGACAATTATTTTTAAAGCATATTTCGTGTGCGTTATGAGTCGAGGAAAGCTCGTTATTGCATTACACCGACAGGAACAATATCCGTGCATATCCGGGATGTATTTAATAAAGAAAGAATTCATTTGCAAATCGCGAATTCCAAAGGATAATTTTCAATTATTGCTTAATTTTCACCAACCAAAATAAGAGCGGAAAAAGGCACTGTCGGTGAAAGAAAAGCCCGTTCGTTCGATGAATTACGCACCTGATTTATAGGGGAACGAAATGGCCGAAAGAAACATCCATCTAGTATTTAAATTGCGGGTATTTATCGACGAAAGGCACAAATTTTGACACTTGCTAACACAACTCCAACGCCATTACAAACTAAACTAACTGACAACCACTGACACGGCGCTGCTGACACAAAAATTACTGGCCTTTTTCTTAAGAGTTACACAACTCATGTACTAATAAAAAAGAAGAAAGATAAATTCCATAACAGTAATTCACTTTATTGACTTACTTATCACGCGGTATTTCCACAACAAAAGATTTTTACAAAGCAAAATTGATTCGTATAAGCGTTTTTGTCAACCAACATTAATAAAGCTAAATTCCCCAATAGTAGAAGACAACAACCTGAAGTTAGCGTTGCAAAAAAATTTCAAAATCCTAACCTACATAAATATAAACAAAAAAAATGAGAATATTTTGCATTATTTAAAATGTTAATACTCTTCCACATAATCAACATACTTATTAATCGATATTTACTCAACAAAAGTCTCTTAAAACGGAGAAACTTCAGTAGCAAAACAATGAACAACACAATAGAAACAACCGACAACAACAACGATGATATAGAAAACAATATATCCTTTGATCCACCTTTATATCGCCAAAGATACGGCAGGGTGTACGAAATTCTCATAGACGAACGTTGGAGATCGAAAGTATCCAAATTATGCGATTTCGGTTGCGCCGAATTGGGGCTGTTTGTATTCGTGAAAAGGGCCACCAAAATAACCGAAATGCTTTTCGTCGATATAGACGAGGATTTACTAAACGAAAAATCGTTCAAAGTTAAACCTCTGTTAATCGACTACGTCCAACGCAGGAACGAGCCTCTGGAAATTCATTTACTCGCCGGGAGCATCGGGAATCCGGATTATAGGATATCTAATGTGGATGTAATAAGTGCTGTAGAAATGTTAGTGTTTATTAGATAGTTGTAATGTATTCTAATTGGATAATTTTAGCATCGAGCATCTATATCCCGATACTTTAGATGAATTTCCTTACAATATATTCAACTACGTGGAGCCGAAGATCGCGATCGTAACCACTCCTAACGCGGATTTTAACGTCTTATTTCCTGATAAGTTGACGAAATTCCGGCATTACGATCACAAATTCGAATGGAGTAGACAACAGTTCGAAGATTGGTACAAAAAAACTCATCCTTAACACATCGATTTTATACAATTATCACATTCCTTAGGGCTCAAAACATCACCCGACGCTTCCCGGACTACACAGTGCAATTCGAGGGATTGGGCGAAGGTCCCGAAGGTACCCACCACTTGGGCCACTGCACGCAACTCGCTTTATTCATTCGAAAAGATTTACTGGACGATAATTATGTCTTGAAGAAATATTCCGTACCGTGTACCTGCTGCGATAAAACCCAATGCCCCTCGTGCAATTGCACCTGCACCCGTTGCACGCCGGTTAAATCCCACGGCGTTTGCACTTACTGCACTCGTTCGAAAGGAATTAATCTCGATACGGGAATCGAAGGGACGTTTTATAATCTCGTCGAAAGCGTAAGACTCGATGTAAATGTTTGTATATATAATGTATGTATCTTCGATTAGATCGAATATCCGTTCGAGCCGGACACCAGAAGCGAAGAAGAGAAGTTAATGCAAGAATTTCGGTATAGAATTAACAATTTCAACCATCACAACAGCAGATTCTTCGTGGTGGAACGAGAGAGAGTCGAAATACCTTTAAGCGATATCCTTTACGGCAGCAAATTCGCTTATATCACCGAAAACGAGCTGTGGTAATTATCAAATCCAATCTAATTCATTTCATTATTGATTAAACTAGACTTAAACCAGGGTCGTGGATGTTTAAGGTATTTCGGTTAATAGGTTGAAGTTTAAAAAACGTATCTAATTAAAGTAGACTTTAATAAACGTTGATCTACAAATTGTGAAACAGAAACATAAACTAAATCAACATACAAAAGCGTGAACCTAACCTAACATAACCTAACTAAAAAAAAAATTGTCATTGACAGTTGACATTTTACATTAGAAAAGAAGAACAACTATAAAGGGTGCACAGCTACCCATAATTGTAAAGGTGGTTAGCTTATTTCCTCTAATATAAGGTCTGGAAATATCGAAAAAGTGTCCAGTTTATTTAAAGATGAAACAAATACAGTTTCCAGACCTCATAAATAGCCTACCGTGCCTTAAACACTCTTAAGTTGGCAATCACACGTCAAAATACAATCACTACAAAACAACAAATTGTCAGAAAAATTCCTAGTGCTCCACAAATATTATTTCGCAGCGACCTTTTGGAACGGCACGATTACCGAATCGAAAGATGTCATGTACAAGAAACGGATGAATTCGAGAAATGTATTATCGTCACGCCATTGATGGACGATTTCGCCGGTTCCTCCGATCATTCGGAATTGGACGACACCGTTTCCGGTTATTTTCAGCCAATCAACGACTCGGAATCCGATTGGGACGATGACAATCAGAAGATCGAGGAGGGCCCCAAAGGTGAGTTACATTCTATCGCTAGTTAGATGGCTGTAATATGGTGTTTTGGAAGATTAGTAAATTGTATTCAAATAAGTATATTTATGTTTTTGTAATGTTTCCTAATTCCTGTGTTTGTTCAATGTGTTTGGCAAGAGGTGAGTATTAGGAGTGGTGTTTGTTAAACCTGCAAGGTAGGCAACCAGGATGTCAGATACAAATTTCTATTTTACTCTAAATATTGAACAATATTTTATCTTTTTTAATTGGATTATATTATTAGCTTATAATCTTCATATTGCTCGACTATAGAACCTAGTTGTAAACCCAAATTTAGGCTTCAAATCTACTGAATTTTTTACTCTCGATCATTCCTTTCTTTACTTTTTTATGAAATTATTCATCAATTTACTAATTTTTTATGAATTTCGAATTTTCCAATCTTAAATTTTTAATATTTTAATGAATTTTTCATCAATTTACTATTTTTTTATGAAAATTTGAAATTTTTTACTCTCGATCATTCTTTTCTTCACTTCACAAATTTTCATCAATTTACAAATTTTTTTAATAAATTTCGAATGTTTCAATCTTAAATTTTCGATATTTTTATGAAATTTACTTCAATTTACTAATTCTTTTATAAATTTCAAAATTTTCAATCTTAAATTTTCGATATTTTTGTGAAATTTTCATCAATTTACTAATTTTTTTATAAATTTCAAATTTTCCAATCTTAAATTTTCGATATTTTAATAAAATTTTCATCAATTTACTAATTCTTTAATGAAAATTTAGAATTTTTCACTCTCCATCATTCTTTTCTTCACTTTTATATGAAATTTTCATCAATTTACTAGTTATTTTTCAAATTTCAAATTTTCCAAGCTTAAATTTCCTACGTTTTTATGAAATTTTCACCAATTTACAATTTTTTTTATAAATTTCAAATTTTCCAATCTTAAATTATCGATATTTTTATGAAATGTGCATCAATTTACTAATTCTTTTATGAAAGTTTGAAATTTTTCACTCTCAAATATTGAACAATATTTTATCTTTTTTAATTGGATTATATTATTAGCTTATAACCTTCATATTGCTCGACTATATAGCCTAGTTGTAAACCCAAATTTAGGCTTCAAATCTACTGAATATAGCAATAGTAAATACAAAAGGTAAGTACTATTTTTTATAACTAATTTATTCCTATTAATAATACTAATCCTCCATTAAAACCGGTATCGATTTAACTCGAATCACCACGGGTAACCCGACAAAACTCCGGTTACCGGAGTTACCGAATGACACGGGTCAATCATTCGTCGAAATGATTATTTAACGTGTGCGCGGTGAACATATTTTTTTTTCTAATTTTTTTTCCCAACCAGTTCGCTTACAATTTTTTTTTCCATCCGCGAAATTTACTCGTTTTTGAATTGAAACCATGACGGAGGAAACCGATCCGAATTCGAGCAAGAAATGCGAAGAAGACGAGACTGCAGATTTCGTACAAAAGCAAGTAGGTGTAATTTAATCATCTCGATGTACAGGCGATTATAATGTACGCAATTTCCACCAGATACAAGAGAGCAACAAGAAACTCGACAAGCTAATATTCGAAGGCGACCTCCACCTGAAAACCGTCTCCAAAGCCAACGAAATCCGCGTGAAACAACAACACCTGGTGAACACCGAAACCAGATCTCGAGTCGCCTCCCAACACGAATCCCAAGCCTCCGAAGCCGAGCGAAAATTCACCGAAATCATCACCAAATGGACCGACCTGGAGCGCCTAAACGATCCCCTCCGAATCCACGAAGCCATCTCCGAGCAGAAGAAACAATGCGACCAACTCCTGCGCAAGAAGGACCAATTCATCGAGCTGGTGCAGAAGGAGGTGTACAAAGCCCACAAGCAATTCGATAAAGGATTGGACCAGCAAACGGAGGACCTGGTGGTCCTCTCGGAGAGGACCTACGAGCAGATAAAGGCCCTCAGGGGGGCCTTCGAGCGGCATTTCCTCGCCGTGCAGGGGGCGGTGGAGGGCGAGCAGAAGAAGTACCTGGCGAGGCGGTACGCGCTGTGGGAGCGGCTGTACGAGGAGTGCGGGAGATTGGCGGTGGATATCGTGGAGGAGCGGGTGAGTTTGAGGGACGGTTTGTTTGCGGAGCTGGCGGGGGTGGAGACGGGGTGTCACGAGGAGATTCGGGCGAGGTCGGACGAGATGGAGTTGGAGGCGCAGAAGGTGAGGTTGGCGTTGCAGAATTTGAAGCCTTTGTTGGCTACCAATTCGGAGAAGTTGGAGTATAATACGATTGTGTTGGAGAATCGGCAGGAGGAGAATCGGTATGTTAGAGGTGAGGATGGGGTTTGGGTGTTTTTTTTTTTGGGGTGGGGATATGTGCAAGGGGTTTTGGTTGAAGGGTGGTTTGATTTGTTGTTTCGTTGGTTTCGAGATTGGAAGGTTCAAATTTTTTTTTGGTTAAATTTAATGTGTTTTTCGCTGTTTTTTTTTTTCGCTGAAATTTTTCACTCGAGTTCATTCATTTCTTGACTTTTTTATGAAATTTTCATCAATTTACTAATTATTTTTCAAATTTCGAATTTTCCAAGCTTACATTTCCTATTTTTTTTATGAAAATTTCATCAATTTACTCATTTTTTATGAAAATTTGAAATTTTTCACTCTCCTTCATTCATTTCTTTACTTTTTTTATGAAATTTTTCATCAATTTACTAATTTTTTTATAAATTTCGAATTTTCCAAGCTTACATTTCCTATTTTTTTATGAAAATTTCATCAATTTACTCATTTTTTATGAAAATTTGAAATTTTTCACTCTCCTTCATTCATTTCTTTACTTTTTTTATGAAATTTTTCATCAATTTACTAATTTTTTTATAAATTTCAAATTTTTCAATCTTAAATTTTTGATATTTTTATGAAATTTTCATCAATTTACTAATTCTTTTATGAAAATTTGAAATTTTTCACTCTCCTTCATTCATTTCTTCACTTTTTTTATGAAATTTTCATCAATTTACTAATTTTTTTTATAAATTTCGAATTTTCCAATCTTAAATTTTCGATATTTTTATGAATTTTTCATCAATTTACAATTTTTTTTATGAAAATTTGAAATTTTTTACTCTCGATCATTCTTTTCTTCACTTCACAAATTTTCATCAATTTACAAATTTTTTTAATAAATTTCGAATGTTTCAAACTTAAATTTTCGATATTTTTATGAAATTTACTTCAATTTACTAATTCTTTTATAAATTTCAAATTTTTCAATCTTAAATTTTTTATATTTTTATGAAATTTTCATCAATTTACTCATTTTTTATGAAAATTTGAAATTTTTCACTCTCCTTCATTCATTTCTTTACTTTTTTTATGAAATTTTTCATCAATTTACTAATTTTTTTATAAATTTCGAATTTTCCAATCTTAAATTTTTAATATTTTAATGAATTTTTCATCAATTTACTATTTTTTTATGAAAATTTGAAATTTTTTACTCTCGATCATTCTTTTCTTCACTTCACAAATTTCGAATGTTTCAATCTTAAATTTTCAATATTTTTATGAAATTTTTCATCAAATTACTAATTCTTTTATAAAAATTTGAAATTTTTTCCTCTCCTTCACTTTTTTTCATAAAATTCGCATTAATTTGCTAATTTTCTCAAGAAAATTTCAACTTGTTAAAACCATTACTAAAAAATTTCCTACCCGAAATATACAAAAAAAACACTCAAATCATTTAAAAAATTGCACATAATCCGATCATCATTAACAACAAAAAATTACCTACTAAAATCAAATCTTCCCAACAAAGGCGAACTCAAAAAAAACATCGTACAAACCCAACTGAAAAACGCCCAATTGCGCAAGGACCTTCAAGAGCTTCGAAACGATTTAGGCACGAAAATAAAACAACACCAAACGAAATTAGAACAAATCAAAAAAGACATATTAAGCATCGAAACCAAAGCGGACAATTTCGCCACGAAAAACGACAAAATCTTCCACGAAATATGGGCATTAAACCGGGAAGAAGTCACCAAACTCATTGGCGATATATTTTCAATCGATAAAATGTTACACCAACAACAATTAGGTATTCAATTATACAATTCATTAGAACAAATTTTGATGGTTTTTGTTCACCGTAGGACTCCATTGGGAACAACCTTACATTTACCAATTGGATATTCAGAAGCTCCCGAGCTACCACAGGGCTATACTGAAAATTCAACACCAAGAAAACCCTTCTAGCAAACACATTTCTTTAGCTAAATTGAATCGAAGTTCGCACAATATCGAAGAAAAAACCGCCGATAGCGTCGAAACTATACTCAACACCAACAAATACAACAACTTAATAAAGTTTGTACAACTTGTATCTTATTTATCTTATTTATATCTAATTTTTGTAGAAAAATTTTGACGATTGTGGCCGATAAAGGTGGATTTTTATCGGAGGCTTGGTTGAGGCGGATAATTCCAGGTTATAGCAAAAACAACAGATCTTTGGTCACGTTGGAATCGATATTTCAAACGTTCGATATACAATCTCCCGACGATATCGATAAATTGATCAATTATTTCCTGCCCTACTGCTACTGCTTGAAATGCGCCCCTGAATGTTTGTATACAGTTTTTTTTTATATGAGGTATTTCATTGGTAAAATGTACAAAAACTAGTTTCCAGCAGAAATCCTTTGTATGTTTACCAATGATTTACCTACAGATCGATAGTAATAACTGGAGAAGTGAAGAAACCATGCGCAAAATCGACTCACTTTATGATATTTTTATGAATTTTTCATCAATTTACTAATTTTTTATAAATTTCGAATTTTCCAATCTTAAATTTTTGATATTTTTATAAAATTTTCATCAATTTACTAATTTTTTTATAAATTTCTAATTTTTCAATTTTAAATTTTCGATATTTTAATGAAATTTTCATCAATTTACTAATTCTTTAATGAAAATTTGGAATTTTTCACTCTCCATCATTCTTTTCTTCACTTTTATATGAAATTTTCATCAATTTACTAATTTTTTTATAAATTTCAAATTTTTCAATCTTAAATTTTCGATATTTTAATGAAATTTTCATCAATTTACTAATTTTTTTATAAATTTCTAATTTTTCAATCTTAAATTTTCGATATTTTAATGAAATTTTCATCAATTTACTAATTCTTTAATGAAAATTTGGAATTTTTCACTCTCCATCATTCTTTTCTTCACTTTTATATGAAATTTTCATCAATTTACTAATTTTTTTATAAATTTCAAATTTTTCAATCTTAGATTTTTGATATTTTTATGAAATTTTCATCAATTTACTCATTTTTTATGAAAATTTGAATTTTTTTACTCTCGATCATTCTTTTCTTCACTTTTATATGAAATTTTCATCAATTTACTAGTTATTTTTCAAACATCACATTTTCCAAGCTTAAATTTCCTACGTTTTTATGAAATTTTCACCAATTTACAAATTTTTTTATAAATTTCAAATTTTCCAAACTTAAATTTTCGATATTTTAATGAAATTTTCATCAATTTACTCATTTTTTATGAAAATTTGAATTTTTTTACTCTCGATCATTCTTTTCTTCACTTTTATATGAAACTTTCATCAATTTACTAGTTATTTTTCAAATTTCAAATTTTCCAAGCTTAAATTTCCTTCGTTTTTATGAAATTTTCTCCAATTTACAAATTTATTTATAAATTTCAAATTTTCCAATCTTAAATTATCGATATTTTAATGAAATTTTCATCAATTTACTCATTTTTTATGAAAATTTGAATTTTTTTACTCTCCTTCATTCATTTCTTCACTTTTTTATGAAATTCTCACCAATTTACTAATTTTTTTTATAAATTTAAAATTTTCCAATCTTAAATTTTCTACATTTTAATCAAATTTGCATCAATTTATTATTTTATATGAGGCATTTCATTGGTAAAATGTACAAAAACTAGTTTCCAACAGAAATCCCTTGTACGTTTACCAATAATCTACCTACAGATCGACTCAAATAGCCAGAGAAGTAAAAAAACCACTCACAAAACGACTCACTTTACACCATTTCAGACGTAACGCAGGAATCGAAATCGTCAAGACTAAGCAAATACAGCGAAAGCATCAGAAACGTCGACCAGGAAATCTCCTACTTCACCATGTTCAAAGCGGTAATAAACGACATGGAACTCTCCTCTGAAGACTACGACGACGCCATCTTAGAGGTTACCAAATTCACCCACCATCTCACCAGCAATCAGCAATTTACCAATCCCCATTTCCAGCTGGTGGACTCCTCCATATCGGACAAAACCTCCATCGAGTCCGCCGTCAGCCGATTGCAGCTCTCCGTCGAGCGAGTGTCCCGCTACGAGGAGATCGAGCGGAAGTTCAAGAAGCAGGAGAGCACCAGCGAGAAGAAGTTCACCTGCAAATTCCACCACAACCTCGTCATGAGCTCGGTGTACGTGATGCCCGCCGTCGAGAACATGATCCGATCGCACTTTCGCAACATCGGCGAGATACCCACGAATAGAGAGCGATTGAGCCGGAAGAGGCTCACGATTTCCCGTCTGATCGACGACGATGAGGTTAGAGACGCCTGGGCGATGTTTAGAGGCTCTTTCGCCGCAGAGCAGGCGAGGATTTGGAGGGGTTTCGAGGCGGCAGTGAAGAAGTATCACTCGGTTTTGACCAAACGAAAGGTTCTAACTGATGAAGTGGTTAAATTGAGAGAGGAGAATCGGAGATTGAAGGAGCTGTTGCCGTTGTATTTGGAACATTACAAATCGATGCCGAGGGTTTGCACGTTCGTGCATCAAACTCGTTTAAAATAGATTGTATCTTTTTAGGGGAATAAAGTAAATTTAAATACGCCTCGAATTCATTGGAGTCGATTTGGTTGTAACAATCAGTAACTTAACCGCACGTTTTAATCTTTGCAGAGCCTGTGTTAACCAGTAGCAACAAGAATTCACCAGCAAACAAAAAACACCCAATTTTCGATACGAAACCTCAATCTACCACAGAAACCAACAACAATCTCTCACCCGAACAAGAAGAAACCGATTTATTCGAAGAAACCGCCAGCACTCCCAGCCTATCCAGCCAAGACAACAAAGTCCACCTGAAACGAGCCTCGACCATCGAAAAATCCGGTAAAAACCCCACCCCAATTCCCACCTTCCACCAACCTTCCAAACTCTCCAGGTCACGCGCCGCCTCCGCCCTTGGACCTCTCCAAGATGAAGCTGGAAATCCACAGGATCAACGAGCTGGACCGCGTCCACAACATGCCGATGGGCCGGAACTTCTTCGGGCCCTTTCTGCGCTCGCACCGAAAGTCCTATCTCAGGGACAGAGACAACGCCCCGGGGCCCTCGAACGCGCCCCCGAAGCGCCGCAAGAGGGCGCGCATCGACGACGAGACGAGCCCCTTGAACGAGATGAAATCGATGACGAACTGCATCGTGGAGAACACGCTCAACCGGCTGGACGTGGACGAGGCGAAGCCCGATAAAGACGATGTGATTGAGTTCAATGTGCCCGAGGAGGAACCCGCTGTGGAGTCTACGAAGGACTTCAACGCTGTGCCCATCGAGGAGTCTACGAAGGATGTTTGTATGGACGTCGAGGCGACATCTGGTAGACTTGTAACTTGAGTTATTCGCTAACCCCGTTAATAAGGTTTGTCTTGAAGGGTGTGCGATGGAGGTTCCCTATGGGAGTCTTTCGGATCGTTGTGTATCGATGGATGGATCTGGGATCGATAATTTCGGCAGCGAACCGGTTTCGGACGACTTGGACGGGTTCTCGACGGTCCGGTTGGGTTCGGGGACCGATCGGTTCTTCGAGGAGTTGGTGGATTTGGACGGAGATCAAAGTACCATCGCTCAGGCCAGTAGGGAGGCTATAATCGACGCGAATTCCGTGCAGGATTTGCTGGAGGACTTCGAGAGTGGCACGTCGGTGGACGAATTGGACGGGTTCGATATCGTTAATTTGGGTAACGTGATATTGGTCGGGATGCATTCGATGGATAGCGATCGGTTCGGTAATTATCGCGGTGGAGTTCGGAGCTGTTCGATTGCTAGAACGTTGTGCTGTTTTAGAGCACGAGCAAAACAATAATTTTCCTAGTTGGTTGCTGCAGATTTTAGGCACTGCTGTGCCTTTGACTGAGCTGCCCGAGGACGCTTTGGAGGAGCCTCACTATTATTGCCAAGGAGACGGATTAGGTACTGTACTATACAAAATAAAGGACATTCGCGCTCGCTAGGCAATGATGTCATTAATTTCCACGCAGTTCAAAATGTCCCTAGTGTCAATGTTAATTCTCCCATTTGACTAGGGGAATTTAACGATGCCTAGTTGAAAGTCGAAAGCGATGTTGTCATGCATTTAGTATCAACATTCGCAATATTTAGCGGCGCTTTGTAGTTGACACTTTGACAGATTATGATTACAATTTGTTGTTTTTGCGCGATTTTTGTGTATTTTTTCAAGTTTACGAGTAGGTTTTGTGTTTTTCGTTCGTTCTAGATAGTTTTTCTTGCGGTTTATGTACATTTATCGACTGTTTCTCCCGCGATTTTCGGTGTTTTTTCGATCTATTTTGAGAGGGAACGGGACGATGGAGGCCCTTTTTCCCGATTAATTCCCGATCAATATTTTCGATAGTTCGGCACAATGAAATTTATAGGTTATGTTAAACTTACGAATAGTTTATTTAAATGTATATTTCTGTTTTATAGGGTTGTGAATCGTTGCAAATAAACACCTCTCCCGTCAATCGGATTGCAACCTAACGCATTTCTTCTTTTTAATTTCTAAACAATGAAAGTAAACATAACCTCAAATTAAACATATCTGTCACATCAAGATTTTAATTTCAACCCGGCAACGTTGCAACATGTTGGCTCGTGACGTCATCGCCTAGCGAGCGCGAATGTCCTTTAACCTCTAATCAAATATGTAATAATTTTATCGATTTAAGGTGTACACCCGTCCGTAATTACCGTAAACATCAACGATGAATTATCGTCGGAATCGTCGAACGATCCCAACACGACGGATTTTGCGGAAATCGATCCGGGAATGTCCTCTCAGGACATGTCCTCGTTGCCGGAGGATCCTTTGGATATTATAACGGACGTGAGGGAACCTTTGAATGGAATTAGAGCTCGTCGATTGTCCAATCCCACGTTGAATTTCGATTCGAATTCCTCCGATGTGGATATTCAAACGAGCAAAAGTTGTTGACTCGTTTCAATTCAATTCGAAAACTTAATTGAAAATAAAAATAATTATGTACATGATAAATGGTTTATTGTTGTTGTTATTTATTACACAAGCACGTTTGTAATTCCACGATGAGTGTGTGGGAATCTTAAACAAAACGAAAATTATATTAGTACAAGTGAAAATCAGTTTTAAAAGATAGTTTTAAAATAAGATTTAATCAGACTTATGGCATGTTTTTCTGCATAAACATATAAGAGTGGTGCATGCAAATCATCATGTTTGAGGAAACTATTTTATTTTCTAGTTGAAAATAACACAAGACATAGAGTTAGATACTTACAAACTTAATCAAAACCCCCAAAACATCTGTTGATATGATAAATTGGTACATCATTTAGTGAGGAAGGCTCTTCTCCAACAGCTTTACCTTAAAAAAATAATACATTTAATAACTAATTTAAGAGTAATTAACTGATTAGTAAAATAAATTAACGTCAGCTAGGAGCGAAAGACAAAAATACAGTGTAATCATAAAAGATCATCTGAACTATGCAAATCATCATTTAAATGGTTTTATTTTTATGTCTATTAATAAATAAATGATTAATATACCTCATTTTATCTTAGAACATCAAGTGTCTGCATAACTGGAAGATTTAGACCAGGTAGGCTCATCTTTAACAGCTTTATCTAAAAAAATATTGCATTTAATTACAAATATAAAACTAATTGATTGTTTAGTAAATTGTTATTAATTTCAGCTAGGAGCGAAAGACAAAAAATACAGTGTAATCACAATATTTCATCTGAACTATGCAAATCATCACAAATTCTATTAATATTTCTAATTAGTAATTTATTATTAACCATACCTTATAATCTTTTTTCAAGCTATCGCCCTTCTTCAACTGAAAAAGTAAAACAAAGAATTAGAAAATTTACTTAAAATTAATCAAATATTGAATAAATTAGACTAAACGTCAGTTGGTAGTGCATGTTTATGAAATCATTAGATTCATATCTTGGTGATTAATTTTATCATCATAAAGAATATACCTTTATACAGTCATTGCTTTAGTTATTTTTATAACAATGATCAGAGATTTTTATTTAATTTATTACGAAAAAAAATGCATACCTTGTAGAATTATTTCCAACAGTCCATAGAGAGAATACACACAAGCAAATGGCACCTAAAAATAAAACCAAAATTAGTTATTACACTTTCAAGAAAACATTTTACATTATAATTAACATTTCCAAAATCAATAAAATAACAAAATTTCGGAAAAAACAAGTCAGTTGGTAGTGCATGTTTATGAAATCATTAGATTCATATCTTGGTGATTAATTTTATCATCATTTAACTCATCTGTAACAACAAATTAAACACACAAACATAAATTCATACCTTTCATATCGGCTTCGAAGCTTTACATTGTACAAAAATCCTAGGAACATCGACATTCTCCTTCTTATTGATAGTCCTTCTGTGAACATAGGTATTAGAGACCACTCGAAAACCGGATTGTTCCAGCAGAGATCCCAAATACTCCGTTGAAAAATAATAAGCCCTCGTTCCGTCCTGTCTCATATAGAAATTCTCCGATATCTTATGCCCCGCTTTGAATCTCAATTGAGCCATATCGTACAACCCGTAGTCTCTAAACAAGAGCACCCCGCCGGGTTTGAGCAACTCGAAAACGTTCCGGAGCGTTTGCGCGAATCTCTCCGGATGGATAGCGGAGAGCACGAAAATTAGAGTGGATACATCCACGCTATTTTCCTTCAAAATTGCGAACACTTCTTTCGAGGTTATGTCGCATTGGAACACGTGCATACGCCCCGGGTTGTATTTCGGATTGCTTTTGGCGATTTCCACCGCGGTGGAGGACAAATCGCAGGCGAGAATCTTAAAATTCGGATTCTCCTCCGATAAAGGGTAGATGAAATTGCCCACGCCGCAGCCGATTTCGAACAGGATCCTCTCCGTGTTGTTCGAATTCGAATCCAACAAGTCTTCGAACTCGCGGGTGGTCCAATGGCGGTCTTTGAAGAATCTGGTCTCGTTGCGTTTGTAGAACAAGTCCCAATGCTTTTTGGCGTTGCGCTCGAGCATCGCGGCCTGGTAGTCGCTCACTTTCCGGGCGTTTTGTCGCTCGAGGCGCTCCGCGTCGGAGGCCGATAAGGTTTTCGTTTCTCGCGAAACGGCATCTTCGGCCATAAAAATACTGTTGGAAATCGATTCGTTTTAGCGGATTGCACGTAAGAAGATGAACGAATAAAGTAAATGTAGAAAGATGACTAGAGAAATTGTAGATAAAAGTTTACTTACTCGTAGATGATTAGGTGCTTCCCGTTTGAATGCAGAATGGAAAATGAAACATCATGTCAATTAGTTTTGAATTTCTTCATCATAGGTGGCGCCATAGAGAAAGAAAGATGTCTATGGTCTTTTATTTTGCCTATGGTTAGCTGCAAGTACAACTGTCATCTAGGCCTAAACTTTGTGGTCGTCTAGTTACTGTGGCTGCATACAGACAAAGGAAGAACCCAATGATCAATGGATATGAAAAATTGTTTATTTAATTCATGTAATTTAGGGGTAAATAAATAAATGAAATTAGTGTAATGAAATAAGTAATGTCGTGAAGTTATATTTGAGAAAGTAGTTACAATAGAATGTCCCTGAAAAAATTAATATTGTGAAAATTGATTTAATATGAACAATTTCGTGTAAACTAGGATATTAGTCAAAAAATGTTCATACTAAAAAATTAGTAAATTATGTAATGTAAATCATATTTTCGAAATTTGTTCAAAACCAATCAATTTAGATTTTATTAGATCAAATCAATGAGCTGCCCGTATATTAATTAATTAATATTATATTAAATTTGAATAATAATTAACAATACAATTTGTTGAAAGTCATGTACAAATTTCGGCAATTTGATTGTAACAAGTCGTTAACTAACCATCCAAAAAATGACGATATATAATTTTTCAACACTTATTTAAAATTTATAGTTCCAATACAATTATAATTAAACAACAAAAATACAAAAAATATAAAATATTAAAAATATACATTAACTTTCTTAATACCTAAAAATTATCACATACATTTTATATATAACAATATATACTTTTTCTTGATTATCTCCAACACTCATAATTATGTAAGGTTAATCGAAATCATTTTGATAAGTACTTTTCTTTAAATAAAGACTATATATGTTAATAGAATATAAATCGAACTATATATGTGTATAGCATTTTCCGAGAGGGGCTCAACAATATTCTACAAATATTCCTTTTGATTACAAATTACTCGTACTATATTAATTATATTGCATTGATTGCTTAAAATCCAAGGTGCTATTAAATCAACTCCGAATTTCAGATAATTTGATTGTAAACCGGTTACTTTCTACAACATTTCGAAAAGCTACCTTAAATTTTAAAAATAAAGGCAGATACACCAACATTTACTTTACACTCTCATTCTTCCACATTCCCCTAAAACACGACCACCAGTTTACAAAATCTCATTACAATTACAGGGTGACCCAAACCAAAACTTGAATATTTCAAACTAAACATTAAGATTCCCCTTTTGTAGTTTCCATTAAAAGAAAAAAAAAAGCATCGAAACACTCTGTTTATAAAAAATTGCAGGTGTCTACATTCTAGCTCGAAATAATCCTAAATGAAAAAAAATAGCAACAACTCGATAAGATACAATAATTGAAAATTGCAATACAGTGTGGTCGAAAATACGTGGGAATGTGAGGAAAATCATTTCAAAACGGTTCAAAATAATCAAACAATCAAAGTGAGTTGAGAACTTTAAACCGGCCACACTGTATACCTAAACAGAGCATTTATACGAAGTCAAATTGCATACATTATTTTTACCCTGCTTAGCTTGTAAAATTTCCGTGTATGTTTGTACAAAAACAAAAATGCCGTTATAACAGTGCATATTATCCGACTAAGTAAATAGTTTTTAAAGAAAATAGACCTCATCAAAAAATCTCGCATCTCATCGAACCGGTTCTAGCATTCCTTCAACGCCGTTCAATCGACCATCTATTTACATTCCAGTTACCGAATAAACATCTCGCCTTTCATCGTTTTAACAAACTCATTTCTCCGGCGCTCTTTAAGCTCTTTAAGTCATACTCTCGGCGTACAAGCTCAATACCCTATAGATCAATTCGTACTGTTCGACCGTTTGGACCATTCCGCCCCTGTTCATTCTCAACGAGCACAAAATGCCCAACACGTCGACGTTGCCGCTCTCTCTCAACTGCTGGATGCCGTTGAGGATCGCCAGGAAACAGCCGGTCCTGCCTATTCCGGCGCTGCAATGCACCACCACGGGGGCCTTCAGGTTTTCTATGGACTTTCGACGGGCTTCGGGCGTACCTAAACAACACAAAAATATAATCCGATAGAGTCGTTTTTTTTTGTTTTGGTAATTTCCGCGCAATTCGAAATGTCCCTAGTGCCTAGTTGTTAGTTCTGTTCATTTGTTAATTTTGTGACTTTAGGGGCGATTTTTGACTGTTTCTGGAGTGTCCTAAATAATTCTGGACGGTTCTAAATGATTCTGGAGCGTTCTAAATGATTCTAGAGCATTTTAAATGATTCTGGTGGCTTTTTAAATGATTATACGGAGCGTTCTAAATGGTTCTGAATGGTTTTAAATGATTCTAGAGCGTTTTAAATGACTATAGGGAGCGTTCTAAATGGTTCTGAAGCGTTTTAGATGGTTCTAGACAGTTCTAAATGATTCTGGAGACTTTTTAAATGATTATACGGAGCGTTCTAAATGGTTCTGAATGGTTTTAAATGATTTTGGAGCGTTTTAAATGATTCTGGGGCGTTCTAAATGATTCTAGAGCATTTTAAATGATTCTGGGGGCTTTTTAAATGATTATACGGAGCGTTCTAAATGGTTCTGAATGGTTTTAAATGATTCTAGAGCGTTTTAAATGACTATAGGGAGCGTTCTAAATGGTTCTGAAGCGTTTTAGATGGTTCTAGACAGTTCTAAATGATTCTGGAGACTTTTTAAATGATTATACGGAGCGTTCTAAATGGTTCTGAAACGTTTTAAATGATTCTGAAGCGTTCTAAATGATTCTAGAGCGTTTTAAATGACTATAGGGAACGATCTAAATGGTTCTGAAGCGTTTTAGATGGTTCTAGACAGTTCTAAATGATTCTGGAGCATTCTAAATGATTCTAGAGCGTTTTAAATGATTATCAAGCGTTTTAAATGACTATACGGAGCATTTAAATGGTTCTGAAGCGCTTTAAATGGTTCTAGATAGGTCTAAATGATTCTGGAGCGTTCTAAACGATTCTACAGCGTTTTAAATGACTACATGGGGCGTTCTAAATGGTTCTGAAGCGCTTTAAATGGTTCTAGACAGTTCTAAATGATTCTGCAGCGTTTTATAAATTTCTATGGATCATCCTAAACGGTTCTAGATAGTTCAAATTGATGGTGGAATGTTCTAAACTGTTCTAATTGATCCAGTAAATAAATCTCTAAATAAATATACCTTTTAGAACCAGCATGGTGTCCTTTTTGGTCATTATGCTATCGGAGCTGTCGCTCCAGCTTTTCGCTTTGAGATCACTTTTGAAATTTGTACTGTGCGATAGAGATTCGTCGGTCGATCGTTTCGATATGTTCGGCTTATTGTCGGACTTGCGCTTCGCGTGCATCTTGTCCAATACGTCGAGGGCCATTTCGAGCACCTGCTTCGGACAGGTCATCTTGTGATCGGGCCAATTCGACACCCAATAGTGATAGATCACGCGCGGATCGGAGTCCGATCGTTTCACTTTTAGCTGTCTCACGGTGCATTCCTTCAACTTGATTTCACTCACATATGTGATCCTAGAGGAAGAAAAATTATCGTAAATTCGTATTCTCTTCGATTAGCGGTTTGATTCGCGTACCGGTAGTTCCCGAAGGTGACTTCGTCGCGTTCCTCGAACCGGTGGATCTCCTCCTCGTATTGTTGAGTATTATATTTCATATCGAACGTGAATTTGTCGCGAACTTTCGTCGTTTTGACGTAGTGAAAAGACCGCTCCGCGTTGTCGTCTTTCTTGCCCAAGGGGAAGTACAGGTCGCATTTGCTGGATCCCTTTTCGACGAGGCCGGTCAACATCACTATGCATTTGCACTGCAACAATCGTTAGTTAATAAGTAATGCGAGAGCGGGATAGGTTTACTTACGTTAGTGGTCCACACCATTTCCCAAAAATCCTTGCAAGTGTGGGCCATCGGGCCTTGGGTCGCTATGTAGACGGTTTCCGTGTAATCGGGACCCTGAAAGAGTCGAGTTCGAATTTGTTCGTAAACGAATGGAGAGGAGTACGATGTATGATATACGGTTTATTAACTGGATATGTGAATAGAAATAAGTCATTAGAACTCGAAGCAGTTTTTAGTTGCTGAAAATATTCGATATTTTAGGAGATGTAGCCATTTTAAATTTAAAAGTTTGACAAGTGACGTTTGCTGTCATTAACCAATCACAAAACGAAAAAATTAGAATAGACACACAAACTCATATACATATAAATATATTTATATGCAAAGAGCTTGAAATATATATTTCTTTAATTAATCTGAAATTTATATTTCAAGCTCTTTGTTTATATGTACTTATATGCACAAACTCCATTTTGTTCAGAGTAAGAAGACAGTTGACAATGTCGATAAAAACGATTTCTACCAATCTACCATCAATTCTTAATGTGATTGGTTAAAAATGACATGTGACATATTTCAAACTTGAAAAATTAATTGTGGCCTTAATAAAAAACGGAAAAAAATTAATAATTTCACCAATGACTACATAAAAATACGTAGTTTTATATAAAAAATTGAAAAAAAGTCGTACTCCTTTCCATTATATAGAAAAAGGAAACTTACTTTTATATAATTGGCGTGGATGTATTGCTGCGATCCAGGTAAATGCACTCGACTATACTCGTTCGGAAACACTTCTTTGTATCTATTCAAACTCTGGCTACCCGATACGCAACATTTGTTTTGTATATTCAAAGGCACCTGCCAGAATTCCTGTTGTATCACACGAGCATCCTAAAACCCCACTCATTAGTACTAAATCGTACATACAAAACACACTTTCAAACCTGACAGATCCTCTTCAAATCATCGACAGACAGCGTGTTGGTGGCAGTCTGCAGGTACTGCATCGTCTCCACGTGCAGCACGAAATCCTCGGAGAATATGTGGGTCAGATCGAGATCGGTCTGGCGCGGATAGCACGCCCTCCTGATCTCCCTGCCGCGCTTCGAAGCCTCCTCCGGCTCCTTGGGGGCGCCGTTGTGGCAGAACACGCACGGCGGCACGTACAGGTTCTCGTTCGACAGCGATTTCCGCCGCGAATTGGCGCAACACCGGCACCGCTTCGTCACCGGACAGTCCACCGTGCACCTGCGGATGTTGTTCGGGCGATTCTCGTCGATCGTACAGTTCACGCAGGCCTCCTGCGACGATTTCCGGTGTTCCTTCGGCTCCGTTTTGTGCGATTTCGAGCACGTGCAGGCGTCGAGCTTCGACAGGTCCAAGTTTGAGACGCTTTTGGCGGTGACTAGTCGATTGGCCGGCTTCGACTCGGATATGGTGGGGTTCGATCCGAGATCGATCGTAAGGCTGACGTTCGATCCGCGGCGCTCTAACAAGCCCTTTTTGAGGCGCGCGGGGGCCGCGACGGGGCCTTCGGACGTGAAGTCGTGCAGCGATTTGATCTCGGGTAGGGTTTTGAGCGTTTGCGAGCCGGATATGCTGTTGTTCGATGCGAATTTCTTGAGGTTCGAATTGAAGGTAGGGGCGAGGTTGGCCTTTTGCAGGCTGGGCAGGCTGCCCAGGTCGGCGGCGGGTTGGGTTTTGGGGTGCTTCTTGGGGGTGTTGGGCATGGAGAAGACGTCGCGGGATAGGTCGAGGGTGGAGGATTGCGAGGGGGGGTCCGAGTCGAGGCTGACGGCTTTGAGTTTCTTCGATAGCGTGGGGGTTTTGGGGGATTGTACGATGAGAACGGGCTGTTGGGCTGCGTCGAGCGTTTGGGCTGATAGGTCTAAAGTGGGGAAGTTGCGTTCTTTGTGCGGCTGGGGCGATAATTCTTCCATGTTTGTGGGATTATTCGTGATTACCTGGAACATATTATATAGAGCTTTATTTGGGTTATATTATAATAACATGTTTATCGATTGGTATCGATTGATTTCGTATCAAACGAAAACATCTTAATCAGATTGTGTACGAATTTATAAACAACAGTATACGGTAGATATCGCAATTGAATAATTTAAAATACAATTACATAAATATTTGTGGGTAATAACTTCATTTTTAAATAAATTCAATCGACAAGGTCATGGGATAAGCCCTACTTGAATGATAATTGCACAATATTTTGCAAAATCGAAGATCTTCAGTTCGAGTAATAAAATCATATGATTAGATGAATTATTTTCTATCGAACGAATGTTTTATTTACATTGCTTCGTTTACATATTGAAATTATATTGGGATTTTCCTCTTATAAACGCACGATTCGATATTTACATAAACACATTCCAAGTAAAAGTCCATCAACAACTTCTTGGAATAATCCATCTTATATTTTAACTAACATTTTAATTACACACATCCATAGGTAACTAGATACTTTTGTTTACACTTTATCTCGACTACTTTACCTAAATTTACTCTATTCTACAATACATCAAAAAACTTTTATTTAGTTTAGATGAAACAGATTCCAAGTACACTAATTAACTACTTTTCGACGAAACCAAGCACAATAACAATTGTTAAATTACCAGCACGTTATTTACAAAAACAAAAACAAGTTCTAATTCGACACATAACCTAAAAATCTCGCCACGGAAACCACAAGTTCTTCACGAACAAAAAAAATTTTTATGTATCAACCGAAAACCGTCTAGCAAGTTTAAAATATCCATTAAAAACACTTACATGTGAAAGACGGGCTATTTTCGAATTGTATATCGTACACCCGAGAGCAATTATTTATTTACTTTTCCAACGAAAACGAACGTCGAGGTCCCGGGAACGCGCATTTCATTGCAACATTTCGCGCGATTGCGATTCCTGCTAGAACCCGTCCTGCGGCGTTCGCGATTTTTCGAAAATCGGGCAAGAAATAGCGGCCATTCTCTAATCGCATTCGCGTAAATCGTAAACAGCTGGTACTAGGTCATTCGTCAATTCCGCCTATGGACCTTCCGATTTTGAATAACCGATCACGTGACCGGCGATCGGCCAATCGGCGATCGCCTTCGCGACGTGTCATTCATGAGATATTCGAAACGTACTACAGACGAGTGATCAATAACACACTTTTGTGAATGAAGTGTCAGAAAAATTATTACACATGCGTTGAAATTTCGAAGGAGCTCGAATAGGGAGAAACATTGTCGCTTATCAATGAACAATCGCTTGTTCATTAATGGAGTGATTAAACGATTGTTATCTATTTGGGCAAATTTATTTTGACTTGACGTTTTATTGCTCTCGCCTACTAAGATCGTTTAATGCGTACGTCGTTGCTCGTTTAATTTTGGTAGATTGTGATTTAAAATACGAATTACGATTAAATTATCTATATTTGTTGATAATGTTGTAGTTGATAAACTCCAACAGACAAAATAAAACTAGTTTCTAGATGAACGGATAGTTGCTGTTGAATGTCCGAATAGTAAGAGGCCGGCGTCGGAAAAGCAGAAACGGTCGTGCCAACGTGTAAATAAATAAAACGTTTTCGAAGAGCGCTTCGGAACGTCAAAATTTGTTTTGAAGTGTCAATTTGTTATTGAAGTGGATAAGTGGAGCTGTCAAAAAACGTGTAAAGGAGGCAGCCGAAAAGTTCGAAACTTCGTTGAATTTTCGTGGAAATGTGAAACGGACGATCGTCCTGGGTGGAAAATAAGAACGATGATCGTGTACTAGCCCGTAGAGCTCCAAAAATGGATTCTTTCACGACGGATTTGGCGATACAGGCGTTTTTGGGTAAGTAGCGTGAGACTGAGAAAATCAAAATAAGGAAAATGTTGATTATAAATTACTAATGACGGTAATTGTTGTCATTTTTTTCGTTCCGTCGGCGAGGAAAAGCGGCATTTCCGGCTTCGCAATCTCCAACAATTCGCATTTAACTACTCAAATTATAGTCCTTAATTCGTGACACAAAATCTAGGTCTTCGCGTTTGATTAGTAAATAAGATTCACACGATTCATAGTTTAATATAATCGAGCGATTCTATGCACAACAAACGGATTATTTTATCGCATATCTCGCGCATGAAGCCGATATCAACAGGTGTTTTATATATAACGATGCGAAATGTTGACAAACTTTTCCATTTCCCTCTGCACCAGGAATAGTTTTATCTCGCCAAATGGAATCTTTAAAGACCGTTTACCTTCTCCCAGAAGGTTATTAATCCGATTCGAAAAACAAGTCCGCGTCGAAGATATTGTTATGTTATAAATAAACGTCGCTATTATCGTGTATATCTCTTCGTTTGCTCTCTGTTTTATTCAACGAAGGTCCAAAGTTGATGATTTAAGAAACATTTCCTGTTTAGAGAACGTACGAAATAAATGCGAAGATATCTAGAGTGTGTGTGTCAATTTTAATGACATGACAATTGTTTTTTTTTTGAATTACAAACGTTTTAATCTAGTAGTATAATAATAATTAATATTCGAAACAATGGTGATTATCCTACTATTAAAACATAAATAAATTACTACATTCCGGTATTTCTATTACGGTTTAAATGTGTAGTAGCGTATTACAATTAGGCAGTTAATTTAATTTTAATGGTATATTTTTATTTGGTGAAACAATAAGTTTTGTATTTTTAGTTATTTTAAATCGTTTTTCGTATGAAATGTAATTATAAATTGCGTTTTGGAATAGAGCGTAGGCGGTATTTTACGAATTTTTCTTTCTATTTTTTTTTTCGCTATACAAGTTCAATCGGACGATGTTTTGGGATATTAAAAATGTTTTTCGAAATCGATAAGGGAACAGTCGTGTTTATTCGATTGATTTATTACCTATTGCGGAGTGTGTACGTTTTGAAAAATTACATAATTTTGAAATATTTCAAGGTTTTTTTTTATACAAAATCAATTACAACATTCGGTTAACCGATTAAACCATTTCACAAACTCCCAAATAAACAATGCGGATAATAATAGATACACCCTGTAAAAACGAAAAAAAAAAAACTGTTAATTTAAATATCAAAATACTCTGTTAATTTTCCCAATGGAAATTTATTATTCACCCCCTTTTTATGCGAAGTCACCGACCCCATAAAATTGCTTTTTCCCTTTCGTAATTCATTTCATCCCATTACCCATTTGCGATAATTGCCGATATATAATGACCAGAGAAATCAGTGAACCGAGAAATGCACCTTTGATCGTTTTGTTGATACACAAAACAATCATGTGATACATATAAATAAACCACCCTTTCGTGCGCTCGAAATGGGGGGGCGGTTAATATTATATAGCAGGTGTGTGAACCCCCTAAACAATTATTTCCTGTCACCTTGATCGTAGAACAATTTTCGAACGGTGTTTATTTTAAATGTTTTTATCGATGATATTTGTTGAATTTATTGAGCATATAGTAGAGTAGATTTAGAGTAGATTCAGAGCAGATTCAGAACAGATTCAGAGTAGATTCAGAGTTGAATCGAGCATAGTAGATTTAGAGTAGATTCAGGGATAAACTTGAGAGTAGATTCAGAGTAGATTTAGGGGTAGTTTTAGAGTAGTTTCAGAGTAGCTTTAGAGTAGATTCGGTACTGAATAGAGGATAGTAGATTCAGGAGTAAACTCAGGGTAGATTCAGATCAGATTTAGAGTAGAGTAGATTTTTTTTTTAAATTCACAATCATAAATTTTGCGCCTTATTTACATTTGAACTTTGCACCTCTATGTAATTTTTTTATAAGAAAATTTCTTTGCATATTAAAATAATTGAAAACTTTGTCGGGATTATAAATGCAAATCTACAGTTTATTTTCTAATCTAGAGAATTCGACCTTTTTATCTGTTTCAATTACGTTAGATAATTAACATTGCGGTATGTGCATAAATAAACACTTTTGTGTTATTAATCTAATTGGACATCTGTTATTCGGATTACCTAGTAGAGAAATATAACGGTTGAAAGATTTTAAATAATGTGCAGCGGAATAAAATGTTATAGTTGTGTTTTAAAACCGGTTTCATATGGTAATAAAATATGCGGGATGTGTTTTAACGATCGTTCGTCTTTGAATGTTCGCTATTTATTTATTTTAGAGGAAACCGATTGAAAAAAATATGTTGCAAAATGCTCGAATTAATCGCAGGTAAGTATAAAGTATTTTTTTATTGAAATTAATCCTCCTCTTCGAGAGCTGGTTTAGAATCCCACGCTTTGTATAAAAAAATAAACGAGACGAAAACATATAATTCCATTCCGACCCACTCATTTTTTTTTTTAATACAAGTTATTTACAGGGTAATGCCTCTTTGAGTTCGAATTATCCTAAAATCGGATTATTTTCGAAACGTGGCAACACCGTCGACTTCGTTTCGCGTACGATATGCCGGAATTTCATTGGTGTAAATTTCGCGTTCCGTGACGTGACATTTCTTTTTGGTCGATTCTCTTCGTTCCGTGTCGCGTGTCGCGGCTTTGACACGTTTGACTTTGACGTTTGTGCGATTTGTGCCATTTCGATTCAATGTAAATATTCCTCTGCTGGATATTTTTTTTTTGTTAATAACAACAATTATCTTTGTAGTAAATCCTGCGAGGCGTTTTTCCACTTCGATATGTTCCTACGACGTTAATTAAATTCGAGTCGTGAGTTGGCAGGCGGACGAAATCGATGAGGAGTTTTTAAGGTTAGAAAATCGATTTTTTTTTCTCTAGTAAATAATTATTTGTTTGTTTTTTTCGTATTAAAAAGTCGTTTCGGCACAACGTAATCGAAACAAACGATTTCTATTTGCGCTTAATTCGCGATATTGACCTTTGCTGTATAATGCAAAGTGACAAAGTAACTGTAAACAAGAAGTGGTGTAGTTTCTTTGTTGAACTCCATAACCCAAACTCGTCTTTGTCATCAATCACAGGAAATTAAGCTAAATTTGTTTAAATTCAATTAACCAAACGTACCAACCAATTTTTAATTTAACTAAAGAGGTCACCGCAGGTCACTCGTACAGCCACACGAACCATACAAATACACCTCGTTTATTTTTTTTTATACACCATGCTTCAATCCAGATCGCAACAGAGATTATATAGGCTATATAGGTGCGACAAAGAAAGAGTGTCATTGCAACTTGTCACTCTGACAACCGTCCTTTTATCAATCTTTCTTTGTTCAACTCACAAAATGTTTAGCGGTCTTGTCACTCTGACAACCGTCATTTTATCAATCTTTCTTTGTTCAACTCACAGAATGTTTAGCGGTCTTGTCACTCTGACAACCGTCATTTTATCAATCTTTCTTTGTTCAACTCACAGAATGTTTTGCGGTCTGAATCGAAGCTATATTTAACGTTTAACTAGCTCAACTAAGGATGTTTCAGGGGAATTTAACGAAAAAAACAAGATGGCCGGCAGGAAATCGGGCGCCAAACACGACGAGCACAGCGTCGAAACGCTAGCAGAAGTCTTCAGATGTTTCATATGCATGGAAAAACTTCGAGACGCCCATTTATGTCCCCACTGTTCGAAGCTCTGCTGCTACGTGTGCATCCGCCGATGGCTCACCGAACAACGTTCCCAATGTCCCCACTGCAGGGCTTCCCTGCACCTGCACGAGCTCGTCAATTGCCGATGGGTCGAGGAGGTCACCCAGCAACTCGACACCCTGCAAACCGTCAATCTCGCCACCGGTCGCAACGAAGACGACAAGGACAAATGCTCGACGCATCTGGAGAAGCTGTCGGTGTACTGTTGGACGTGCAAGTGCTGCATCTGTCACCAGTGCGCCCTGTGGGGCGGCACCCATTCGGGTCACACCTTCAAACCGCTCGACGAGGTGTTCGAACAGCACGTGGCCAAAATCAAGGAGGAGATCGTCCTGTTGCGTCGCAGACTGATGGAATTGATCAGCATCGTGCAAGAGGTTGAGAGAAACGTGGAATCGGTGCGATCGGCCAAAGACGATCGCGTGCTGGAGATCCGGAACGCCGTCAAAGTGATGATAGCCCGCTTGGATTCCCAGTTAAAAACCAAACTACTCACGTTGATGGGACAGAAGGATTCGCTCACGCAGGAGACTGAACAGCTCGAGCATCTGTTGCACGAGATCGAGCACCAGTTGCACGCTTGCACCAGATCGGAGTTGATATCGAAGAGCGCCGACATCTCCGCGATGATACACGGCGTGCGCAAGAAGCCGATGAGCAGTTTCGTGACAGCCCCCGTACCGGCAGATTTCCCCAGCGAAATCGTGCCCCCCTACGATTGTAGCACGTTCATCGTGCACGGGTTCTCGCTGTTGCAACGCAAAGCGGATCCGATCTATTCGACGCCGTTGCACTGCAACGGTCTGTGCTGGCGATTGAAGGTCTATCCCGATGGAAATGGAGTGGTTAGAGGTAACTATCTGTCGGTGTTTCTCGAACTGAGCGCCGGCTATCCGGAGACGTCGAAGTACGAGTACCGAGTTGAAATGGTGCATCAGGCGAGCGTCGATTCGACGAAGAACATCGTGCGAGAGTTTGCATCCGATTTCGAAGTTGGGGAATGTTGGGGCTACAATCGTTTCTTTCGCTTGGACGTGTTGGCGAGCGAGGGGTATTTAAACGAATCGATGGATACGTTGGTGTTGAAGTTTCAAGTGAGAGCTCCCACGTTCTATCAACGTTGCAGGGACCAGCAGTGGTACATCAATCAATTGGAGACCGTCCAGCACCAGTACATCGAGCAAATCAACGAATCGAAGGAATCGTTGGCGGCCGAGATATCGCGCAACGCCATGGCGGCGAGCGTGAGAAGGAAACCCAACGATATAGCGAATTTAGCTCTAGTGAAATCTCTGTTACCTATACGAGACGACTCGCCGTCGACATCTCGCGAGACCATCGATAAACTAGCGAACAAACCGAAGACCACCAGCTCTTCTAAGAGCTCCCCGTGCTCTTGTTCCAAGGCGAAGCCTTCGCACAAGGTCCAGCAGCAGCAGCAGCACTCGCCCCATCGGCTCGGCCTCGGCGTCTCGCTCAGCTCGCCCGATTTGCTGCACACGGCCGTCTCGACGCTGGCGTTGTCGAGCGCCAGCAGCGTCGCCAGCGACAGCGACGCCAGCGAAGCGGAGCAATACGAACCGCCCGAAGCGGCGTTTAACGACGAAAACGACGTCGACGTCGAGACGATGTCGGGCGAGAACGACGTGGAATACGCCGAGCTGTCGATGGCTCAAAGGACGATCGCTAGAGAACCCAGTTCGGCGGATAGTAGCGTGGTGGGAGCCGCAGCTCTGTCGCCTGTTGAGGTCGCGAGCGATTTGGACGAGAGGTTGAGGTTGTTTCGGTTCTGCGAGAGTCCCGTGTTGAATAATTCCAGCGAGGAGGCTTCGGGTGATCTGCTGGTGGATTCTTCTACTACTAGTTTGTTGCCTAATCGGTTCGATGCTTCTGAATGGGAGTATAGGATGAAGTTGAGGCAACGTGGCAAGCAGAATGGTCGCGATCAATCGGCGGCGGTTTGGAGCGAAACGGTGCCGATTTCGATCACGAAGGAGGCGGTGATGGGGCCGTTGGAGTCGTTCCTGCGGTCGATCAATTGCTTTCCGGAGCAGGATCACGGGAGGCGCGGTGAAGGGGCGACGAGGGAGCGGAGGAAGAGGTCGAAGTTGGCGGCTTCGCCGCCGCCTGTCGGGGATGGGGCGGGTGCGGAGGCGGGTTGTTCGTCGGCGTTCAGTTGGACGCCGTCGTTGTTGAACCAGAGGAGGCCGGCGAAGCCGCCGAGGGCGCCCTCTAACGACGGGTCGACGCCCGAAAGGGAGGATCGTAAGGCTGGGATTCACCGGCATTCTTCTTGAAGTGTTTGTTCGAAAGGGGGTGTTTGATTTTTCGTTTGGTTTGAGTGGGCGAAATTAAAGTGGTCCGCGAAAGTTGAGGAAGGTTCGCAAATTTTGCGATTATTTTGAAAGTTGCAGGCTTTTTGGTCGCCAAATTTTCGAATGTTCTTTCATATCTGAGTTGGTTTTTTTTTTGTTCCTAAACGCTACAATTCATACTAAATTTGGCGATCAAAACACCTGCAACTTTTAAATTAACCTTAATATTTGTGAAGTTTCTTAACTTTTGTGGAGCAGTGTATTTTGCGTTGAATAAATTTGGTGCGTTTTTGGGGGGTTTAGTATTATTTTTTTATGTAAGATGTTTATTGAATAAAATTGAAAACGGGCTGCTAATTGGAGCTAGTTGATTTTCTGCTTTTGCTAGTTGCTAGTTAATTTAGGATAATAAAAACTTTTGTTTCCATTAATATTATTAAATCGTCTCTTTTTTTTATTTGATATTTTCTACTTTTCGCTGTGATGTGTCTACTTTTAAGTATATGAAATAAACATTTTCGAAACATTTTTGTGGTTTCTTAATTAATTACCTAAATTAAAACTTTGTTAGATAATATTTTAAAAGAATATTGGAATCTTGATAAGCGTTAAAAATGGTTATAATAATTCGATTTTTATAAATAACTCGACTTAATTCACGTCGAACTGTTAATTGGTATTCAAAACATTTTTTTTAAATTCTATTAAAACCATTTACTAGTTTCATGCAAATGTTCTTATATCACTTGGATGTTTAAAAAAAATAATATTAAAATGTACGAATTATAGGGCGGTTAATTAAAATTAATACAACTCGAAATAGTAATTTGTAAGTACAAATCTAAGTTGTCAATAAAACATTCAAATTACCATTCTCTGATTATTATTATATTTCTATTTAACCCCCTATACAGGGTGTCCCAATGAAGTAGCAACTTTAGAAAACATTCAAAATGGCGCCTAACTGTCATTTTGAAAGTTTCAACTGTCATTTTTACGTCAAAAATTAGTATTTTCCGGCCGGATTTTTTAGCATTTTTTCCACGATCGAATCCGGATAAATATGGGAATCTCGCCCTCCCCTTTTTTCATTCCATTTATCCGCCGGACGGTTATTGATCAAACTGAGTTGTCATCGAGATTTTGATTTTCCCATCACGCGATGTTCGAATTATGCACGTCTTGAATGTTTTCGTGGTAAAGGAAGATTTATCGGATCGTTTTTGGGAGTTTTTATTTTTTATATTTTATGTGACACAAAGGGACGAGGATTCGCTAATAAAGGGGAACTAAATGAACTTAAAACCGATGGATTTTTTTGGCTCTTGTATCGGTATAGAAAGAGTGGAAGCTACAAGAGTTTTGCTCAAATATTTTTTTTCGTGATTGAAATTACTGGTAATGAAGTATTAACAAAAATTAATCAGTAGTTTCCCTAGAAGTTTTTACAATCATTTGACTTCCATTTCGAATTGATATAATGAAGTTGTAATCGGTATTTTGGAAAATTTCACTGTATATTTCAAAGAGATTTAACGAAAATATTCACTAGAAGAAATTAAATTTAAATACTCGAAAATGGGTAGATTTTTTTAATTTTTTATAATCAGATTTAACGAAGAATTAAATCAGTATATTAATTGCACCTCGAATCCAAATCTAATACGAAAAATCTCAAAAACTACAAAGAAATTAATACAGGCTGTATTTTTTCTGAACAATTTCATTCAAACAAAATTTTTCTCCAACAAAAAACATTAACAAACAACTCGCGCATCTTTTAATAGTAAAGCATATATTTTAACGTGGAAAAAAAACCGCATTTTTCGTCTTATTTACGCAGCAAAACGAATTTTCTCGCGTTTCTAATGCATTTTTTTTCTCCTCTAAGCTAATATCTACCGTTTTACGTAACAATTTCCTGACACGATCATCGGGAATTAGTTGTAAAGTAAGTCACAAATAATCGAAATCGATCAGTCCCCAACTATTCCAATGACTAAAGTTAATCTACGTAAATAAATATCGAGCGAAAGTATTCCAAATATTAGATTGACACCTTTTCCGATCGACTGTTTATTTTTGTTTGTTAATTTTTCGTTTTTTTTTGAAATGTTTTCAAATCGCATTTTATCCCGTTCATCGCAAATTGTACAAGAAAATTTAACTGTTTCATCCAATCTGACAGGGTTTTATTTTATTACAAAAAAACACACTATAATAGGGATACTCTTTTTAGAATTAACTCAACAATTTTCATTTTAATTACCCTTCTTTCACTAATTTAACCCAACCTCCGACGTTTTCATTACCCCTTTTTTTTACAATCCACCCCCCCTAAACCCCCCGTGGGTAAACTTAATTTTTCTTTTTTTTTTGAAATTTTCAACTTTTTTTTTCAAATCGCATTTTACCCCGTTCATCGCAAATTGTACAAGAAAATTTAACTGTTTTATCCAATCTGACAGAGTTTTACTTTTATTACAAAAAAAAACACACTATAATAGAGATACTCTTTTTAGAATTAACTCAACAATTTTCATGACATTTTCATTTTCATTACCCTTCTTTCACTAAATCAACCCAACCTCCGACGTTTTCATTACCCCTTTTTTTTACAATCCACCCCCCTAAACCCCCGAGGGGGTAAACTTCCACCCGATTTTATTTTTATATATATATTTTTTTTTCGAATCTAAAACACCGTCGGTCGACCATTTTTCGAACGAGGTTAAAGAGATATCGACTGCGATGATATCCTTTTTAATGCGAGTCCTTTCTCTCCGCCAATGGGGGCCCGGATCGATGGAAATAGGGGCGCAGGAGGCGCCCGATTGGCCGGAGGCGCGATAGGGAGAAGTCCAATCGCGGGGGATCCCCCGGAGTCGGCGGGTTTGAGGGTTTATTTTTTTTTGTAACAGGGGGTGTCCCGCAGGAAAAGGGTTTTGTTTATAACGATTTAGGGTAAAATATGAGGGTTTTTTTTTTTAATTTAATCTCGATGAGGGGTGGTTAATTTTCTGCAAAAATGCACGTTTTGGCTTGCTTTGTCTTTCTATAAAGTGGATCAAATTGGCGAAATTTGATAAATTGTGCGATAGATGGATTTTTATCGTTTATAACAAGAAATTTTCTTTTAGTCCTTTGTTTAAGATTTGCTCTGTTTTACTCTCTTCTGCTCTACTATACTCTGTTCTGGTCTATTCTGCTCAACTGTACTCTGAATCTAGCGAAACAGAGCAAAGAATGAGTAAAGAATCAGCAAAGAATCTACTCCGAATCTACTCTACTTTAACTCTCTTCTATTCCTATAATCAACTTTCTACTGCTACTCGATTTCATTCAAAATTTTTCAATAAATTTCAGAACAATGAAATGAACAATTTCCCCGTTTCGAAAACAGCCAATTTAGACCCTAATATAGGATCATTAAATATTATACTCTTGAGGTGAATTCGAATATTGAATAAAAAAACCCTTCACTTAGAAAAAAAAATAGCAAATTCGATACGGAGCGAAAACGAAATTTTCAATATCCCTCAGTAGTGTCCATCATATTAAATGTTTGTTGAATTATATCAAGTACTTTAGAAGATATTTAAGGAAACCCCATTTCCAGCGGCGCCCTTCTGGGACTCACATCTTCGTATATAGGGAGGGCCTTTAGGGAAAAACTTTATATCTTACTTTTTCATGTTCCATATGGATCCCAGAGATTTCCCACACTTTCAGGGACACCCTGTATACATCGTGTCGCGATTCGAAGCATCCCGAATGACTGGCTTGTTTTGCTCCGCTCTCCGCTATTCCGGAAATGCCCGCCATCTCCCAACGAACAAAAAAAAATAAAGAAAAAAAAAATAATAAAAAATTGTTATCTCCTTCGAGAGGTTGTGACTAACGATTTTCGTGACCGGGAAGGCCCGACCAACCGGCGGGGCCGCCGCGACGGCCGCCCCCCCGGCAGGGGCGGGGGGCGGAATTTCTCCTATTCGGGGATTTTCTCCTATTCTCGCTCGGCGATCATTCGAAGCGATTCCGCCGGAGCCGGTTCGGGGAAAATGTGCGATTTCTCGCTCGATTGACTATGTAAAAGTTTTCGTTGTGTTTTTAAATCGCGCGAGGTTTGCTAGAGGAGCTTTTTTGTGGTTTTTTTTTGGGGTTTTTTTCGGGGTGCGATGTTCAAGTGATCGGGAATTATGGAATTTTGGGATATGGACGACAGGAGGGAGGCGAGGCATCGGAGTTTGCCAGGTGATTGATTCGTTGATTGATTTTTTTTAATTGGTATTTTCAAAGTGCTGTTTCAAAGTTTTACCAAACTCAGTTTTTTTTTTTGGAATAAAAGTGCTGCTATAATCGCTCTTGCTGTTTAATAGATTTTTGTTTAATTATCCAAGCTTTTTTAATTAATTTCTTGAAATTGTAGTGGAGAAAAAATATCTATTGATTTTTAATTATTAATATTTTTAAAGTAGAGCCAAATTAAGCCTCATTAACTCAGTTTTTGGAATAAAAGTGCTGCAATAATCGCTCTTCCTATTTAATAGATTTTTGTTTGATTATCCAAGCTTTTTTATTTATTTCTGCAATATTATATTGGAGAAAAAAAAATCTAGTATCCTTAAACTACAATGGGTTAATAACGGCCTAAAAATTGTTAATTTATTGAGTCATAATTGTGTTAATTAGTGAGCAACTCATTTACAACACACTAATTATTTCGTGCAATATACCTAACACTGAATTTATTTATCTAGTTAACACTTAACAGCAGGATTAATCGAACTAATGAAATTATCGGTATATTAGGAGATATTTTCAAATTTTTCCATTCGTTAATTCGTATACAGCGTGTCCCAAAATTATGCATAATGTACAGTTTGTGCGTATTTATCTCTCGGTCCAAATCCTAATTTTTCGTTCTCCCTGTATACCTGCATGCAATTTTTTAAACATCTTCTACCTGATTATGGATCAACAATTCATGCAGAGAATTTTATCAAGAATAATTTTTTTGTGAAATGTAAGATAAACTTTTTCCCCATTTGCATACAACTTTTTGGGACACACTGTATATACACTGTGCTTCATTCCAGATCGCAACATAGAGGCGCGATAAAGACAACTTCCATTAGACACTTATAAAGGAAAAAGAAAGAATGACGTTTGTGTCATTGCAACATTTCACTCTGACAGCTGTCATTTTATCAATCTTTCTTTGTTCAACTCATAGAAACCACCATGTTGAGCGGTCTGAATTGAAACAAATCGATAGAAACGCGTACTAATAACGATGATATTTATACATTGCGGATTTAATTAATTAAAATTCATTATCAAATACGCTATATTCGCGCGTCTGGCATATAGTAATAGTATTCTATAATCTTCCATATTGCTCCCCGATGGCTCTAAATGTACGTCAGCAGATGTTGTGGCGCCCCCAATAAATAAAAACCGCGTTAATAAACAAATAAACAAGATAATTATCGTTGGATTTATCGAAATTATTTTAATAGGTAACCGCCGAATTAAACGTGAATATAAGGTATTAAAAATAGACAATCATATTGCGTATTATTCCTAAATCAAACGGAAACAGCGCGACCCCTCGGATGATTTGTTATTTATTCAAAGAACATACAAACTACCTGTTATTCGTTTGAGAATAAGTAATGTGGACAATTTGCGTGCTATTATGGTAAAATATCGTGGGTGTTGCCTTAGCGATGGATCAACAACGAGCAGGGATTTATTGAACAAACAAATTTACCGCGTTTGACCCCGAAACGTTTATCGGTTGCTTCTCCCTTTCTTTCTTTAACGATTTTCCATTTTCCAACGCGACGAAAAAAATTGAATTATTATCAATAGCTTCGAGCCGAACTTGTTTGGTTTAAAATTCGAGTATCTTAAATGACAGTTCGAACTGTCAAAAATTCAAAAATTATTTTGACATTTCGATGAGAAAATGGAAAAAATCTATATTTCTAAGATCTGGAAACTTCCTATTCTTACGCATTAGAGAATATGTCCCGTTATTTGAGGACTTTTTGAGCTTCACTTTTGCGGCGAACGATCGAAGGATCAACTTATCTCAGCCAATCAGCGTTGCGCTGCATATAAATCGCGGTTCTGTGAAATGACAGTTCGAGCTGTCAAAAATTCAAAAATTATTTTGACATTTCGATGAGATAATGGAAAAATCTATATTTCTAAGATCTGGAAACTTCCTATTCTTACGCATTAGAGAATATATCCCGTTATTTGAGGACTTTTTGAGCTTCACTTTTGCGGCGAGAGATCGAAGGATCAACTTATCTCAGCCAATCAGCGTTGCGCTGCGTATAAATCGCGGTTGTGTGAAATGACAGTTCGAGCTGTCAAAAATTATTTTTAAACATTTCGATGACAAAATGGAGAAATACATTAACCGAAGATACGCGAGGCACGATGTTAACAACAAAATCATCGCTTATTAAGGTATATTTTTATATTTTGTATCTATTTTTAGTTTGAATAAAACCTTTCTTGCTAATTCTACATAATTCGCACGCAAAAAACCGTAGTCCTTTACAACATCGCCTCCTAGCGGCCGTTTTAGGAACCCTATTTTATCCACAAATAACGGGACACTTTTTGAACCTATATTTCCAGACTTTAGAAATATAGGACCGCATTCTAAATGCTTCTAAACATTTCTAAACGAACTTTTTCTTTGGGTATACAGGTCGAGGAACGGACTTCGTCGGCGGCATCGACAACGAGGCGTTGGATTTCTCCCAATTGGAGGACTTCATCAACAGCGAGGGTTCCCAAGGGAACAACACCTACTTCGGCGACTCCTTGAACACCACGCCCTCGTCCGGCAAGCTGCTCAATGTCATCGTCGAGAATAAACGAAACGCCAACGGGTTAGCAAAAAAAACACCACCATCAAACATTCAAATCTAATTACAACTCGGTCGTTTCCAGGCATTCGCTGCCCGACAGCCCGCCGGACAGCAGCTCGGAGCACCCGTACAGCCCGCAGGACGGGTGCGAGCAGCAACAGCAGCAACAGCAGCAGCAGCGGCAGCCCCAGCAGGACTCGATCTACACCAATTTGAGCCAGAATCTCTACAAACCCGCCTCGCTGCTCAATCCCATTCTCGCCGACAATCTGATCTTGGGCTCGCACATCGTCGTCGCCGATCAGACCGGCGCCGAGCAGTTGCTCGACGACGGCGGCATGATGCAAGATGGCGCCGGAGGCGGCGGCGGCGGCGGCGGCGGCCTCGCGACAATACTCAATAGTCGATCGATTCCGGATAGTATTATTATTTCCGAAGCTAACGTTACAGGTGACTAGAGTGTACTGAGTAGAGTGAAGTAGAGTAGACCGGAGGAGATTCAGAGTAGATTAAGAGTAGATTCAGAGTAGATTAAGAGTTGGGATTCAGAGTAGATTCAGAGTCGATGCAAAGAAGATTCAAAAGTTGAAATATGGAGTAGATTCAGAGTCGATGCAAAGAAGATTCAAAAGTTGAAATATGGAGTAGATTCAGAGTCGATGCAAAGAAGATTCAAAAGTTGAAATATGGAGTAGATTCAGAGTCGATTTAAAGAAGATTCAAAAGTTGAAATATGGAGTAGATTCAGAGTCGATGCAAAGAAGATTCAAAAGTTGAAATATGGAGTAGATTAAGAGTAGATTTAAAGAAGATTCAAAAGTTGAAATATGGAGTAGATTAAGAGTAGATTCAGAGTTGATGCGAAGAAGATTCAGATTTGAGATTCACAGTAGATTAAGAGTTGATGCAAAAATGATTTAGAGTTGAGATTCATAGTAGATTATGATTAGATATAAAGTCGATGCAAAGAAGATTTAGAGTAGATTTAGAGTAGATTCAGAGTTGAGAAACAGGATCCAGAGTACTTTTAGAGATGATTAGAGCTACAACAAACAACATTTCGTTGTTTATATATATTGTTTTTCTGTCTCTCCAGATAACAACCGTCAGCTTTTGTTGTCCTCTTCGGAACCGGCCGCCTACGATAGGTCGATGTACAAGAACGACGACTACGAGAAGAACATCGTCCATTTGGGCTACAATCCCAACATAGAAAATATACCTAGAAACGGTTTAGACAATAATCTGTGCGAACAAACCATCGACAACATGCCGGCGGTCTACACGAACCTCCAAACGTCCACCAAGAAGCGGAAACTGTCGCAGGATTCGTTGCTCGTCAAAAGCGAACCCGGTCAGTATAGACTCATTTAAATCAATTCTACTTTTACTATTGTAATTAATATTTCACAGATCATTGTCAACTCAGCCCCTCGGAGCATCTCAACGCCTCAATGGACGAGGACTACGCCTCATCGGAGGCTTGCCTCTCGGAATCTCAGTATCAATGCATCAGATTCAGCGCCTTCCAGCAGACCAATTGGCACGTTCTCTGCGATCAGAATCTCACCGAATTGTTAGCATAATTTTTTTGGTCCTAAGTCTTAAATATACCCCCGTCGAATGTAGCTTGACTATTTAGAAGTCTGTAGAAAGAAATTTAAAGAAGCGAGAGAAGGATCTGTAAACCGGTTTTTTTTTTCTGATCCGATATAAGTTTCAACTGCCAAGCTACATTCGGTGCGGTATAAATGTCGGTGTATTCGATGTTAATGATGAATCGGTTTCGTTGTAGACCCGTACCGATTTATCGGGTAGACGCCGATAAAGGATTCAATTTCTCCAACGCCGACGACGCCTTCGTTTGCCAGAAAAAGAACCATTTCCAAGTAAGTTCCTGGAGTACTCCTATTCCAGAGGAATTCCTCCGAAGCACCGGAAGTATTCCAGATGATTCGATCGCTTTTTCTTTCTTCGACAGATCACCTGCCACGTTCAGTTGTTGGGCGACGCGCAATTCGTGAAGACGCCCGACGGCTTCCAGAAGATATCCAGCTTCCATTTGCACTTCTACGGCGTGAAGCACGATTGCCCGACGCAAACCATCCGCATCGAACAGAGCCAGAGCGACAGGAGCAAGAAACCCTTTCATCCGGTCCTGTAAGTCGCTCGATTCTATCTCCATTATCCGTGTACGATGCTCGGTAGACCTATCGCTCGCCTTCCAGTAGACTCTTTCGTCGATGTAGCGAGAGTTATTGGATTAACCGCTCCATTATCCAATGTACAATGCTCGGTAGACCTATCGTTCGCCTTCTAGTAGACTCTTTCGTCGATGTAGCGAGAGTTATTGGATTAGCCGCTCCATTATCCAATGTACAATGCTCGGTAGACCTATCGTTCGCCTTCCAGTAGACTCTTTCGTCGATGTAGCGAGAGTTATCGGATGAGCGATATAGCTCTGCGATGTAAGATTACTACTAAACTAGTTGTAAAATTCGTTTTTGTTTTTTTTGTCAGGGTGGAATTGGTGAATTCGCAGGTGACCAAAGTGACGGTGGGCCGGTTGCATTTCAGCGAAACGACGTCGAACAATATGCGGAAAAAGGGCAAACCCAATCCTGAACAAAGGTATTTCCAGCTCGTCGTCGGGCTGCACGCGCACACGACAAACGGCCATTTTCCCATCGTCAGCCACGCCAGCCAGAAGATCATCGTCAGGGTGAGTACCTCCTGATGAGCCGGTGTTAAATGAAGAGCCAGAGTTGTGATTCGGAGTAGATTAAGGCTAGATTAAGAGTAGATAATGAGTCTAGAGTGTAAGAATTGATTCAAAGAAGAGCTAGAGTTGAGATTTGGAGTAGATTAGGAGTAGATTAAGGCTAGATTAAGAGTAGATAATGAGTCTAGAGTGTAAGAATTGATTCAAAGAAGAGCTAGAGTTGAGATTTGGAGTAGATTAGGAGTAGATTAAGGCTAGATTAAGAGTGGATAAAGAGTCTAGAGTGTAAGAATTGATTCAAAGAAGAGCTAGAGTTGAGATTTGGAGTAGATTAGGAGTAGATTAAGGCTAGATTAAGAGTGGATAGTGAGTCTAGAATGTAAGAATTGATTCAAAGAAGAGCTACAGTTGAGATTTGGAGTAGATTTGGAGTAAATTTGGAGTAGATTAAGAGTAGATTAAGAGCGGATTAAGAGTAGAGTAAGAGTTGATTCAAAGAAGACCTAGAGTTGAGATTTGGAGTATTAGATTTAGAGCTGAGATTCAAGATACAGAGTTGATTGAAAGTAAGTTCAAGGGGTATATTCAGATTCGAGATTCAGAGTAGATTTAGAGTTGAGGTTCAAGATTCAGAGAAGATTAGAAGTAGATTAAGAGTTGATTCAAAGAATATATTCAGATTTGGCATTCGGAATAGATTTAAACTCGAGATTCGAGATTTAGAGTAGATTAAGAAATGATTCAGAGTTTATTTACGTTTATTCTAACGATTTTTAGGCGTCGAATCCGGGTCAGTTCGAGAGCGACGTCGAATTGTGCTGGCAGAAAGGCCAAACGCAGGTAATTACCCAACAAAAAAAAAAACTAATAACAATCACTACAAATGCTCGAAACTAATAATTTTTTTCCGATAGGATTCGGTGGTGCACAACGGCAAAGTGGGCATAAACACCGACAGACCGGACGAGTCTCTTGTCGTGCACGGTAACATCAAAATAACGGGTCACATCATCCAACCGAGCGACATTAGAGCCAAGAAGAACATCATCGAATGCAACACCGCCGAGCAATTGAGGAACGTGCAGAAGATTAGGGTAGTGAGGTGGACGATTAGGCTAATTAATTAGGCTCCCGGTTGATTGTTTTAATTGTTTTCGTAGATACGATTACGAGCCCGAGCTGGCGAGCGAATTGAGCAGGGACAGCGAGTGCTCCGACACGGGCGTGATAGCTCAAGAAGTGGCTCGAGTTCTACCGGAGGCGGTCAAACCGGCCGGCAATATCGTCTTGTCCAACGGTACTTCTATCGATAATTTTTTGGTTGTTAATAAGGTAAAATTCGTACGAGTGATAGTCGATAGTTTTGCGATTGAATTGTCGGTTTTTTTATTGAAAACAGGAGCGAATCTTCATGGAGAACATCGGCGCTGTGAAGGAGCTGTGCAAGGTCACCGACAATTTGGAAACCAGAATCGATCAATTGGAGAGGATCAACAGGCGATTGAACAAATTGAAGAGGGGCGATAGTCTTAAATCGACCAGTACCGGTGCGTTTTCTAACGAATTATTCGATTCGAAAAAAATTAGCGAGTTCCGTTTTATTGTTGCAGTTAATAGTTCGAAATTATCGTATTCGCACAAATGTTCGAAACACCACCACAATTGCCAGAAGGACGACGAGCTTTGTTCGAATAAATTCATTCAAATCGTCATCGTGATATTGGTGTTGATCATGGCCTTTTGGTGAGCGTTCTATAATAACCGTAATCGTACCTCGAAAGAGTCTCTTCAACTTGACAGTTTTACACGGTTGTTATGGAGTAACTAAGGAGATTCTTTCAAATTGACAGATTTACATTGTTTACACGGTCGTATATTATAACAGGTCCGGAAACTCGTATGTTGTGGATAATGTGACTCTCGACAGAGGGCGCTAATATCGGTTAGTGTCAGGGCCTAGACAGCCTTATGAGAAATTTTAGACTTTCATTTAGTTTCGGCGCTATTGATAGATGGCGCAACAGTAGTTTATTTCAGGTCAGCGCAAGCAACCCGCTCAACGCCGTATTTCAAAAACAATAATGGCGTCTTGTATTGATTCGCATCGATTCTGCATATTTTCTCTTGTAGTGCAAGATGAAGTTAAAACCGAAAAGTTATTTTTTTTTTCATTTATTTCGTTTGTTTTCGAGTGAGTTTAAAAGGCATTGTTATTGCCTGTAAGTTGTATAAGTTTTGTGTATAGTAGTGTTAGTGAATTGTTAGTGAGGAATTGTGTAAAGTTAAAGTTAAATCTTTCGTTCTATTGCTTGTTTTTACAGCGCGTAGTGAATTTTTCTGGTTCCGCCATAATATTTGTTTATTTAGCGATTTTATTTAAATTTAATGAATTTTGACATTTTTTTCAATATATTTTTAAGTAGAAGTGTTTGTGTTTACTTATTTTATGAGAGTAGTTACTTTTTATATTATCCAATTTCTTGTAAAACTTGTACAATTTATTTTACTATCTATATCAAAATTCTATACATTTTATAATAATGTAACAAATTGTACAAGTTCTACAAGAAATTGGATAATATTAAAAGTCAGAAAAAATCGAATAAAAAACCTATATTACTAATTTTAGTGTAGAGTTCTACATGATATCCCCTTTTACTAGGCAACACCCATTAATTTAGTACAGCTACTACTCTCAGAGTGCGCTCTACAACGTCTACGAAATTCTCACGGAGATGTCCCTTCTTGTTTATGTATGTTCTGTGGTTAGTGTTGCTTAACCGTAAACGCCAATTTTCCTTCATTCTGCTAAAGTTGTCTTCCAAAATGTCATTTTTATTTCATTTGACGATCGTTCAAAGTGACAATAAGCGCAACACGCCAACTACCACAAAATAGCGGAGTTTCCGGACCTCACAAATACGACCGTGGTCGTTACGGAGCAGTTATTCAAATTGACAATTTTGACACATTTGACAGATTCGAAAAACTTTTCAAACTTTCAAATGTATAACGATCTTTTTTTGCTTTTTTTCTCGATTAGTTTGGCGGCGATAACGACGCTCTATCTGATGGAGGCGGCCCGAACGACGCAATACATTCAAACCAACATCGACAGATCCCGCACGGCGAATTACGGCACCACCCGAAGGCCGGACAAAACCAAAATCCCCAATAAAGCTTCGACTTGGTATCCGACGTTGCCTCCCTATCAGACCACCAACGCCTACAAAGAAGAAGGTAAAAACGCTTTTAAATCGCGCTATTTCCCTTACTAACGAATTCACATCTTCCAGAAGTCACCAAAGTCACCGTAGATCCTAACATAATCAACATGAAACCCAGTATAATAATCGGCCGGCCGTTGGATTGCCTCGCGGTCGAACAGGACCTGGAAAGTACAAATTTGTGTCAGGTAAAACGATTTCCCCCGTTCGCCTCGCACCTTATTTATACAGTGTGTCCCTAAATAGATTTACTGTTGCGCGAACCCGCCGTCGAGGCATTCGCAGGAGGCGCTGTCGTCGCATTACGCGTCGGAGAAGCGTTTGAACGCGAACAGAAACAAAACGGCGCCTTTGGTGAATTTGGAGAAGGTGAAATTGGCGAAGCCCTTCCATTCGAACGACATAGACAACAAACCGAGGACCAAACGGGACGCTTTCAGCGACGATTCGAATCTGTTCGATGTCGCCGGTGAGTCGCCGTTCAATTTTAAAGCGTATTTTATTCGAATAAATCACGTTTTAGACGATCAAATGTTTACCATCATCATACACGGTAGGAACTTCAACGCGACGTTGACGCCCAAATACAAGGAAGAAACGAATTCGCAATACAACATATCCTATTCAGTGCCAGTATCGAAATATATGCCGGATGAATTCGTCAATCTAATCTTCAGGTGAACGATCGTTCGATACATCGAATCTATCTAATCGAAACGATTTTTTCAGATCGTCTCAATCGAATATAAAGGAGATCGAACGTTGTTACAACGAGCACAGGCAACGCGAATGTCCGTTCGTCGGTTCGTCGGGTTATTACGATGATAAAATCAAAATCAGGCATAAGGTTAACGAGAATTCGCCGACGCAGGTCATCGGGTACCAGAGCGTGGTGTTCGAAGTCGATATGATCGATTTCCAATCGAAGGTGATGACTTATAGGGCTTCGTTGAGACAGAATCCGGTAAGGTTTGGATGTTCTAAAGGCGCGAATACACGTGGCAAGTAACTAAATTTAGTTACTTGTATGGTGTAAACTGCTTTATCCGCGTTATACGAGTAACTAGATTTAGCTACTCGAGACGTGTAAATGCGCCTTTTGATGTAAATTTGTTGTGGTAAATGTTATTTTTTTTTTGTTGTAGAATACATGCAAATTGTCTCCGTCAAAGTTGGGTTTGGAATACATAGAATATAATTTCCATTTTTATAGACACTGTGATGAATGATTTATCTCTATTTTTTTTTTTTTAGTTTGTTAGTTATATGTGGAACAAAACTAATCGACATGACAAGTTTTATGTAAATTTTCGTTTGTATAGAGATTATTTTTAGGGTGTATAGAATGGTTTTGAGATTTTTTTGGAAAGTGTGTATTTGATCCTATTTTTTTTTTTTTTAGTTTTAAGGGTGAAACGTGTGAGTTAATTTTTTGTTTGATAATAGAATACGGAAAATTAGCGAACACTGTTCACGTAATTTTACATTTAAACGAAATCATATCACGTACCTAAACTACTCTAATCGAATAGATTTTATTTATTTTGAATTTCTATATATAGAAAATTTATTTTTTTGTTATGTTATAGCGCGCAAGATCAAATTTACTAGTAGTTCGATTTGAATAAGCAATACTTATAATAAATACTTTTAAACGTTCACAATGTATTAAAGTAAGTTCTCTATTAGATTTATGTAATATATCTTAAGGATTCCCATAGGAGATTTTTCGTAAGCATCACACGTAGAACAAAAATTACTTGCTCAAAAATATTTAGTTTATGTTAAAAATCAATTTTTGTTTAGTTGAAATAATATTGTCTTTGTTAATTCCGAAATAAATTTAAAATTTTCTACAACAGTACAAAGCTTGAATTAAATTGAATAAGAGAATATTTTTGAATTAATAAGGAAAAACCTACTCGAGTAATAGCAATAATCTAGTCTAAAAGGAAATAACAAAAATAATATTCTTTATAATACAGTGTACTTAAAAATCGTGTCCGTCCAATTTGTGTCTATTTTTTATACTTAATATCAATCTTATTTTACACGTGGGGATGTAAGCTTTAATTTTGAAACGCTAATAAATAAAATTTATTAACCGTACATTCCTTTTATCCCCGAGTAAAATAGGAATGGTATTAACACAAAAGAATATAAAATTTAGTTAAGTATAATATATGTGCTAGAATCTTTATAGGTAATAATAAAAATATGAAATGTATTATTTTTCATAATAGTCTTAGTTATGGCGCAATTAAAAAGTATCTAGCGAAAATAGGAATGTAATATATTCAGTCATCATGTAAAATTTATAATTTTGTTTTTGTGATTCTGTACAATAAAATTGTTTTTCATTTTGTAGTTAATATAACGTTGCATCTTTTTCGTCCTAAGGGTAAATAAGTACAACAACAATTTCAAAATGTATGAAAATATAATTTATTACGACATCTTGCTTAAACACAAAACGAATTATAAAAAATACTTAAACCGTTAAAAACCGAGTCTACCTAATTTAAAAATTTTGGCACAATCAATGAGATATATGGCAATATTTATTTTGAATGCTGTAATTTATAACATAGAGTACGAATAAAAATTAAATGGTTAAAACATCTATTGAAACTTTATAAATATTCGAGTATGTGTATTAGTGAAAAATTCCAATGAACGAAAGTGCTTAGTTACTATTATACAGGGTATTTTGTAGGTAAAATGCAATACTTTAACCACTGCATTAGTAAAATAAGTACTAAACCTACAAAACACCCTGTATGTATTATTATGAATATTCACCTAAAATATTTACAAGATAAAAGAATTAAACAGAACACAACAAATGCCTCTAAATACACCGATATTCCTAAAACAGCCACCGCTCATAAAAAAAAGCTGTCTCAATGCTTCTCCTTTTCCACGAATACCGGTTTAATAGAAAGGTCGACATTTTCAAAATACGGATGGGACACTATCCGTTTCGCGGAGATCCTCTTCGCCGGATTGTACACCAGCATTTCTCTCAACAAATCCAAACCGTCATCGTCCAAATTCTTCACCTGATTCGAGAGATTCAAATTCGTCCATTTCGGAAACGAGGCCCTGTAGTTTTGGAGCTTCGAAACGCCCGGCCAAAACTCGTCCGTAGGAGTCTTCAAAATCCTACAAATTCACAACATTAACAACCGGATAACGACACACAAATCGCTGTAAGATACCTGAATATTCTGAAGAGCTGATCGATCTCGGAATCGCCTTGAAACAGCGGCCGTTTGGTGGCCATTTCGGCGAATATGCAGCCCAACGACCAAATGTCAACGGGACACGAGTACCTCTCGGAACCGAGCAGAATCTCGGGCGCCCTGTACCACAGAGTAACCACTTCGTGGGTGTACACTCTCACCGGTACCCCGAAGGCTCGCCCCAATCCGAAATCCGCTATCTACAATGACTCGAATACAACACTCGGTTTAAGCTCAAATATCGTTTACAATACCTTAATGGTACCGTCTCGGGTGATGAGTAGATTTTGGGGTTTCAAATCCCTGTGGAGGACGCGCCGTTGGTGGCAGAACAATATGGCCTCGTTCAACTGGTGCATGTAGCTCTTGACCAGCTTGGGGTCCATGTACTTGCCGTCTTCGATTTTGTCCAAGTACTTTTTCAGGTCCATCGAGAGGAACTCGAATATCAGGTAGAGCCTGCGGAAAGCGCAACGAATGTAATTGCGAGATATAAAAGTTTTACGTATTAAATTATTTACTTTTGTTCCTCCATTAGTACATTCTCGAGGGATACGATGTTCCTGTGTTTCAGTTCTTTCAGTAGGGATATTTCCCTAACTGCAGTCGAGGGGACTCCTTCATCTTCGGATTCTAATCTGAAATATTAATACTACATGTTAAGGAATTTGTTGTGTTGTTAATTGTAAAGTAGTGTTAGTTTTGCTACAAGCACAAAGCAAACTAACCTAACCTAAGTTTATTAAAACAAAAAGGGGTGTATAAATGAATTAATACCTTATCTTTTTCATAGCTACCAATTCGCCAGTTTTCTTATTTTTCCCTTTATAAACGACTCCATAAGTTCCTTCTCCTATTTTTTCTATTTTTATGAAGTCCTCCACTGTGGCTCTTTTGTACGACATTTTCGTCTCGTTCAAACTTAAAACTAACGCAAATTAAATATTAGTACATATTTAGTAAACTTTTGAGAAAAAAAAACATTTCACCTGCCCTATGTTAATAGTTTCAAAAGTTCGTAAAATAACATCCACTTTAGTGGAAGTGTTTTCATGGAGAAAATTCGACTTTTTAAGTTCACTAAGCGGGTTAATCGTGTTACAAAAACTGGAATATCTTAGTAAATACTTACGCAATTTTAATAATCCCTATCGAATTGGAATGTTGTGGAAATGTCACAAAATAACGACCAAAAACCAACGGACAACTAAACTATGGAGTATGAACGGAAACGGAAAAGTAACGAATCCCAATACGAAATATTCAAACTAGAAATGTCAGATACGTCAAAATTGTCAAACAATAAACAACAGAAACGTAATTGTTACCAACTTTTTTTATTGAAAATAGTTATAAATAGTCGTAATTATTGTTTCATTATTTAATAGTTAATTATTTTCAATTTATATTACTAGAATATATAGATTTTTTATAAAAATCAATTATATCTACTTCAATTTTGGCTGTATAAATCTATAACCTAGTCTCTAAAAAAGAAGAAAATATCTTGTATCTTGTTCATGCATAAAACTTTACGCGAATTAATGAAAACATTTTAAACGAAAAGAAAACATAAGAAACAATCAAAATAATCAAAATCATTCATATTTTTCCTATTTTCCGCAGTAACCAGTTGTCGTATCTGTCAAGAGCGTCAAGTGTCAAACTCAAAACGTCAATTGAAATTGTCCTTCCAAAATCGTGCAAATTTTGGGTTTCGATTTTGTTTAAAGCGAACACCGAAATCAAATAAAATGGCAATAAGTTTATTGAATCCGAAAGCCGAAGTGGCGAGAGCCGCTCAAGCGTTGGCCGTTAACATAACAGCCGCCAAAGGTATTTCCGAAGTGATGAAAACGAATTTGGGACCGAAGGGTACAATGAAAATGTAAGAACACATGATTTTTCATTTCCTCTTATCGTTATTAATAACCAATTACAATACGAAAAAATTAACAAAATCGCACCTATAACATTAAGAAACGTCTCAATTACGTACATTTTATAATCGAACAGCTCATTCTAGAACATTTATCAAACATAACCTCACATTTCGCCTATCCAATAGGTTGGTCTCCGGCGCCGGCGACATTAAAATAACGAAAGACGGCAACGTCCTTTTGCACGAAATGCAAATCCAACACCCTACGGCCTCGTTGATAGCAAGAGCCTCGACAGCCCAAGACGATATGACCGGAGACGGAACCACATCGACAGTCCTAGTAATCGGGGAGCTCCTCAAACAAGCCGACATTTACATCGCCGAAGGTCTGCACCCCAGAACCCTCACCGAAGGCTTCGACAAAGCGAGAGCCAAAGCCCTCGAAGTACTGGAGAAGCTGAAAATACCCATCGACATCAACAAGGAATCGTTAACCGACGTTTGTCGAACGAGCTTACGAACGAAACTGCACCGAAATTTGGCCGACTTACTGACCGACGTGTGCGTCGAGGCCATCCTCGCCATCAAGCAATCGGACGAGCCGGTCGATTTGCACATGGTGGAGCTGATGGAGATGCAGCACAAGACCGAAACCGATACGCAACTGGTCAAAGGGCTGGTGCTCGACCACGGCGCCCGCCATCCCGACATGCCCAAGAGCCTGCGGAACTGCTACATTCTCACCTGCAACGTCAGCATGGAGTACGAGAAGAGCGAAGTCAATTCGGGCTTCTTCTACAAGACCGCCGAAGAAAGGGAGAAGCTCGTGCTGGCCGAGCGCGATTTCATCGAGCAGCGCGTCAAGAAGGTGATCGAATTGAAGAAGACCCTTTGCAAGGGCAACGACAAGTCGTTTGTCGTGATAAACCAAAAGGGTATCGATCCCATGAGCTTGGACATGCTGGCCAAAGAGGGCATCGTAGCCCTGCGAAGGGCCAAGAGGCGTAACATGGAACGATTGGCTCTGGCCTGCGGTGGAATAGCCGTGAACAGTTTCGATGATTTACAAGAATCTCATCTCGGTTACGCCGGGCACGTGTACGAGCACGTATTGGGCGAGAACAAATACACGTTCGTCGAGGACTGCAAAGTGCCCCAATCGGTGACGATTCTAATGAAGGGCCCCAACAAGCACACTCTGTTGCAGATCAAAGACGCCGTCAGAGACGGTTTAAGGGCTATCAATAACGCCATCGACGACAAGGCTCTTGTTCCGGGTAAGTTGTACATTTTACGATGATACTCGGTAGTTTATTCGATGTGTTTTTTTACAGGCGGCGGGGCTTTGGAAGTGGCCGTAAACAAGGCGCTGCTGGCGTACAAGGACGAGATCAAGGGCAAAGCCCGATTGGGCGTCGCCGCCTACGCCGAAGCCATGCTGGTGATTCCCAAAACTCTGGCCGTTAATTCCGGTTTCGATGCGCAGGATACCATCGTGAAGCTGCAGGAGGAGGCTCGACTCAGTTCGGAACCGATCGGGCTCGATTTGACGTCGGGCGAACCGATCAATCCCAAAGACGCGGGAATCTACGACAACTACGTGGTGAAGAAGCAGATTATCAATTCGTGTTCGATAATCGCCAGCAACTTGTTGCTCGTAGACGAGATTATGAGGGCCGGTATGAGCAGCTTGAAGGGCTAATTTAATCGAATTTCGTATTAACTTTTTTTTTTTTAATTGATTATCGCATAATGTAATATTCGTTACATCGTTCTAGTATTCCGTTTAAATATGCTAATATTTAACTTACATCATTTTGCAGAAATAAAGTAACAAAAGTAATCGAGTCTTTAATTGTATTAGTATAAACTCGCCGTTTGTTTTTAATAGCCGATTTCGTTCCTTTAGAACAGTAAATTTACTACTAAGTATATCTGGATTTCGGATGCTTTTCCCTCTGCTTGTTCTGCAAATCCTGCACCGCCGACAATCTCTCCATCAATTCGTGATTGTACGTGCTGTGCAACATCAGAGCCAGCACTCCCGCCCTGCTGGCCATGCTGCTCCTGATCTGGCGCTCCTTCTCCATCAGCTCGTCCATCTTCATCCACTGACGCACCCGTTCCAAATCGATCTAAAAAAACGATACAACGGTTCACTTCGTAATAACCTAACGAGAGTTTGAGAGTTTACCTCGGCCCTGCGGAGTTTCTCCCACACGAAGTGCTTGGTGCAAGACTTCTTGGGGGCCCTGCAAAACTCGCCGGTGGGCGAGAACACGTTGGTCACCAACGGGCAACCGCACACTTCGTATTCGCCTATTTTGGGATCTTTGCAATGCTCCGGACACAACACCCTCAAACGTTTGCAGTAGGTCCGGTTGACCGAATTGTAAAAGTCGCAAAACATGTTGTTACCTACAAGATAATGAAGAGTATAATCGCATCTACAAGTTGGTTGAAATAATGTAATCGCGTACCTTCGATTCTGGTTTTGAAAATGGACCCGAACGAAGCTTGCGATTCGTATTTGTTGAAGCATTTCTCCATGTGTTTAATGGCCGTACGAGAATGGATTTCGTGACCGCAGGTTACGCAATAAGTGGATATCTCGGAATCATCTTCGCAATCGTTCTCCTGATTCGGATCGATGTTGGCGTGCTTGGCCCGCTCGATGATAAAGTCCAATTCCTTGTGGCGCTTGTCCAACTCCTGCAGGATCTGTTGGACTTCGATCTTCTGTTTTCTCACCTGATCCAGAGCTGTAACAAGCGACAGAAATCGATCGAAACCCGAATCTAATAACGTAGAATCGGTTACCTTTGATGTTGTGGCCTTCGGCCAAAGAGGGACTCAGCGCCCATTCCTGCAAACGTTGCGGCAACACCTGCAGGATCCTGTTCCTGGCCAAATTCATGCCGCACTGATCCGAGCAGTACTTCGAACCGAAGCGGGCGCTGTTCACGCATTTGGGGCCATAACATTGCCTGGGATAATCGGTCTTCAGGTGATCGTTGTGCGATTGATCGCGATCCGAACTCGACTCCCTTCGCTTCCTTCTACTCCTGCAATCGATACAAACGAATTAATAAAAAAACTATTCTAAATTTCGGGTGTAAAATCGACCACTCACTTCCGTTTCATCGTTTGAATAAACCGCACGATTAGCGAAACAAACGTACGTGACTCGGAGCATTCAACGACATAGAAATTCCGATAAATATATTTCTAATTCGAAAAATATTCGATAGAGAAACAATGCGAACGCGAAGATTATAAATTGCGATAAAGATATCTACTTTAAACGTTACACAATCGTACGATTTTCACGAATTCACAAGCACTTTAACGAGCTTATAACAGGCCTCTTTCTTCGTCGAATACAGCGAGTACAATTCCGTTCGTAGCGGCCTCTTTCCTCGTCGAATACGGTAAGTATAATTTCGATCGGTACGAGGAAGAGTCTCGATAATTACCCTCACGAGCCGTGAAATTATCTACTTTAAACGTTATATAATCATACGATTTTCACGAATTCACAAGCACTTTAACGAGCTTATTACAGGCCTCTTTCTTCGTCGAATACAGCGAGTACAATTCCGTTCGTAGCGGCCTCTTTCTTCGTTAAACAGTAAGTATATTTCGATCGGTACGAGAGGAAGAGTCTCGATAATTACCCGCCCAAAGCGTTGACGCATATCCTCTGCTTGCAGCGCTCCTTGTTCTTCGACGAGCCGTGCCGGTTCTTCCTCGTGCAGACGTCGCACCTTCCGCAATCCTCCGTGCGGTAGCACCCCATGCACTCGCCGCACTTCTTCGTTTTCTTGTCGGTCTTGTTCTCGGCGCGCTCGCGGCGCTTCTTGAACCGGCGATCGTCGGGGGGCGCGTACAGGGACTCCTCGTGCTCGCGCTTCGACTTCCATCGGGTGACCAAGGTGGGGTCCTCGTCCTTGCATCGGACGCAGTAGTACTGCTTGATGAGCTTCGCCTCCTTTTCGGAGATCTTTATGCAGTCGCCGTGGTACCTGGAATTTAGGGGGTTCTTTTTTAGGGGTTTCGATGATCGGGTGGTGGGTTGGTTACCATTCTTCGCAGGCATCGCAGGCTATCATGAACCTGGAGGAGTCCGATGATCGACAGATGCAGTAGGCTTGGCCGTCTTGCTTCAGGAGCGTGTCGATTTTGGACTGGCGTTCGGGCAGCAGGAATTGTTTGGCGATTTCTTCTCTCTGTGTTCGTTTGTAGCAAATTTAAGATGATATTGGTGGCGTTTTGATTAGGTGTATTGTGCGTGTACTTACCGATATATCTCTTTTTCGCGACATTTTTAATCTTAATTAACGAATTATTTGCTTTTTAAAACAGTTAATTGGTATTTAAATAATTCAATTACAATTAATAATAGAAAACAACAGCTAGATTTTGTTGTTTGTCGGTTTTGACAGTTCTAATTGACTTTTGACAAACGAATTCTTCTTTTTTGTGTTATATCATGCCTTTGACATATGTGTTCGGCAGCTCATTAGTTGTGTCATACAGGGTTGTATTGTGCCCAATGGTATATAAAAACAAAATTTTATGTTTGAATAAAATATTTCTGCTAGACATTGTTGTTTGTCAATTTTGATAGTTCTAATAGAATTTTAACATAAATAAATTCTTCTATGTTGCGTTTTATCATGCCTTTGACATTTGCGTTCGGCAGCTCGAACGGAGTGTCATACAGGGTTGTATTCTGCCCGATAGTACATAATACATTTTATTTGTTTGAATAAAATATTTCTTCGATACTTTTGAAACACACTTTCAGATATATTGAAAGGGTTTTTAAGTTTAAAGCGATATTAAAAACTGCGATCAAAAGCGACGTTAAATTTAAAATCGTGTGGCTCCCATAAAAGTTATTGAAAGATAAATTGGAAGTGGAAGGAAGCGTTCTTGTAAAATATTAGCCGGTGCGTCAACACTTCCATTGGTGCGAGAGAGTACAATCTTTATTTTAGTGCAACCATATGTTTCGGATTCACAATATATGAACTTCTCGAACCTTTACCGCGTCTCAAAAATATCCATTCAATTCTATCGATTTCTATTCTAGTTAATAAATTATTTAAACGATTTTTCGCTACTCGCTAAGCATTGATAAAATTGTTCGAAAGTAACTAATCCTACTATCTTCTAATAAACTTCTACAACTTATGAAATTGTATTATAATAATTAGATAACTAGCCAGCGTGGATATCATAAGAGGTATGAGCCTCTTATTGACCCTGAAGAAGCCGGATATCCACATCTTCGGTTTGAGCTCTTTAATGTAATCGGTTAAATCGATGAGTTGCTTCAATAAAATGGGATCTTTAACGTCCGGTTGAAGGCAATAACAGTGCTTCAACAATTCGTTACTCTTCGCTTCGATTTTATCGCAAGATAACACCATTATGAGCGATGAAACCTGCAATTAAAAATTGGTTTTTATTACAAGAATTATATGGCCTATAATGGGGAATTTTTAGTGATATTTTACTCACATTTAAAACAATTATAATAAGTATTTGTAAAGCAAACAAAATTACATCGGCTACGTCCTTAATGTCTCTAGTATTCGAGATCATAGCCGATAACGCCCAATTTAAATTGAACAGATTCTCAAGGAACGCGATGAATACAAAATTAAAAATCGATATTCCGAAAAAATCGCTAATCAAACCGGTCGATTCGCCCATCCTTGTAACACACTTTACGATCGAATCCAATTCGATTTGCGTCTCGAATCGATTCCGGACGTAACTCGCGAACGATCTTCGTATTCTAATCGATAAATAATCGTTATTTTCGGTGAAAATAACGGCCAAATCGTACAACAACAGCGCCGTACCGACGAGCTGCAGATAGGTCAAGGCGGCGTTGAAAGCCCAAAAACTGATCGACCACTCCTCGTATACGAACCCGATCGAACCGTGCAAAACGCATATAATGAATACAACGATCCACAAATAGAACCCGGCGATTTCTCTCGTATAATTCGATTTCCTAATCGCGAATCGCAGCCGTTGAATATTTTCGTACAGCGCCCGGCCGGGTTCGCGAAAATGCACCACTTGCAACAGATTCGCGTAGTTGATCAGCTCGTAACCGATGCTGGCGAGTTTGAGGAAAAAGAAATTGCCGAATTCCATTTCGTAATTGTCCAGGTATCGCTTGAAGTAGACGTGAGTGGAGACCAAGCAACAGAAACACATGGCTATTCGCAGGATGATGTACATGCAGAAATATAAATTGCGTTTGTACACGGGAAATACTCCGAGTATTCCGATCCATTTGCTGTGGTCTAGCAACATTTTTTGAATTAAACTGCACGCGATATGAGGTGAAAAACGATCGAACAATTCCATTAGCGTTCCGTGATAAATTGAAGTTTGACGTTTGACATCTTGGTAAGTAATCAAGTAAATTGGAGTGTAAAAAAACGAATTAAACGGCAAATAAACACGTCGAATTCAACGATAATATACAGGGCGTTTCTAATAATACAATACTTACATTTAAGAAAGTTGCTTCAATGATTTGTACAACAAACAGAACGACTTCCTCGTCAGTTCTAGAGCGGGAGTTCCAAATGAGGAGAAAAATCATAATTGATACGCCGAAAAAATTGTTATATAAGGGAAATATTCCGAGTATTCCGATTCATTTGCTGTGGTCTAGCAACATTTTTTTGAATTAAACTGCACGCGATATGAGGTGAAAAACGATCGAACAATTCCATTAATGTTCCGTGATAAATTGAAGTTTGACGTTTGACATCTTGGTAAGTAATCGAGTAAATTGGAGTGTAAAAAAACGAATTAAACGGCAAATAAACACGTCGAATTCAACGATAATATACAGGGCGTTTCTAATAATACAATACTTACATTTAAGAAAGTTGTTTCAATGATTTGTACAACAAACAGAACGATATCCTCGTCAGTTCTAGAGCGGGAGTTCCAAATGAGGAGAAAAATCATAATTGATACGCCGAAAAAATTGTTATATAAGGGAAATATTCCGAGTATTCCGATTCATTTGCTGTGGTCTAGCAACATTTTTTTGAATTAAACTGCACGCGATATGGAGTGAAATCGATCGAACAATTCCATTAGCGTTCCGTGATAAATTGAAGTTTGACGTTTGACATCCTCGTAAGTAATCGAGTAAATTGGAGTGTAAAAAAACGAATTAAACGGCAAATAAACACGTCGAATTCAACGATAATATACAGGGCGTTTCTAATAATACAATACTTACATTTAAGAAAGTTGTTTCAATGATTTGTACAACAAACAGAACGACATCCTCGTCAGTTCTAGAACGGGAGTTCCATATTGTGATAGCCCAATTGACGTTAAACAGATTTTCAATGAAGGAAATGAGGAGAAAATTCATAATCGATACGCCGAAATAATTGTTCATCATATCAGATGATAAATGCATAACTTTAACGCGTGCTCTGATGATGAGCAATTCGTACTCGATTTCGTTCCTCACATTCGTGAAAGATCTTTCTATTTTATTAGAAATCGAGCGATTTTTCTCCGAGTATATTAGAGCTAAATCGTGGAGTAATAGAGTCGTACCAACGAATTGTAGGTATGTAAAAAAGAAGTCGAACACCCAAGTAGTTAGAGACCAATCGAAGAAGATTATGATTAACGAAGAGTATATTCCGCATATAATAAATACACCGCACCATAAACAAAATCCCATCAGTTTTCGAGCAAAGCTCGGCGTAAAAGCGATGCCGAGTTGCAGGAGCTTTTTGTACAAAACTCGCGCCGATTGTCTATGAAACATCGCTTGAAACAAGCCAATGCAATTCACGAGCTCGTAAATCATGTTAGCGAATATCAGAAAAATCGAATTGCCGATACCGAATCCGGAATTTTTCACGTGTTTATCGAAGAAAACGCGGTTAAAAATAGCGCAGGATAAACACAAAATTAATCGCAAGAACAGATTCATCCGAAAACACAAATCATTTTCGAATAGCGGGAATATTCCGAATATTCCGGCGAATTTACCGTGTTCCGGCAGCAACATTTTCGAAACGAATAACGCAATTCCTCGTTAAAATGATTAGAAGAATAATTGGAATAATAGAATTGTGAAAAACTTGACTGAATAGCAAATAGAACAAGTAAACAAATCAATAAAATTCAACGCGAATTAACAGAGCATAAAAAGCTCTATACAGGATGTGTATATTATTCCTTAAATACTTACATCCAAGAACACTGTTTCAATTATTTGCACAGCAACTATAACAGCTCCTTTAACTCCATCATTATAGCCAGAATTAAATATCGTTATAGCCCAATTGATGTTGAACAGATTCTCAAATAAAGCGATAAGAAGGAAATTGATTATCGATATACCGAAGAAACTGCTCAGCAATTCCGACGAGGCTTCTATAATTTTAACACGCGCAAAAATCATAGACAATTCACGTTGAATCCGGTTCCTTGGAAGATTACGATTAGTGAATAATCCTTCAATTTTAACATAAATCGCGCGATTTTCTCCGGCGAATATTTCACTAAAATCGTGCAGCAAAAGCGTCGAACCGGCGATTTGCAGGAATACGAAAAACGCCGTATAAACCCAAAACACCATCTTCCAATCGTAGTACATCACGGCGATATAACCTTGCATACCGCTCGCTATAAATACGCTACACCATAAGCAAAACCCCATCAATCTCCGCCCGAAGCCCGCCGCGAATTCGCCGGCGAATCGCCGGCGGATATCGCGCGAAATTCGCGATTTTCCGAACCAAATCGCTTGGAAAACGCCCGAGTAAGTCGCCACTTCGTAGCTGAAGTTGCTGATTTTCAGGATCAGCGCGCTGACGATGTTGAAATCGAACTTTTCCACGTTCTCGTCGAAGAAAATGTGAGTGGAAAACGCGCAATTCACACACATGGTGGCTCGCAAAACGAGATACATCCAGAAATATTTATCGCGATTCGATAGCGGGAATATCCCCAATATTCCCGTGAATCCCATGTGATGTAGGAGCATTTTCGAAGCCGAATAACTCGCTAAATAACAGGCCAAGTAAACGGTTTAGAGATATTTAGAATAGATATTTGAAAGGCTGCAAACAAACCATTTCGATACAATCGTGGGGTAATAACAGAAATTGAATGGGGGAATTTGTATATACAGGGCGAGCCAAATACTTACAGTAAACAACACCATTATGCCGAATAAAGTGGTGACATTTTTGCCGGCACCTTCGAAAAAAATCGACTCGATCGCCCAATTGCTCAAAGTCAATACAGTCAAAAAATTCATCAACGAAAATATCACAACGAACAGTCCGAATATGTTAATAAATTCCATACTGGCGAGTCGTATTTGCTTGAAGACACCCACAATATCGTCCATCCTCTGCGGAAAACCCACCTTCGATCGGGGATAACAGGAAAACTCGGAGATTTTCTCGAATAATCCCCGAACGCATGACGTTATATGCGCAGCTAATAACAGCATAGATAATGATATGCACAATTTTTGCGTTACTATTACAAACCAGAACAAACGCACGATGTAATCGTATGATTTGCATGTCATTATGAAACACGATGCATTCACGCAATACAACGAAATCAATTCCAAAATCACGAAGACACTAATCATCACAAACTTGTTTAATCTCGATACTTTCTTCATAAGAATCTTTCTTTCCACAACATAAATACACTGGTACATAGCTTTCCAATTTTCCACAGTTTTCGATGTGTGATAGATGAATAGATATTCGCTGGTGATATTCACCAGGTGATTAATATCATACACGATTAAACTGAGCGTATGGTGTGCAGATCTGCTATTCATATCCAGGCGAATGCAATTCGCGAAGTACAAATTCGCAATTCCCCATAAGAACGAATGTAAAAGAAGGATTTTCCGGTTTCCCCATAAAGGAATTACACCGGAAAGCCCGCCGATTGTTAAACAGAAGTTATTGAGAGAAATCGGGCTGGTTTCGTCGAACATCAAGCTGGACTCGAACATTTCGACTGTTGTTATTTTCATGGGTTATTTAATTTACCTAAATACTAATGGTTACTAATCATAATTGTGTAGGCAATTCAATTATCGAAGAAAGCGTAATCGCTATATTGAAGTAAATCAATTACAATGATTAATGTGATTTGGTCAAAGTGGATTGCATGAAGATGTAGATACAATTGTAAAAGGTTTAGTTATTAACCAATTACTCAACGCCGGTGTTGATAAATAAATGCATAACACTGGAATTTGAAAGAATAAAAACAACTACAGGGTGTTCCAATTTAGAGTCGAAACAATACTTACAGTATACAACACCATTAAGCAAATCAAAGAAGTCACGTAAGTGCTGCTTGTTCCGAAAAATATCGTCTCAATTGCCCAATTGCTCAAAGTCAGTACGGTATTTAAATTTATTAAGGAAAATACCACAATGGATAATCCGAATATGCTTATAAACTCGGCAGAAGCGAGTCGAATGTTCTTGTATATCCACATAATTTCGATCAATTTACTCGGCAGAAATATCTTCGATTGTGGATAGTGCGAAAATTCGGAAACTTTCTCAAACAATTCCTGCATACAAGAAGTTATATGCATTGATAATATCAACATAGATAAAGTAATGCATAATTTTTGAGTTACCACCAAAAACCAGAACAAACGCAATCCAAAATCGTTAGATTTGCATTTTATTTTGAGACACGACGAATGGACGAAGTAAAACGATATTAATTCGAATACAACGAACGCAAAAATCATTATAAACTTCTTCTTTCGCGTTACTTCCTTCAATCGAATCCTCCTTTCGATCATGTAAATGTATTTGTACAAATCCCTCCATTTTTCCATGCTCGTTAGCGTTTGATAGATGAACAAACACTCGCTGATGATTCTCATCACGTTATTAACGTAATACACCATTAAACTTAACGTATGGTGTGCAGATTTGCTGTTAATATCAACACGTACGACGTTAGCGAAATATACATTTATAATACCCCATAAGCACATTTGTAAATGTACCAATTTCTTGTTTTCCCATAACGGTATGGTGCCCGTAACGCCCCCGATTATCAAACAGAAATTGTTCAACGAGATGGGGCTTTTTTTATCGTACATCAAGCTGGACTCGAACATTTCGACTGGCATGTCGTTTTGGAGCCCCAATTAATAACTACTAATGGTGAATTTTACCGTTGAAATAATCGAGCAAACAGAGGAGAACAATGATTGATGTAAATCGATTAGTATGATTAATACTTACGCAAAATGTTGACATTAGTATTGAGGCGGTGGTG